CTATTACTCTCAGTGGTTAAGAGAATGTTGACTGGCAGGATTTATCACTGAACCAAGTGCCTATTACTCTCAGTGGTTTAGAGAACGTTGACTGGCAGGATTCCTCACTTAACCTAGTGCCTATTACTCTCAGTGGTTTAGAGAACGTTGACTGGCAGGGTTCCTCACTGAACCCAGTGTCTATTACTCTCAGTGGTTTAGAGAATGTTGACTGGCAGGATTCCTCACTGAACCAAGTGCCTATTACTCTCAGTGGTTTAGAGAACGTTGACTGGCAGGATTCCTCACTTAACCTAGTGCCTATTACTCTCAGTGGTTTAGAGAACGTTGACTGGCAGGGTTCCTCACTTAACCTAGTGCCTATTACTCTCAGTGGTTTAGAGAACGTTGACTTGCAGTATTCCTCACTTAACCTAGTGCCTATTACTCTCGGTGCTTTAGAGAATGTTGACTGGCAGGATTCCTCACTTAACCTAGTGCCTATTACTCTCAGTGGTTTAGAGAACGTTGACTGGCAGGATTCCTCACTTAACCTAGTGCCTATTACTCTCAGTGGTTTAGAAAACGTTGACTGGCAGGGTTCCTCACTTAACCTAGTGCCTATTACTCTCAGTGGTTAAGAGAACGTTGACTGGCAGGATTCCTCATTGAACTCAGTGCCTATTACTCTCAGTGGTTTAGAGAATGTTGACTTGCAGTATTCCTCACTGAACCCAGTGTCTATTACTCTCAGCGGTTTAGAGAACGTTGACTGGCAGGATTCCTCACTTAACCTAGTGCCTATTGCTCTCAGTGGTTTAGAGAATGTTGACTTGCAGGATTCCTCAATGAACCCAGTGCCTATTACTCTCAGTGGTTTAGAGAATGTTGACTGGCAGGATTCCTCACTGAACCTAGTGCCTATTACTCTCAGTGGTTTAGAAAACATTGACTGGCAGGATTCCTCACTTAACCTAGTGCCTATTACTCTCAGTGGTTTAGAGAACGTCGACTTGCAGGATTCCTCACTTAACCTAGTGCCTATTACTCTCAGTGGTTTAGAGAACGTTGACTGGCAGTATTCCTCACTTAACCTAGTGCCTATTACTCTCAGTGGTTTAGAGAATGTGTTTTTATACCGCCGACGATAAGGATCGCTTTGACAACAGAACAAGTCCAATGGATTTTACATAACTAAATCGTATTTTTCCGACGATCCATCTTAAGTAAATTTTAAGATGATAAAAACAAATCTTTGTCGACCTTCAAACCAAAATGTTCACTATGGAATCTACAAACCGAAAAAGGAAAGTCTGGCCCTATTTAAGAACGGTGAGCTAGTTACTAGTGTTAACTGACAGCTCGCCAGAAAAGTCTGATCTGAGATGGTCAATTTCATGTCTTCTAACCACTACCACGTACACTGAACATGCTGGTAGATTGTTGAGATTTATGTTTATTAACAAGCTGTGTGTTGTATTCACGTCACAACAAGGTATGGATTATTTCAAAAGACGAGATACTTTAAAAGATGCTGAATATATGGTGATAGCGCCGTCACGCACACGACAATAATTAGCCACCATTGATCGGCATCAAACTACTTGGTCAGGCTGTATCTGTTGGAAACCTCCTTCACAGATGCATTAGGAACGTCAATAGTCCTCAAAAAGCTAGCTCTCGAGAAGAAATTACTAACAAGATAAAATAAAGTTAGAGCCTAATAAGAGTGTCCTTAATTGGCTAAAGTGATTGGTTTAGTTTGTAATTGTTCCTGTGAGTGAAGATTGTGTCTCAATATTTAACCTTGTCCTTGATTTAGATTCAGTGCAGTCATCGTATTCATCAGTGCGTGAGGGTATGAATGATTTATATCATGATATGCTTACAGGAAAGGGTTTGTCGCGTATATTAACAGGGGTGTAGAGTGTTACAAAAAACATATCACAAATACCACTGCACTAAAACGGTTACGTAGTGCCGATGGCTAACTTCAACGTGTACAGAATGGTCACTGAAATATTATCATATCTGAATGCACTTGCCTTCTTCAGGGCTTTTGGCGGGCGGTCGGGTAGCCTAGTGGTTAAAGCGTTCGCTCGTCACGCCGAAGACCCGGGTTCGATTCCCGACATGGGTACAATGTGTGAAGCCCATTTCTGGTGTCCCCCGCCGTGATATTGCTGGAATATTGCTAAAAGCGGCGTAAAACCATACTCAGTCAGTCAGTCAGGGCTTTTGGCAACCTAATGTCAGTCATCTCAAAGCTTACATTTGACAGTTCTCATTCTCACAATGAAGATCACAATAATGATATCACCCATGAGGCCATCCTTGAGATCTCCCATGATGAGATCACCGCCGCTTTCCGCCGTCCGATGACACAATATTCAATGGCTGCTGTGAAGTACGGTGTATGATCTCGCGAGATTAAAAATGAACAACACAGGTCAGTCTCCAAGTTAGTTACGAGTCGTTCATCCATTGAACTGCAGCTTATCTAATTTGGATTATGTATTGTCATTCGCAGTGGACCTCCTCCGTGGTCTAGAGGTAGAGCGTCCGGTCGGAGAGCGGAAGGTCCGGGTTTCGATCCCCGACCGCGTCATACCAAAAGACGTTAAAAGATGGTACTTGTTGTTACCCTGTCTGGCGCTCGGCATTAAGGGGCTAAAGCAAGGACTGGTCGGCTCGGAGTCAGTATACTTTGTCTGAGTGGGGTATTCATGTTAAACTGCGGCATGCTATCTCAGTGAGCTAGCACTATAAATCGGCATCAGTCCGGACTAGTACAAGCAGCCACACAAACACACACACGTACATGCACGTCGCTATATAAGTGCAATAATCTTGGACGCGACGTTAAACCCCATTTCACCTCACCTCATTCGCAGTGCAGTATAGGTTCGTACTAATATAGCACTGTAGTGTAGTCTTTGTCGCTCAACATGGCAACCGTGGATCAAAAACCCTTACCTTCTACCTATAAAATAGTAAATGATAATATGTTTGAAGAACCATGTCATATCTCATATAGTCAAATAGCGACGTAGCACGTGGCACCTTGTTTTAATGCAGTATCACTTGACATTAACTTTAAACGGTTACAAAGACAAATTGTGAAATTGCTTAAGAATAAAATACCGTTATACAATATGGCGTGATATCGACATTTACATAACAAGATTGAAATTGTTTTGTGTTGGACATGGCGCTAGCTGCAACTGCAAAAGGCGGTTTTGAATTGAAACATGAGGTTATATTTAACTTCGTGAAGCGCTATCAAGTTCCAAAGTCACTTTTTTATAGCGAGGTTAACACCAAATGCGTTTCGTAAATGGCGTTACGTGAAACTCCACATCGCTATGTAACAGTTTCAGATGAAGCTTTGAAACATCACTGCAGGATACAGCTTAATCGGATTAGGGTCTGGATGCGGCTGGCAGATGTAAATCTGTTCATGTTGAATCATTACCGCTGGTATCCTCCGGGTCAAGGACGGTCTCGTCACAGTACACAAGTTGTAGTGTAACATTCCCAGTATTGTAATTAATTGTCAGATCATACAACTTGTACTACTGAACAACATCCCCTGTATCGTCAGATTATACAACTTGTACTATTAAACAACATCCCATCTATCGTCAGATCATACAACTTGTACTACTGAACAACATCCCCTGTATCGTCAGATATTACAACTTGTACTATTAAACAACATCCCCTGTATCGTCAGATTATACAACTTGTACTCTTAAACATCATTCCATCTATCGTCAGATAATAAAACATGTACTCTTGAACAAAGTCCCCTGTATCGTCAGATTATACAACTTGTACTATTAAACAACATCCCCTCTATCGTCAGATTATAAAACTTGTACTCTTAAACAAAGTCCCCTGTATCCCCAGATTATACAACTTGTACTATCAAACAACATCCCCTGTATCGTCAGATTATACACCTTTGACTAGTGACATCACTTGTTTGGTCAGATTATAAAACTTGTACTTTTGAACAAAGTCCCCTGTATCCCCAGATTATACAACTTGTACTATTGAACAACATCCCCTGTATCGTCAGATTATACAACTTTTACTAGTGACATCACTTGTTTGGTCAGATTATAAAACTTGTACTTTTGAACAAAGTCCCCTGTATCGTCAGATTATACAACTTGTACTATTGAACAACATCCCCTCTATCGTCAGATTATACAACTTGTACTGTTGCACAAAGTCCGCTGTATCTTCAGATTATACAGCGAGTATTAATGAACAATGTACCATGTATTGCCTGCTTCTTGTGAAACAAATTGCCGTGGAGATTCGTGGCAAAACACGTCCAATAGATGACGTCGCGGTATTCGTGTCAAAGATAATCTGTCACTATTGATTGTCTTTGTCAACACCTCGGCTGCAAGTTGAATAAGCCTATTTCACAAACCAGGTAATCGAAAATGCTAAAAATCCATAAAAGGATTATAGGAAACTGTTTGTTCATGTTCGTAAGCTAAGAGGGGTTCTATCAACGCGGGTGGGATTGTAATGAGTCGCTGGAAATTCTCCATGCAGGTCACATCAACAGGTTGTGTGCGTTAATGGCACAAATCATACGAACCGTCTTTGTGTGATACGTTTACTATTCAATAACAGGCCTCAACATAAAGTGTTGCAATTAGACAGATATTCCTATTCAGATCTTCAAATACTTGGTTCGAGTGCATGGCGCATAACAGTCAATTGCTTTGGGGTTGTTTTTTTCTTTTTTCTGCAATAATCACTAGGTTTCATACACAGGTCCACACAATTTTAGTTCGAGTATATCACAATTATTGTATGTGGGTAGGCAATATCAATTACTTGTTATTGTCTTGTTAGCTGTGGTGGGTTTATTGATGTATTTACTTTTAATCTGGCTTCTTTCACAATAAAAATTGCTGAGGATGCAGCCCAAATTATAACAACATCGGTAATCGGAACCGGAACATTGTTTTGATTCAGATCAAAATCCTACTCACCGAATGAAGCGATGAACTTGGTGCTCATGAAGTAGGCCAGTAGCTCTGATATGTGGTTGATGACAGACGCCAGACCAAACAGTGTGGGGCTGCCCCCCAGATCCTGCAAGTGCCAGAACAGGAAAGTGAAGATGATGCCGATCCCAAAGCCCATAAACCAGGCGATGAAGAGAACAGAGATGTACTTGTATGTCCCTAGCATCTTGATGACCGTCATCCATTTACTCATGAAGGGGTCTCCGGAGTAGTCATAGTCCCCGGGTGCAACCGCTCCTGGGGCCTTCAGGGCATCAGTTACCATGTCATGGTCCTTCCCAAGACTTATATGAAGAGGCCTATCTGATCCAGGTTTCTGGTCGCCCTGATATTGTTGTTGCTGCTGTTGTTGCTGCTGTTGTTGCTGCTGCTGCTGCTGTTGTTGCTGCTGCTGCTGCTGCCATTCTTGCTGCTGTCGCTGTTCCTGCTCCTGAACTCTTTGCTTCTCAAGTTCAGCATGGGTATATGCATCATCGTCATCCTCTTCTATAAGTCTCTGTCTGTCAATTTTCTTAATGCCTGTTATTGTTTGTTTAACTTTGTCCTTCACCTTCATAGTAATCTGAGAGAGGACTATTTCACGACCTTGACCTTGGTGATCAAATCTGAGCTGCAAGGCCGTGATGAAGGCACAACTCATGAGCACAGTGAACACTGCAAAACAAACCACGTAGTTCTTCTCAGCATGATGTTGTGTCCCACAGGGATGTTGAGGGAACGTAGTGGAGTGGTCCAGGGCAAGACCCACGAAGAACATAGATAAACCCCATCCAAGCGATCCAAACATTCTTTGTCTTCCGTAGTTTTCCGTGTCATCACCCAAAACAGCTAGAGTAACAGAATCTGCGAATGTTATTGCAGGTGCGCTGAAGAACTCTCCAATAACAACAAGTAGCAGTAGAATAAAGAACACCTCCTGGACCTCGTCTTCTCGATAGACGATGGTGCTGAAGGGCGAGTGCAACAGACCTTTCACGTCAGATTCATTGGCATTGGCGTACTTTGTATGGTCAAGTCGGCGGGGACTCTCACCTGTCCCCCGTCTGTGACGCATCACCAGAATATTCTCCTTCTCGTCGTGATGACGGGTGTACAGGTTCCTGGCCATGCCAAGTTGTTCCTCAATGTGGAAGGATGTCTCCCGTCTCTCCCGTCCTAGTGGTGTGATGAGGATGTCGTGAGTGCCGTTGTTGTTGATGCACCGTTCAGCAGGTGGAGTCACGAATGCTATGGCCAAGGTAAAGATGATCCAACAAAACAAGGAGAAAAGTAAAAGTTCCTTTGCGCGTTTGTATCTATCCGCAATACCACCCCAGAAAGGCGCGCTGAGAAACTCAATGAAAGGACGGAATCCTATGAGGACACCGCTCTGTGAGGGGTTCATACCAAGCTGCTTGAAATAAATGGCGAGGAGGGGAAACAAGGAGCCAAAGGCTCCGAAGAAGAAGAAATAGAATAGTTTGCATATGAGTAAATCCCGGTTGACCACAGTAAATAAAGTGTCGATGAGGTCCCGTGGCCGTGCAGGGTTCGGGGGGCCGGAGTTGAGACGTTTGGCGGTGTGTTGGTACTCACGGTCTTCCGTGGGCTGGGGGTAGCCCTCAGATGCCGGAGTTTCTTCAGCGTCGAAATCAGTCGCCATCTTGTTGAAGCGATTTGAGTAATGTCCTAAGGGGCTGATCTAGCGATCAACGCCGAATTAATGTAGACTGGTTTAACACGTAATACTAGTACTTTTCGGCATCCTCCTAATCTACCCGCCTTCTTCAAACAATGTCGACAACAGTGTGGCACTGGACAGACCTAATAAGCAGACGACAGCTTCAGTTACTACAGAGTGGTAGTGTGGAGCGTCACAGAGTCATCTTACAACAAGAGCACCTCTGCACCGATGTCTGCTGACTGAAGCTCTGCCTTGCCTAAACTGCAGCACAAGACACGGCCGGGGCGGTATTTACCAATAATCCACTGAGCTATTTCCAGTGATGGTGGTCCGCGACAGAAGCCTGGTACCGACAACCACTCCGCAATTACAGCAGATCGATACAGACTTTGGCGGGAAACTCACGCTCCGTTGGGCAGAAAGACCTCTCTATGTAGATATAGTACATGGTTTGCGCTGTAGCGTGTGGCTGACACGGGGATCCCAGTGGCACACGTTGCACACTGAGAGGGTGACGAGTTAAAAAAAGAAGAACACAACTTACCAGTGTAATAGAGTAATAGGCTTCAACACAATTTGTAGCAGCAGTGATGGATGACTTATGAATGTTTGCTGATTAGGGATTACTAACAAGAGGCACTGCCGTGGTATATCCACAAGGGAGCTATTGCTGTAGGATGGCGTGTTATAAGGACATACTGTAGAAGAGGGAGTTGTGATGACTTATGCCACTTTAATGGGAATATAGTACAGCAACGCTCATTAACATTTTTTATTTCAAAATATACGTTTATCATTTTCGTATCCGTCCTAACATGATCCTGGTCTGTTTTTATGTCTCCCTTTCAATGGAACAGTCTTCCAACTATCACTTTAACTTTAAATCCGTTATCGCAAACATTGGTATCTCACCCTCCTATGTTGTGAAGATTGCATCGTTATGTGTGTTCGTGTATCTAGATGGGAGAAAATACAGATGTTATCTATGGTAGAGTGAGTGGGCATATCGTGAAACTGATCGAGTGACTCAGTGGATCGTACATTGTCAGCATCAGCAACCGTTAGGGCAAGCAGCTATCAAATACACTCCTGAACACCAAACCAGCAATATCACAGGAGTTGTTGGTAATGAACTACATTCAACCCACTTGATGTAAACCACCCTTAACAGCCACGTCAAGGGATATACCTCTTTTTAATTATTACAATACTTTACATTTAATTAGGGGCCGACCATTTAATAGTCTGGGAGGGGCCTGGGATTATATCGAAAACAAATTGTCCCAGAAAATGGGAAAACAAAATTAATTATATAATGTATATTGTCTGCAAGATAGTCATTGTAAACATATAATTAAGTCTCATAGTTTTTATTTTGAAAAAGATCTAGTCTCGATACAAAAAAAACATCCATTCGGTCCCTTACAAGCATTTCTCTATCACAGTCACTGACTACGAGTTATGAGACGGCCAAGGTATGTCCCAGCAGTGCCTACGAGTTATTCATACTAGATCAGTGCCTACAAGACACACGTCTCTGAGACCGACTAGTCTATATGATCACCCTCAACACACCAAGTCAATCTCAACCTACCAGGTCACCCTCAACCCACCAGCCTGTATGATCACCCTCAACCCACCTGCCTGTATGATCACCCTCAACCCACCAGCCTGTATGATCACCCACAACCCACCTGCCTGTATGATCACCCTCAACCCACCAGCCTGTATGATCACCCTCAACACACCAGCTTGTATGATCACCCTCAACCCACCTGCCTGTATGATCACCCACAACCACCAGGTCACCCTCAACACACCAGCCTGTATGATCACCCTCAACACACCAGCTTGTATGATCACCCTCAACCCACCTGCCTGTATGATCACCCTCAACCACCAGTCTGTAAGATCACCCTCAACCCACCAGCTTGTATGATCACCCTCAACCACCAGCCTGTATGATCACCCTCAACACACCAGCCTGTATGATCACCCTCAACACACCAGCCTGTAAGATCACCCTCAACACCCCAGCCTGTATGATCACCCACAACCCACATGCCTGTATGATCACCCTCAACACACCAGCCTGTATGATCACCCTCAACCCACCAGCCTGTATGATCACCCTCAACCCACCAGCCTGTATGATCACCCTCAACCCACCAGCCTGTATGATCACCCTCAACCCACCTGCCTGTATGATCACCCACAACCCACCAGCCTGTATGATCACCCTCAACCCACCTGCCTGTATGATCACCCTCAACCCACCAGCCTGTATGATCACCCTCAACCCACCTGCCTGTATGATCACCCTCAACCCACCTGCCTGTATGATCACCCTCAACCCACCAGCCTGTATGATCACCCTCAACCCACCTGCCTGTATGATCACCCTCAACCCACCAGCCTGTATGATCACCCTCAACCCACCAACCTGTAAGATCACCCTCAACCCACCAGCTTGTATGATCACCCTCAACCACTAGCCTGTATGATCACCCTCAACACACCAGCCTGAATGATCACCCACAACCCACCTGCCTGTATGATCACCCTCAACCACCAGCCTGTATGATCACCCTCAACACACCAGCCTGTATGATCACCCTCAACCCACCTGCCTGTATGATCACCCTCAACCCACCAGCCTGTATGATCACCCTCAACCCACCTGCCTGTATGATCACCCTCAACCCACCAGCCTGTATGATCACCCTCAACCCACCTGCCTGTATGATCACCCACAACCCACCAGCCTGTATGATCGGCCTCAACCCACCTGCCTCTATGATCACCCTCAACCACCAGCCTGTAAGATCACCATCAACACACCAGCTTGTATGATCACCCACAACCCACCTGCCTGTATGATCACCCTCAACCCACCTGCCTGTATGATCACCCTCAACCCACCAGCCTGTATGATCACCCTCAACCCACCTGCCTGTATGATCACCCTCAACCCACCAGCCTGTATGATCACCCTCAACCCACCTGCCTGTATGATCACCCACAACCCACCAGCTTGTATGATCACCCTCAACCCACCTGCCTGTATGATCACCCTCAACCCACCTGCCTGTATGATCACCCTCAACCCACCAGCCTGTATGATCACCCACAACCCACCAGCTTGTATGATCACCCACAACCCTCCAGCTTGTATGATCACCCACAACCCTCCAGCCAATGTGATCACCCTCAACCCACCAGCCTGTAGGATCACCCTCAACCCACTGGCCAATGTGATCACCCTTAACCAACCAGCCTGTATGATCACCTACAACCCACCAGCCTAAATGGTCACCCTCAACCAACCAGCCTGTATGATCACCTTCAACCCACCAGCGTATATGGTCACCCTCAACCGTCCAGCCTGCATGATCACCCTCTTGAGGCCAGTCTATCACAGGCCTCCACTGCTAATACCAAGCGGTGTTAGCAACTGCAAGAAGTGAAGTTTTTTGCGCCTTGGGCCTATTGATTGTGTCTCGGCAAGCTTCATCAATAAAGGAGCAACCAGCAGCCCGACCTCACGAGACAAGGCAATGACGAAAAGAGCAAATAAGTTCCCGCTCATTTTCACACCGTTGATTGTGTTTATTACGAAAATGCTTATGTGATAAACGGCTCAACAACGTGGAATATAAAGCTGGAGGGTTTCCAGTGGATATACTGATGCAGTAGTAGTTATGTCATGGCAACACTAGACATGATGTGAGGACTGACATTTAACCCAGGCGCGTATGTTTAATATTTCACACCGCGCTTTTTTACATAAACAGCACCTGAATTAGCAAAACCCACTATATCATGTGTTTTAATAAACACGTCAACCAGATCACAATTATCACAATTTGTTATTCTTGAGATTTCCAAATTGATTTCACGTTGTACCGTTTTTAGAAGATTTTGAATCCATCAATTTGTCCATTACCCTCGGGAATGGTTGGGAGTAATTCTATAAGCCTATTCAAAAATATTTGTACGTGCTGCCAATGTCTGATATGTTCTGCGGTGTGGCAGGCATGGGAATAGTTGTGCCCACAACAGACTTCACTAGCTTATGGGGGTGTACGGAGAGCGAGTCTCGAAGTCTTCGAAGGCGCCGCAATTCGCTGTGCAGAGCTGATCCGGGTCCATGTGCGTGTCAGCAACTTCAATATCATTGGTTCGAATCCCGGTTCGCCCCGATTATTTTTCAGGTTTGTCAGCACCGGATACGTGCTCGTGGGTTTCACTTAAGTGGCAAACATCTTAGAACTTCATCACATACGGAGCTTACGTGATGTAACTGTAATACTGTTCAGTATTCAGTAGCCAAGGGCGAATGCCGTTAGCGGAGACGTAGCCTAGTGCTTAACTCAAGTTATCCATCTCCTTTGTTTCAGGGACAAATGGTTTGTGGTGGTAGGCTGATGGATAGATGAGAGAATAATGATGGAAGAATAGTGGTTGACAAATAGAAGCCAATGGTGGAAGAATAATGTATTATGTTTTGACAAATAGTGGGCAATTGTAGAAGAATAATGGATAATGGTTGAATAATAGCGGTCAATGGTGGAAAAATAAGGGATAATTGTTGACAAATAGTGAACAACGGTGGGAAAATAATGGATAATGGTTGACAAATAGTGGACAATGGTCGGAAAATAATGGATAATGGTTGACAAATAGTGGACAATGATGGGAAAATAATGGATAATGGTTGACAAATAGTGGACAATGGTGGGAAAATAATGGATAATGGTTGACAAATAGTGGACAATGGTGGGAAATAATGGATAATGGTTGACAAATAGTGGACAATGGTGGACAAATAATGGATAATGGTTGACAAATAGTGGACAATGGTGGGAAAATAACGGATAATGGTTGACAAATAGTGGACAATGGTGGAAGAATAGTGCTAGTGGTGGAACAATAGTAGATAGTGGTGGAAGAATAGTGGTTAGTGGTGGAAGAATAAAAGATAGTGATAGAAAAAAGTGGATAGTGAACGCAGAATAGTGGATAGTGATGGACGAATAGTAGATAGGGGTGGAAGATTGTGGATAGTAGTGGAAGAGTAGTGGATAGTGGCGGAAGAATAGTGGTTTGTGATGGAAGGATAATGGATAGTGGGGGAAGATTCTGGATACTGATGGAGGAATAGTGGTTAGTGGTTGAAGAATAGTGGTCAAAGTGTTTGCTCATCTCGCCAATGTCAAATTAATCAATGCTTGCTATGCGTGAAGGCCACACGATGCCAGGAAACTCATGTGAAAAGCACAGAGGCTTCCGATTCCCAAATACAGGTTACATATGAAACGTTTCACCTGTTACCATCATGAAATCGGATGCTACGGAAGATTTACCATCGTACAGCCGGGAAATGTTATACCGAGTTCTCCCTTTGACAGATTGATGGGTGGGACGAATTGTTTCCCTTGATAAGCTGATGAATCAATAAGGCCGTTACACACACACATGCGCCTAATGCAGATAATATGGCTACTTGTACCTAATTAATACACCAAAGTACATGTCATCTTGGCGGGGTAATTAAGGAAGACGCAAAGCACAATGTATATGAAAACATACCTTTTAATATATACACTGCCTGTCGGGGTTTCTTAATGGGAGACGTGAATTAACCTTATCAGTATGCATGGATGTGTTTGCATAGTATGGTAGCTCAGAATTATGCATAAATGTCTACCCTCGCTCTAGTACAGCAGATTGGCAGTCTTAGCCTGCTTTCTTCAAGTCCTCCACAACACTTCTTTCGCCGAATACTAGTAGCTTGTATCGATGTATCAGTTAGCGATTCCACCTATTAAACAGTCAGCTTCTAACAGGGCAATTATGATCTATATTATAAATAGTTTAAACATAAGCACGTATGGTTCTTACATCGGCAATGTAATATTGATCGTATCAGCGATCCTTTAAGTCAATATGTGGCGGTGTTAAAAATACGTTGCAACGTTTTGTATATGTGACCCAAACGTAAATGTTTAACATATGACACATTAACAAATTAATTCTGTCCGTCTGTCGATCGATCTGACTAAAACAACATCTCGACCTAAAGCTTGAAATGGGGTTTAACGTCGCGTCCACGATTATTGCACTTATATAGCGACGTGCATGTACGTGTGAGTGTTTGTGTGGCTGCTTGTACTAGTCCGGACTGATGCCGATTTATAGTGCTAGCCCACTGAGATACTATGCCGCAGTTTAACATGAATACCCCACTCAGATACAGTATACTGACTCCGAGCCGACCAGTCCTTGTTTTAGCCCCTGAATGCCGAGCGCCAGACAGGGTTACAACAAATACCATCTTTTAACGTCTTTTGGTATGACGCGGCCGGGGATCGAAACCCGGACATTCCGCTCTCCGGGCGGACGTTCTACCACTAGACCACGGAGACGGTCGATCTCATTTGGAGCCAAACGGACTTTGAATTAGTGACTTGAGAAACTGAGACATCTAGGGTGGCCCCTGTACATGATTTTGTTTCACTCTGTGTTTAACGTTCTTGTACAGAAGGTGAGACCTTCATAAATTATCCTCTCTCTCGAAAATGTACATGACTCCTGTGGTCTCGAAGACACTGACACAAAGCAATTATGTCCAACATTGAATACAGACATGTTCTTGCTTCAGTGTCGGGATCAGTGTGCTTGCTGCAGCCGAACGAGTCTAGTTTTCCCGCTAACTTGACGTGACAGACGACAGTGCCACGTAAGGCCGACACTGTGTCCTCCTAATTACATATTCTATTACGGAGATCGATAAGTCATCTAAACAAAGCAGCAGGCTCATCCAAACAGCCTTCTCCCTAATTAGTGGGTACACAATCAATGGCTCCGACAGGCTTCTTACATAAGACGAAATCTGCCAGCTCATTAGTAGAGCCCGCTATTTCAATCTCGGTCGTGGTTGGCGATGTCGTCTGTCACGCTGTTATGGTGGAGTTTTTGTAGTTGTGGGTGGATTGATATTAGATATTGGAAACCGCATCAACGGTAGTCATGGAACGGATCTAATAACACTTGCACAGAGCGTGTGTGTCGCCGAATGAACTAATACTGAATGTAAATCGTGATAAAGACGTTGCTGTAAAACCTTGACTGGAAGACGATTCGACCTTGAACTCTACAGTAGTCTCTATTGCGATGTAAGACAACTTGTTTTGCATGTTCTGTTAAACGTAGGTCAACGTCAACAAAATAGTTAATAGGGAAAGGAGGGGACTCTGTTTCCTGCAATGGTATTTCAAAACGCACTGCATGAACATGCAATAAATAGTTTGAGTCACTTAAGAGTGAGTGAGTGAGTGAGGTTTCAGCAGCATTCCAGTAATATCAAGGAGTGGTGCACCATCACCAGCAAGATTGTACCCATGTGGGGAATCGAACACGTGTACCAGGCTAACCCTTTTCCTGGGAAGGAATATCCGCGAGGAACCAGTGAGCCTCCCTTTTTTAAAACATAAATCATCAAATTTAAAAAAAATGAAGCGAAATACTAATTTAATGCCCTCAAATAAATTATATTAATTTGACACTGTCGGTTCTCTGCCCATTTTGGAGAAGGTTCAATCGAAATGAACTCTAATCCCCTTGCATTCATTTCCTACATTTTATTCGACACCATACCGGCCCTATGGGACTGTCTCTTGGCCTAGGTTGGAGGCGGTGAGGTAACATGGGGTTTAAGGTCGCGTTCAATATTATTGCACTTATACAGCGAAGTGCATGCACATCCGAACTTATGCCGGCTGTATAGTTCCATATAGCGAGCCAACTCCCTCTCTCTCCATTTCTGCGTGAAGATCTGATGACACCTCCGTGGAAGGTGAATCCCCGAGAAAACTGTTACCCCTCAATCTGAATGTTTGTTGTTTGTTTTGTTTGTTGTTAAACGCCGCTCTCAGCAATATTCCAGCTATATGAGGGCGGTCTGTAAATAATCGAGTTTGGACCAGACAATCCAGTGATTGACATCATGAGCAACGATCCACGTAAGTGAGATACGATGACATGCATCAACCAAGTCAGCGAGCCTGACGAGCCTGACCATCCGATCTTAGTCGACTCTCACGACAAGCATAGCTTGCTTTTACGGCAAGCATGGGTTGCTGAAGACCTATTCTACCCCAGATCTTCACGGGTCCTGGATGAAGGAAGGTCAGTTCTTGAGCCAATCACAAGTCAGCTTTCCAAAACTTCGAACTGAGGAAAAGAAATCCCCTACCGAAAACATATCTACCCCTAAAAGGACACCCTTTTGGGTGCAGACGCCTTGTCGCTCAGAATTGAACGATGTATAAATTTTCAACACTATAATAGCTCGGCTTTATGTCTTAGAAGCCTCAACATTCATTTGTTGTTCATTAAATCTTCCCGAGACAAGCGTGTCTACTAATCTGTATCAAAGCCTAGTTCTAAAAACAAGACTTTGATAGACTAGTGGACACTCTTGCCTTGGGAAAATGTTTGCGGTTTAGAAAGTTCAGCTGTCAAGGACTCCTATGGAGGTAGTAGATGTAATTTCGACAGACTGACAGAGGAATACAAAAGAAACAACATTTAATCCAACATGCGTTCCCCTGGCTGGGTCCAACAGGAAGGAAATACCAGTTATTGATGATGCAAGTGTTTATTTACAATGTATGACAATACAAGTGATTATTTACAAATCATGACAATTCAAGTTTTGTTTTACAATGTATGATGATGTAAAGCAGCTCTCACACTTTGCCGAGTTGGTTGCCGAGCTCTCCCGAGCCTAACTCGGTTAGGACTCGGGAAGAGACTACACATATACGAGTATCATACGAGTACGCTACGAGTGTTACGAGCCCCATAGGAGTCCAATAGAAGTCCAATAGGAGTCTAATAGGAGTCTATTAAGAGTTGCATAATTCGGGGGGATTTTTTCACATGATTGAACATGGAGGCTCGTATAGCTCGTATTAGACTTGGTCAACTCGGCAATAAATTTTGCAGACGATCCTCATACGAGTTCTGTACGAGCACCACGAGGTCGCCACGAGGGTACTACGAGTAGGACGATTTTGTTACGATTGTGTTACGAGTGTGTTACAAGTGTGTTACGAGTGTGTTACGACTTGGCTAGCGGCCCCAGTGTTTTGAGCAGTTCCAAAACTCTCGTCGATCAGTACGAGGTATCCCGAGTTACCCCGAGTTTAGTACGAGCTCCATACGAGTACCCCCGAGTCAGCTCGGGTCCATACTTGGGACGCAGCTCGGCAAAGTGTGAGAGCCCCTTAATTCCGAATGTGTGTCAGTTACAACGCTGAGACTTCAACATACTTCTTCAACAAACAAAACACTCATCCCCAAACATCTAAAAACGATGACGTTGTTCTTGCAGTTGATTCTGAGCAAGGAATTCACTAGCCATTCTGACCTTGCAGTTTAACAAGGAAAATTGATGCAACTATAGGTCATTATTCAAAATCATATAGAAATTATATCAACCATACGATAGCTTGAGTCCGAAAAATCACTAGACTCTGTTGACTACGGAAGTAGAATTAACGAGCCCGATACGATTCTTTGGTATCAATAGATTCTAATGGCTTCTCCATTACAGAATAAACTGCCCATACAGAAACAGCAACATGTAGAAACTTCAGTATGTTAATGAGATTTATCATCCAAAACTGGCTCCCACAGGAGATATCCTTGGATGAGATCAAGCGATATCTACACTGTAGATATAACTAATTATATGTTCAATTATAGGTGACAAAATGCAGTTGTGGTGACCACAATATTCAAAGTATGTATGACAATAAGTATGTATGACAATAAGTATGTACTACAACAGAAATCAATTGAGAAAGTGTATTTCAAGTTTTGGGGACAACAGAGAGCTTGAGTTGTTGCAACTAAAGCGCTTGGTTGTAAATTAAAATTTGAGCATATACAGAACCATACATGTTAATAGGCTAGTATCAGCTCAAGAAACTTCCCAAAACACTTCACTCAATATCTTTGCTAACACGAAAGATTTTTGTTTAATTTTGTCATGGTAGAATGAAGATAAACATCTACAGGTAACCTAGTTCTGCATTGAAAACATGGTGTGTTTAGTCTCTATACAATTGGCAGCATAACATTGTATATCTGTAGATGTGCTCCAAATATCATGTAACCATAGTAACCTACGATCCCTTGGCTCTGCATGGTAATTATTGTCAGTCTCCCCTTCTGACCCCAGACAATAAGCTTTGTTATCTTCACCTCACATCCTTGGGCTCACATCTATCTACTGATTGACATCACAAGTAAATTACACTCGGGCACACGTGATTCTGATTGTAATTGACAAATGAAAACCTTTAATGAAAGCTAGGCTATCCCTCTTATCAAGCAATTAAACATCCATCACCTAGAATATACCTGAAAAAAGAGCATCTCTCTGTATTCCCTCCCCATTCTATCTGAACCAACTGTGCCTCATCCTAAAACTACTGATTCCAACCCCCAAGCATTCTCCTTGTGCCCCACCCCTTGTCCCCTACTCCACCTGATTCCACCCCCCTGAGGCGTGAGGCAAACACGTGTCAGAGCCACTCTCCTGCCCCACCCCTTGTCCCCTACTCCACCTGATTCCACCCCCCAGCACAGAGAGCCACATACATGTCAGAGCCACTCTCCTTCCCCACCCCTTGTCACATCCCCTTCTCAACCTGATTCCACCCGCCTGAGGCGCGAGCCACACCCGTGTCAGAGCCACTCTCCTGCACCACCCCTTGTGTTGTCCCCTGATCCACATCATTCCACCCCCCAGCACCCAACCCCCAAGCATTCTCCTTGTGCCCCACCCCTTGTCCCCTACTCCACCTGATTCCACCCCCCTGAGGCGTGAGGCAAACACGTGTCAGAGCCACTCTCCTGCCCCACCCCTTGTCCCCTACTCCACCTGATTCCACCCCCCAGCACAGAGAGCCACATACATGTCAGAGCCACTCTCCTTCCCCACCCCTTGTCACATCCCCTTCTCAACCTGATTCCACCCGCCTGAGGCGCGAGCCACACCCGTGTCAGAGCCACTCTCCTGCACCACCCCTTGTGTTGTCCCCTGATCCACATCATTCCACCCCCCAGCACCGAGAGCCTCCCCTGTGTCAGAGCCACTCTCCTCTTCCTCCTCTTCATGTTTCTTCAGCTTCTTAATGAGATCTGCAAGAACATAACCACCACGCATCAGGTCCCTCTCACACACCATCAAATACAGACAGAGCACTATTGCTTGTTTCTTGACCTTGCAATCAGCAATATTCCAGCTGTCACTAAATCTGGACCAGACAAACTAGTGATTCATATTACGACCAATGCTCCACTCTGCCGTGGTGCAAAGATGGCAAAAGCGGCACCATTAACATTTTTCCAGCAATATTGTGGTGAGGGACACCAGAAATAGGTTTTACACATTGTGCCCATGTGGGGAATCGAATTTGGGTTTTCAGTGTGATGAGCGAACGCTTTAACAACTAGGCTACCCCAACGCTACAATGAATGCATAAGGAGAGATGAGGTGAAATTGGGTTGGACATTGCGTGTATGTGCGTGCGAATGTGACTGCTTTTATTAGCCCAGACTTTTGCCGGTTTTACAGTGCTAGCCCACTGAGATGATATGCCGCAGTTTAACATGGATACCCCTAACAGAAACAGCATACTGACTTCGAGCCAACCAGTCCTTGTTTTATCCCCTTTATGCCAACCACCAGGCAGGGTAACAACAAGTTCCATCTTTTAAATTATTTTGGTATGATGCATCTGGGGATCAAACTGTCCACCTTATGCTCTCCAGACAGATGCACTCTCCACTGGACCACAGAGGCAGTCAAATGCATCAGGAAGGGAGAATTAACAAGATCTAGAAATATGAATCCTCTTATGCAGTTTACACAACACCACTGATACCTAACACACCGACTCACCTTTAGCAGGGTTGAATACACCATTAGTTTGTTCATTACACACAAAGCATCTTCTAGACTTTTTGAATTGACTCAGTGCACATTTCTCACAGAAATAGTGCTTGCATCTGAAAAACAGAAGGAACATATTTCCTTATTAAAGTCTTTGAACAAGGCTATTATCAAATATTGAATTTATCCTTCTTATGTTGAAGCATTCAGAATAATATTTAGAGGCCAGATGAGGTTTAACGTCGCATTCAAGATTATTGCACTTACATAACGTGTGTGTCTGCTTGTACTCATCCAGACTTCTGCAGGTTTTATAGTGCTAGCCCACTGAGATACCACGCCGCAGTTAAACATGGTTACCCAACTCAGACACAGAATACTGACTTCGAGTTGATCAGTCCTTGTTTTAGACCCTAAATGCCAAATGCCAGGCAGAGCAACAACAAGTATCATCTTTAAAGTCTATTGATGACATGACTGGGGATCGAACCTCTGACCTTCCACTCTCCGGGCAGACATTCCATCCACTAGACCACGAGATGGTTACTAACATTTAGCATGTTCAGAGTACCTCTCTGTGAGGAAACCAACCACACTTGATTTGAGTCAGGTGAGCTAAACAATGGGGAAGGTAACAGTGTGGCATTTTGAATCATTAACATTTTAAAAATGGCAGATTACATTTTGCATACCTGACCTTTCTATTCTTTCAGGAAATACACTCAAACGATCAATGGTTGAATTTCTTCAATCAACTCCACATCCATAATCCTGATAATAGGACTAAGGTTCCTGATCATGTGCAATAATCAGATCCTCAAGGATATCCTCAAGGAACCATGCCAAATGTCCCCAACCTGAATCCGCTATATTCACTCATGCATTGGACCCCCAATAATTATAACTCTGTCTCCATATCTCATAACAGTGAGTGAGTGAGTTGGGTTTAACGCCGCTTTTAACAGTATTCCAGTTATATCATAGCGTGTCAGCCTAATGTGAGAGGAAAGCCCGAAGTGTTGCAGGTCTCAGACGTTTACCACTTCGGTGAAACCCACAAGCACGGGTATGGTGCTGACAAACCTAGAAACATAATCGGGGCGAACCAGGATTCGAACCCACAATCATAGATTTCTGTCGTGCACAGCGAATCTCGGCACCTTAGACGACTTGGACCACCCGTGCCCCCGACTCATAACAGACCCTGCATGACCTTGACAAATGGGACTTCACTCTGGCTAGACTAAGACACAGACAAATCATCATGATGGCGACAACTTGCTGAGCTAATATATGCTCCGAAATTGGTCGATAGAGAAAAAACAATTAGACAAGGCCAATATGCAGCCTGTTAATCAAACAAGCTGGGCTGGCATTGAGAGATAATGTACCTGTAGCTGATGTATCATGGCTAGACAGTAACATACAGGCCCGTGGGATTAAATGATAAATGGATCTACAACTGTATACCACAGAATACTACATGGCTACATTCAAAGTCCATGTGACAAAGCAGTTACGAGGCCTCATTTCTCAGTTGTCGTCTAGTGGTTGGAGGAGCCATTTCTAGAATCAATACAAGTGCATCAATACGTCTGGGGTTTTGTGTTGTGTAACAGCCATGATAGCCAAGTATATTGGAGTATTCAACTCACTAAGTATTCTTACTTACTTTTAGGGTGTCACGATTCATCGATGTATCATTATTTACACCTGGCGATACACTATACGCCAACCCAAGTATCAATTCATGTTTGGATTGTGTCACTTTTCAAAAAGTAATTATAAGTTTTGATATAAACCAGCCTGATAATAAGTTACTTGGCCAACATTACCCCACTGGCTATCAAGAAACATAAATGCTAAATGCCTGCATGAAACTATTAGTGAGTGAGTGAGTTGGGTTTTACGCCGCTTTTAACATTATTCCAGTTATATCGCAGCGTGTCAGCTTAATGTGGGAGGAAAGCCCGAAGTGATGCAGGTCTAAGACATTTACCACTGCGGTGAAACCCACGAGCATGGGTATGGTGCTGACAAACCTAGAAACATAATCGGGGCGAACCGGGATTCTAACCCACAATCATAGGTTTCTGGCGTGCCCAAGGGACGCAACTCTGCACAGTGAATCGCGGCGCCTTAGACAACTAGGTCACCCGTGCCCCCTGAAACTATTAGAACAAGCCTAAATTAACATGTGAATCGAACACAGACTTGACAGCAACAACCTTTTGTTAGCAGGCTGCACGGAACATGAAGAATTTCACGCAAATATAGAAATGTTTAGTATCACAATACATATTGTTTCATGACTCATGCATCATATTATGGCTTGCAGGGTTCCATCTCTATTTTCCTACAGTGCCGATCGCCTACAGCAAAGCTGGTTTTTAGTGCACTTTGACTACACTATTGAAAATGCACCCATTACATTAATTGTGGTAGTCCAAAGTGTTTTTGTATGGTATTATTACTTTAGTCTCTGTTGAAAAACCTGTGAGTTGCTTTGAAACATGGTGTTGTTTATATATTTCCTCTCAACGCCCAGTAGATGAAAGGGGAACTCTGTACATTTTCATAAGTTATGAATCCTTTGAAAAAATGGTTGTGTTCATAGTAAAGCTAAGTGTCAAAGTGTCAAATATTTGTTATCCATTTTTTACTATGTTCATGTATATAAAATAAACTACAAGTCTAAAATTATTCCTTGTTTGTTGGCAATGGCATTGCATGGATAAGTTCATTACAGTGAGTGTGAGTGAGTTGGGTGAGTATTCCAGTTATATCACGGGCGTGTCAGATTAATGTGGGAGGAAAGCCCGAAGTGATGCAAGTCTTAGGCGTTTACCACTTCGGTGAAACCCACGAGCACGGGTATGGTGCTGACAAACCTAGAAACATAATCGGGGCGAACCGGGATTCGAACCCACAGTCATAGGTTTCTGGCGTGCCCAAGGGACGCAACTCTGCACAGCGAATAACGGCGCCTTAGACGATTGGGCCACCCGTGCCCCCAAGTTCATCACAGTATGGGGATGAAGGTTTTGCTAGTGTTTGCCATGAACCATGAAGTTGTTTTGAGTGCACTGTAGGCAATAAGACACCATTTGCTGGAGCATGAGGTGGGCATATTGTGATACAACTACTAACTCAGGGATTTATCCTGGATTCCTGGAACATGGGAACAAAATTGTGATATTGTACCAAACAGGATTGTTTAATGTTATTGGTATTGCATTCTGTTTCATCACCAGGTTTTCGTCTGTGTGAGACAATATTGACACCGATGTCTGGCTGCTGGCGATGTGGAGAAGGTAGTTTGTTCACTACCTGTACGAGTACTGATGCACTCACTTGGTTATTATTGGGTTCTTGAAAGAATCTCGACATATGAAGCATTTGAAAGGGAGATCATCTTCATCACTGCTGATCTCGTAGTTTCGTTCATCTGGAATGACACATCAAGTACAATTAGTTTGTGAACATATACAGGGCCAGAAGAAACATCAACAACAACACATAGGTGGGCCGAGACCCATGATGTTTCACTACTGTCTGATGTACATGATCAACATGAACAGACATACAGTGATAGAAAACACGAGTAACGATCTACATCTGATGTACATGATCTACAAGGGGTGTTCATTAAAGATTTCCCGCAATTTCCGCAGCAGTGAAGCATAATCATGATAATAGGCTCCTGTAATTGTGGTACCCTTTGCCAAGAAATCCATCATCACTATTCCGTGCTGGTCCCAAAACACCGTGAGCATGACCTTGCCTGCAGAGGGTTGGACATGTGCCTTCTTTGGGGGTGGTGAATCCACATGCTCCCATTGCATCGACTGAACTTTAGTCTCAGGAACATAGTGATGGACCCATGTTTCATCCTGTGTGATAAGTCTGTCAAAAAAGTTTGCCTGTTTTTTTTGCACTTGTTCAAAAGATCCTTTGAGCAATTGACTCGTTCCTGCTTTTGGAAAGGTGTGAGCAACCTGGGAATCCATCGTGCAGACACTTTTTGCATGTTCAAATTGTCATGGATGATTTTTTCCACAGACCCTACACTGATCTTGACATCTTGTGCTAACTGGCGAACAGTTATACATCGGTCTGCCAAAATGGCGGTCTCCACTTGATGGATAGTGTCCTCATCAATGGCTGAATGGGGGCGACCAGGAATGGCAGTTGTTTCCACAGATGTCCGACCACACTTGAACTGGCGATGCCAGTGTTTAACAATGTCATATGATATCTTCCCCATAAGTTGCTTTCATTTCATCGAAAGTTTCTTTTGGTGTGCGACCTTTCAATTATAAAACCCTAATCACTGCTCGGTATTCATAACACCTGTGAAAGTGGTAAGATTAATAGTTCAGTGTTGCAAATTCAGACATAACCCAAAGATACATGTATCATCACACATGTGAAATTTCAACCAAATATGAGTGCTTTAGGGGAAATCTTTAATGAACCCCCCTCGTACATGAACAGAAATACAGTGATAGAAAACACGAGTAACGACCTACGTCTGATCTACATGATCTACATGAACAGACATACAGTGATAGAAAACACAAGTAACGACCTACGTCTGATCTGCATGATCTACATGAACAGACATACAGTGATAGAAAACAGGAGTAACAATCTTCGTCTGATCTGCATGATCTACATGAACAGACATACAGTGATAGAAAACACAAGTAATGATCTACGTCTGATCTACATGATCTACATGAACAGACATACAGTGATAGAAAACACGAGTAACGACCTACGTCTGATCTGCATGATCTACATGAACAGACATACAGTGATAGAAAACAGGAGTAACAATCTTCGTCTGATCTGCATGATCTACATGAACAGACATACAGTGATAGAAAACACGAGTAACGACCTACGTCTGATCTGCATGAACAGACATACAGTGATAGAAAACACGAGTAACGACCTACGTCTGATCTGCATGATCTACATGAACAGACATACAGTGATAGAAAACACAAGTAGGGATCTATGTCTGATGTACATGATCTACGTGAACAGACGTACAGTGATAGAAAACACGAGTAACAACCTACGTCTGATCTGCATGATCTACATGAACAGACATACAGTGATAGAAAACACGAGTAACGATCTACGTCTGATCTGCATGATCTACATGAACAGACATACAGTGATAGAAAACACAAGTAACAATCTTCGTCTGATCTGCATGATCTACATGAACAGACATACAGTGATAGAAAACACGAGTAACGACCTACGTCTGATCTATATGATCTACATGAACAGACATACAGTGATAGAAAACACGAGTAACGACCTACGTCTGATCTATATGATCTACATGAACAGACATACAGTGATAGAAAACACGAGTAACGACCTACGTCTGATCTATATGATCTACATGAACAGACATACAGTGATAGAAAACACAAGTAACGATCTACGTCTGATCTATATGATCTACATGAACAGACATACAGTGATAGAAAACACAAGTAACGATCTACATCTGATCTGCATGATCTACATGAACAGACATACAGTGATAGAAAACACGAGTAACGATCTACATCTGATCTGCATGATCTACATGAACAGACATACAGTGATAGAAAACACGAGTAACGATCTACGTCTGATCTGCATGATCTACATGAACAGACATACAGTGATAGAAAACACGAGTAACGACCTACGTCTGATCTGCATGATCTACATGAACAGACATACAGTGATAGAAAACACAAGTAACGACCTACGTCTGATCTGCATGATCTACATGAACAGACATACAGTGATAGAAAACACAAGTAACGACCTACGTCTGATCTGCATGATCTACATGAACAGACATACAGTGATAGAAAACACAAGTAACAATCTTCGTATGATCTACATGATCTACATGAACAGACATACAGTGATAGAAAACACGAGTAACGACCTACGTCTGATCTGCATGATCTACATGAACAGACATACAGTGATAGAAAACACGAGTTACGACCTACGTCTGATCTGCATGATCTACATGAACAGACATACAGTGATAGAAAACACAAGTAACGACCTACGTCTGATCTGCATGATCTACATGAACAGACATACAGTGATAGAAAACACAAGTAACAATCTTCGTCTGATCTACATGATCTACATGAACAGACATACAGTGATAGAAAACACGAGTAACGACCTACGTCTGATCTGCATGATCTACATGAACAGACATACAGTGATAGAAAACACGAGTAACGATCTACGTCTGATGTACATGATCAACATGAACAGACATACAGTGATAGAAAACACAAGTAACAATCTACGTCTGATCAGCCAAGTCACACAGAGTAACCTGATCCCCTATCCCAGGTCTTACAGGACAGTTTGTTCTGCATCCCAACACAAACAGTGTTGCATAACAATATATAAGATAACTATGCGATAAATCACAAAGAACAAAGAAGAACAAAGCGTGGTGTATTTCACGATAAAACATTGTTCTCTCTTGATGTCATTTCTGGAGATTCGAACATGTGCTCGCAACTTCATGACGTCATAAATTGGACAACGTTAGTTTTGAGAGGGAAGTGTCTACTAAGTTGTTGCCCATAGAGGTAGCTGGACAGTGCAGATGAACTCAATGGCGGAATAATCGCACCCAATAGTGGGAGAGATATGCAAATCAGTTTTGGCAGAAGAGGTGCAGATAATCAACTTGAAAATTGTGCGAATACCAAAGTTCACCCCCTGTACATAAAATGGTGTTGTCAGACATTGACAAGATCGGATTCTATTCAGGGAGTCAACATTATTTAAATATGGGGAAATGTTTTTTAACCTTGTATAATTTATTGACATCCTTAAAAAGGCTGTACAAAATGTTGATATCTCATATAAGAAATATACGACTCTACAATAAAACACTGCAGGGAGAATAAACAAACCCTGCAGTGTTTTATTACAAGATAAACAACTCCCACCTGTCATTTATTTCTTAAATCACAGCCATGTCTCTTTTAAAATGTTGCGAGGAATTGAAAATAGATAAGTAACAAAAAAAAACATTACTGATATGATTTGGTTGCTTTCTCACCACAGGGTACATATTAGAACTTTGTTCAGATTTTGGTGAGTAATACGGAAGTTAACGTTAACTCTAGAAAAGAGAGTCCTATAAAGCCTTAAGAAGAGATAGAGGGGCTTTATGTCATGAGAAAATCTGTTTTTCAAATTCAGTCTCACTAAGTATCTTAGATAAGCTGGCAATGTTTCATTCATGTAACATCAGTGGTTTCTGAGAAAATGTTCCCCACAGCAGACACTATGCACTAAACAAAACTAAATAACATGGATCAAGGGCCATAACTGTGTATCCATAAAATCTAAAAACATTTAAAATGATAATAGCAAGGGAAGCAACTCTGGAAAAATATTATTTACAGCACCAATTTCATAAATCAGTCTTAAAAAGTATCTCTTTGATAAGCATGCAAACTTTCATTAATATAACTTCAGTAGTTTCTGAGAAAACCTGTCCCCATTTCACGCAGTATGCACTGAGTGGAAAAGCACAGAGCAAGGGTCATATAAAAAATTATTAACGACACCAATTTTCAAACTCATTTAAGATCATGACCTGTTACATTAGTGTGTAAAACATAACTTCTCAAAGTTAAATACCGTATTAAATGTAATAAGCGCCCAGGGTGCTCTGAAAATTAGAAATAGGGGGCTCTTATTAGAATATTATTTTGGTGAAAGAAACAGAGTTGAAAGATAAATTTCGTGGTTTATGCTGACGGCCTGAACTGTTTATATACGGCAGATATATTTTTCCAGAATTTAATTGCCATTAATTAAGGGTCCATATAACACACGAGTGCGTATTATACACAAATAAATAAGTCTTGTGTACATTGATCAATCGGAAGGGGTGCTAATTGGGATTGTTCACTTGCCAATATATCAGCAAATATCGCTGTGGGCGCTTATTAGAGCGGGGCGCTTATTACGTCGAATACGGTAGATTTTGAGAAAATTTGTCCCAACTGAGAAGCCGACGGCAACCACCCTAACCACAAGGCCAGCCCATCACTCCAGGAATATTCTTCAAATAGGAAGGCAAAGTAAAATACAGGACTCAATAGGCACCAACAGATGTTGAACTCACCATCTTTGTTGGCCTTTTGTTCGTCTCGCTCCAGCTGCCATCCATGTTTGTAATCACCACGATCGTGCAGGAACTTGCAGCTGTCTGCAACATACAACATCAGTGTCAGCAGGCACTCAATCCAGATTAACAAACATTTTAACAGTCTTTTTACCCTCAGTATGATCATGATGATAGTCACTCAAAAGTAACAATAAGATAAGCCAATAATGAATAATGAAATGATTATAATTTCCAAGTCAGAAGATAAGGAGCCATGATGACATGTTCTTGTGAATCAATTACAGTAAACTTTGTTCTGAAATTCCAATTTGCAAATGTATACATTGTATTTTATGACATGAAAGCTGATTAACCTTACCTCCAAATCCACAAAAGCCAGTTTCCTTGAAGTCTTTACAGATGTCAGGCTGGTAGTCCCATCTCACGGTCGCCCTCAGGTGGGCCGGAGCTCGGATTGGACCTTTCCTGAAACAGTATGTATAGACTTTCTTCAGGGTAGTATGTACCTTGCCTGTCCCTATCTCTCTTTAACGCAAGGAAATATATTCATTTGTAATCAATCAAATATATGTATGTAAGACAGAGATAAATTGTATTTTGAAGAGGACTAAGGTTTTTTATCCCTTTTTCTTATGTTAAGATACGATGGGTAGTTATCAAGGGCCGAGACTGGCAAAGTCCATGTCTATGCTTTGTTCAAAATACACTGTTACACAGTGCAACTGGACGAATATCTATTTATGAATGACAAATGGAAAACAAAAGCAGTCATTTTTCAAACATAATCAATTCTTACTGGCAGTGTTAGTAATGAAAACCCCATGGGGATTCTGGATTAGAATTGGTCCCTAGCAGCCTATGCTGGTCGTAGTACCCATACAAAGCTACCTCATGGATTGGGTGGTCAGACTCGGTGAATTGGTCCCTAGCAGCGTGTGCTGGTCGTAGTACCCATACAAAGCTACTTCCTGGATTGGGTGGTCAGACTCGGTGACTTGGTCCCTAGCAGCCTATGCTGGTCGTAGTACCCATACAAAGCTACTTCATGGATTGGGTGGTCAGACTCGGTGAATTGGTCCCTAGCAGCCTATGCTGGTCGTAGTACCCATACAAAGCTACCTCATGGATTGGGTGGTCAGACTCGGTGAATTGGTCCCTAGCAGCCTATGCTGGTCGTAGTACCCATACAAAGCTACTTCCTGGATTGAGTGGTCAGACTCGGTGACTTGGTCCCTAGTAGCCTATGCTGGTCGTAGTACCCATACAAAGCTACTTCCTGGATTGAGTGGTCAGACTCGGTGAATTGGTCCCTAGCAGCCTATGCTGGTAGTAGTACCCATACAAAGCTACTTCATGGATTGGGTGGTCAGACTCGGTGACTTGGTCCCTAGCAGCCTATGCTGGTCGTAGTACCCATACAAAGCTACCTCATGGATTGGGTGGTCAGACTCGATGAATTGGTCCCTAGCAGCCTGTGCTGGTCGTAGTACCCATACAAAGCTACTTCATGGATTGGGTGTTCAGACTCGGTGACTTGGTTGGCAAGCAAAACCAAGATGTCAAAGTTTCCACAATTCACTGCGCAGAGTTGCATCCATGATCATGGATTTGAATCCTAAATTCAGAACTGATAACAATCTTGGTTCGTCCTCATCTTGCCCATCCTCATGGGTTTCACCAAAGCAGTAAAACGATCTTAACGTTACGACTATCGTTAGCCATTGTTAAAGTATGGGAGTTACGATCACCTTAGCGCTAAGATGGCTTTGTGGAACGGGGTCCTGGACTTTCTTCCCCCAAAAAGTGACACGCCATTGCTTAAGAAATACTGTCAGTGACGTTAACACTCACCCACATGCTGATGACAACCGACATGCAGACAATCCTACCTGACACTTCCACTGGAAGCATTCCCCGCCGCTGTGTCTTTCTTCTCGTAGTACACAGCGTAGTTGTTCATACCCCGGTAAACCTTGTCATCCTCTTTACCCTTCAGCCCCTTGTTGATGATCTGAGCTCTCTCGAAGATGGCTTGTGCATCCTGCTCCAGAGCAGTGTCTATCTCCACAATGGCCGTGGCTCCCATGTCACCTGGCCCTTCTCGTTTCTAGTAAAGAAGATTCATAATACATTTAGCATGGCCCTAAATCAGGAATCACTAGCTATTAGTAGACTCAGGTGTGTTTTTTAATGCTAGTGTTATGGAGCCTTAGAAAATCTATGCTACTGGAACATTATAGTTCACAGAGTTGTCTCCCTTTAAGGAGGCAAGGGCTGCTCAATAAACAGTGATGTGGAATAGATAGTTGTTTGTTTTTAGCGGATGTCTAAGTTTGTATTTTTGCTAACTAAAATGTCTCATTGTTGATTTAAATGCGAGGTTTATCAATGCGAGCAAAGACCACTCTCATTTTTCGCATTTGATTCACGCTTGCGTTAATTTCACGATTTACAGTCATTGTTAGCTGCATGTTTGGAATTGTAAAATCAGATTTCTACTGAGAAAACAAACTTGCCATGTATTAATTACAGTCTGTTCAATGTATTACTTATTGCTTCACTGGTTGTTGGCCATCAACCATTTTCATGTGTACTATTTAAACAATATCTGAGCAGGAGTATTTGAATTTGATAAATATTCTGATTCCAAATCCAGATGGATCAGATAATGGATTACAAACACAGTGCTACAGATATTTCTAGAAGTGGGAACTTTCCCTACCCCTGTTCGACTTGACTTGTATGCCAGGGACAGCCTCGTCTCATCCTCTGAGCTTTCACTGCTGTAGTTGGCATTATTTGTCACCTTCACTCTCTTTGTCTAAATAAACACAAAAGCAAAAGCATATGACAATTCAGCAAATAGGAAAGCATAGGGGTGGTTATACATACGTTTCCACAATTGGAGGAGCATCCACTAATATTACAGATTACAGTGAAGAAATATATTGTGAACTAACATACATCATTGATTGATTGATTGATTGAATGATTGATTGATTATTTAACGCCGTATTCCGCAATATTCCAGCCTTGTGACGGTAGTCTGTAAATAATCGAGTCTGGACCAGACAATCCAGTGATTGACATCATGAGCATCAATCCACACAATTGGGATCGATGACATGCATCAAACAAGTCAGCGAGTTTGACCACCCGATCCTGTTAGTCAACTCTTATGACAAGCATAGTCGCCTTTTACAGCAAGCATGGGTTGCTGAAGACCTATTCACAGGTCCTAACATACATCAAATCAAACTGTCAAAAATGAAAACATGCTTAAAGTGAGTGAGTGAGTTGTGTTTAACACCGCTTTTAACATATTCCAGTTATGTCACGGCGTGTCAGCTTAATGTGGGTGGAAAGCCCGAAGTGATGCAGGTCTTAGACGTTTACCACTTCGGTGAAACCGACGAGCACAGGTATGGTGCTGACAAACCTAGAAACATAATCGGGGCGAGCCGGAATTCAAACCAACAATCATAGGTTTCTGGCGTGCCCAAGGGACGCAACTCTGCACAGCGAATTGTGCTGACAAACCTAGAAACATAATCGGGGCGATCCGGAATTCAAACCCACAATCATAGGTTTCTGGCGTGCCCAAGGGACGCAACTCTGCACAGCGAATTGCGGCGCCTTAGAGGACTGGGCCACCCATGCCCCGGAAAACATGCTTAAAAGATCAGTACTTATGTGAAGTCAATTCTTATGTTGTTTTCCTGGTACTCTGCCTTCTATTCTAAACAGGAAAGTTTTTTTTCGAAATCATTTGAATACTACCATGGTTACATCAGTTTGGTCAAAACCACATTCCATATATGAAAGATACAGTCAACCCAGCTTACAAAGCTCTTGGGGCCATGAAACATATATTAAGTTATGTAGGGTTTTGAGTAAAGTGGGTTTGAGAAACTTGAAAACTTAGTAATTTATATTTATTTAGTCACTGTATGTAAAACATTATCAGTTTCTTCTATCATGTGTCTAAGTAAAAAAACGTACCACTTTATGGAAAACAACTTTTGGATTATTGCCAATAGCATCGTTTTGATGTAGATTCTTACACTGTTATGCTTACACCGTCAAGCTGGATGCAACAAAATGGATCTTATCTTGAACCTTAACTACAGCAACCTGATTCATAAGCGAGGTAATAGTTTGACTGGTATATATATCTTCATCTTCGGATGTCATATCCCAATGAATTACTAAATTTGCTGAAACTTTGCGACATTTTACAGACATACAAGGTGTTACACGATAATTATGTTGCACATCTATACAAGGTACAAGAGAGTACTGCTCAATGTGACAAATTCTTTGAGTGCAGCATTGAAATTTACGTACACCTAGAAACCTAGTGCTGCGTCTGGACCTGATGACCTATATTTTATCAGCTGATTATGACTGCAATCACACTGTATTGAATTTATTTATAAACTAGATATGGGACATTTGTGAGACATTTTGGTGTGTCAGTGAAGACGATTGCTTTGACTTAATTGGTAAAAATTACAACAATCAGGATGATAATTACATATTTTCAAAACATACTGACGTTATGACACGTTGACATGCTGAGGTCAAATGATGACAAAAAAAACGATTCGGCAAGGACCAAGAACATGATAAAGTCATATCATTCTCATAGCTGTTCTCACATCAACATACCGACTGAACCAGAGGGTTTCTGTTTCCCTGTCTCTTTTGTCGTTTCACAGCCACATTTCCACCATCACTGTCACTCTCTGAAACAAACAGTAATGGAGATAAAACTTTAATAATGTCACATGCCTTCAACTGTACATATTTGCAATTCTGGGTTATCTATTTGTAAGAACTTTGTTGAGTAAACATTTGTACTAAAATTTGCATCTGATCATTGCTGATCGAGTGTATCTATGCCAACAATGTATGCCAACAATGATCCCAGCAGCCTATATTTTTCTATGTCACTACTGGTGGCGGCAAAAACTGGTACAAGCCTTGGAAAACTTGATGGTAGCCCCCTCGAAAACAAAACCAGTGTTTGTTTTCGATTTGGAATCTTTATTCAAAGTTCCCTTTCAATAAAATAGGCTATATATATTTGAAGGTAAGCAATTTAGTAAGTGATAAAGTGGATACATTTTTAAAACATGTTATGATTTTTTGCCAATCAGGGATGCACACTGGCAGACTTTTAGTACAGAACCAGTAGCAACCAGTAGTGACATGTAGAAAAAACTGATATCAAAGGAATTGCATCTGAGGGTACTGTCATATGTTTGAAAAGTTTGTGGTACTGTATTCTAAAGGTAGGCCAAAGGAAGAACAGATGAGGTGATATGATAATGGCGGCTAGGCCTATACTCATGACACTTGAGAGATATTATTCTAGTTTGGGAACAATCTCCCAAGCTAATAACTCTAAGATTGATGTAGCTGACCGAATGAATTGTTCCCTAAATAGTAACGTATCAACTGCGGAGGCCGGTCTAGATTAATCAAGGGACAACTGTCAACGATGATCAGTTTGATCCGGAACAAATATTGCCTATGTAAATGTATTGTGGAATTAATTCCTAGTAAATGCTGTTCCATGGACACGGGTAAGTTTCCAAGAGAATAATAGTACAAAGAAACAATTTCACAGTTTTCACAACAGAAACAGATACTCTTTAACACTACCAGTACTCTAGTCTATGACATGAGAAATCCAGATCAGAAATCTCAACAATGAGGTCGCGTTCTTGTTTACAGGCCGTGTTAGTGTGGCATCCATACAAATGGGGAAAAAGGAAAATAACCTTCACTACTTGATGCTTGCTTTCTTCTTGATACTTGTTTATTAACCCGCTTTTTAAAGCCAAATTTGCTAACTTCTTTCTTGTCGGGTTCATTCACAGGTCCACTGTCAGCCATGATGATTCTAACGTATTGCCTACGATGAAAGCAAACCTTTCATTGGTTAATGTTCTGATCTAAACCGGAAATACAATATTCTACCAATCAACAGCTACATTACAAATGAAAACATCGAAACATGTGTTTACAACTCCCCACGACGTTGTTTTTGTAAGGAGCAATGTTTACTGTCAGCGCTGACATCGCTGTAGGGAGTTAATGTGATGAATAATCGCGGTTTTGTTCACAACATCATTGAAACATACTAACGTTTTTGTCCATAATGAGCAAATCTGTTGATTTTAATTGTGGTGTTGTACTACCAGCTAGCGGAACTGGTGAGCGAATGGGCATTTGTACACCGAAACAGTTTCGTGATGTTTTAGGCAGACCTTTGATCGTCTTCACGATTTCAACATTTCACAGGTGACCGATACAGAGTCAGATAGTCTTGGTTATACATTCAGTGGGTTATTTGCACTTGAAAACATATTCATATTAACTGCTTTAATCCAAAGATCGTCTTTGTAATTCTATTCTCAATTCAACGAGAGCTTTTATTTAAATCAAGTACAAAGCGATGATAACCCAGGAGATCGAGCAGCTAACTCATCAGCTCATTTACTCCCTACCTGCTCATCAAGCGAATCATGCTTAATTCAGCCATATTAGTGAAACTAATGGAAGCCGTCAAGCAAGTGATACGTTACATGTCAACCAGTGTCAGTCATTCAATTTTGTATTTTTTATTCACTGCGAACAATATCACAATATATTTCCAAGTTTGCCCCACAAGGGCACTTAGATTGGAATCCTAGCTAAATCCATGATGTAGGACAGTTATTTTTTTCTTTCAAATAAGCATGAACGTGATCATTGATGATGAAAATCAAAAGGTCCTTGTCTAACCCTTATGTTAAGAATGATAGATGTAGTGTCGTTAGATTCGATTACTACAGCAACATACTCCAACAACTTGTGTATTTTGAAAAATTTATGTTGTCCGGAGCATGATTTAATTGTCTCATCAGGGTGTGTAATGTGTATTTTCCGTGAAGTATAAGCATGAATTCTTTGTTTACAACTGATGACTTGTAGAGTATACAGCGTTAGAAACTAACAGTTTTAGTCCACTAGTCCTTAAAATGATTCGTCACGATATGGCTGAAATATTGCCGATGTGACGTAAAGCATTAACTCACTCACTCACATAACATATAGCAAGACCCTTAAAAAGGGCTAATTTCTTCTGGTCCTTATGATACCTTAACTATTGGGCACTTTGGCAAGGACTATAGGACTAGTGCCAATTTCTAACACTGGTATATGTGTGAAAGGTTTCCATGGATCAAGTTCATCATTGTGACAGTGTCGGAGAGCTGCAAGGACACCATGCTCCAGCTGGTGACAGACTACAACCTACACAAGGTCACTGTTGTTGCTGGGTCTACAACAAGGCACAGATCTATCTACAATGGCATCAAAGCAGTTCCAAGTGGTACATCCGAATGAATAATAATATACAGTATTAATAATGATTTAGCAATAATAGAAAACATGTAACACAATGATATAACCATTAGTTAGTAGGATGAACATTCACACATACATATATGATTTATTTGCAATAACAAGAGTGTGTGAAACGGATTTGTGCAGAAATTGCAATATTATAGGTGTAACCATGGTAACAATGTGACACGATGTGGTTTGTAAGCAGGGAGAAACACAGCAATTGAAGGCATGTTTCAAATTACAGTAAATTTAATCTCAGTCAAGTATCTGTGGTTTGTGCTTTTAAACAAAACAATATGCAAGGTTTGCTTAATGTTCTACACAGGATTGCAGATTGATCTTTTAGTTATCTTTTTCTTTCAAGGAATCTGTCCTATTGTTTCCTGAACATGATGAATGTCTGTCATACATCCGAGTAATCTCTGTATATAATATGTGTGTCAATTCATTGCTTATTAAATTGTTTGATAGGCATTACTTATGTTTCTCATGTTTACACTGGCATCCTACTGGAACATTACGCAACCATTTAGCTTAAAATTCCAGTAAGGTAGAATTATGCAGTGTTACCTCCCTTAGCAGTTCAAGGATCCTCTGGTTGTTGGTTATGATGTCAGATCACCCATACTTTGTTCCTTGATCTATGGTCATGATATGAATCACTTTGGGCTTCTCACCACACAAATGGAGAGAAACCTACCAGGTGTTTTAGATGATGTTCTCTTGACTGTCATAATTGATATGATACTTTTCAATAACCATTCAGTCTTGTTTAGTTTAATTTCAAATATTCAGAAGAATCAACAATGAAAAAAATACTGTCAGTAGCTTCATCTACCACTGATTGATAATGTTTTTGCAATTAAAAAAATCGATGTGTAGTATATCATTACTCAGTAGTGATATACTACATGTTGATTTTTTTAATTGCAAAAAATTCAAAAATTCCATCTCGGACATGTCCGGCGCATATGACCGTTTTCGGACCTGCATTACTGCATGCTATGGAGTGCTGTAGAAGCACATGGTATTGTTTCCATTACAGCAGTGCCACACATACTGTGCGTGAACTGTGTCAGGCGTGACATCATCAGTGTATGACGCCATCGTCAGTAAATGATTGGATGTTTTCTTTGTGATTTGCCCCAAATACACGACGCTCTGGTTGTCATTTTAAGACATAATGGTACCCATGATAACACACTGATACATGCCCACTGTTTCAGTATGCAGTGCACCTGATGTTGTCTTGATTCATGATGCAGTGAGAATATTTGGTGAAGAAGATCTCATCCGAGACATTGCCTTGGCTGCCAACAAACATGGGGTAATGATCTTTGCTATTCTTGTTAATCCTGACCATGTTTATGTGGTGTGGTAGCCTAGTTGTAACAGTGTTTACTCATCACGCCAGAGTTCTATCCACCCACAGGTACCATGTGTGAAGCCAAGTACTGGTGTCGTCCCCCCCCCCCCCCCCCCCCACATCATCGCGGTCTTGCGGGAATATTGCCGCAAGCTGTGTGAAAACCATACTCACTCAGTTACCCACTCAAACATGTTGAGTATTCACATCATCAGCAGACCTGTGAAGATCCGGGGTAGAGTAGGCCTTCAGCAACCCATGCTTGCCGTAAAAGATGACTTTGCTTGTCGTTAAAGGCAACTAACGGGATCGGGTGGTCAGGCTCGCTGACTTGGTTGATGCATGTCATCGATCCCAATTGCGTGGATCGATGCTCATGATATTAATCACTGGATTGTCTGGTCCAGACTCGATTATTTACAGACCGCCGTCATATAGCTGGAATATTGCTGAGTGCTGCATTAACCAACAAACCAACCAACATCATCATCAACATGTGACAAGATGCTGTGTAACACGGAATTATTGTTTTTTTATGTGAATCTCATTGTCATGCATGCATCATGCGTGAAAGTATGTGCTACTAAGTTATTAAGCTGTCACTAAGACATTGTTATTCTGCCAGGCATCAGGAGTGACCCGTCCCCTCGTATCCACGGTGATTGCGTCCGATTCTGAAGGGATGTTGACAGAGTCCCTAGACAGAAATCAGTACGCTGCGAGCGAGATGCCACAGGGCTTTAAGTACCACGTCATCAAACAGGCCTATGAGAAGGTAATCATAATGCAGATGAGAATAGTGTTTCAGTATTACCTCGTTTAACAGGCCAACGAGAAGGTAATTCTAAGACAGACAGCGACAAGGATTTACACATGAGGGAACCACACTGAGGAATTGATAATCACATATGGTATAATTTACTTTCATTATGTAAGGTGGAAATGTTCTAATGCCAGAATTTAATTACTTGTTTTACTGATTTTTATGCCCAAAAATGCCTGAAGGCAGTAAGGAAAAAAAACTGTTTTCCACATAAAAAAATCACAGACTACCGGTAAACATATCACTGGATGGTAGAAGGGTCCAGGCTAACATTCACCATCCTTCACCTTTTGTTATTGGGGAGACCCGTGAAGATTCCGGGGTAGAATAGGTCTTCAGCAACCCATGCTTGTCGTAAAAGGCGACCAACGGGATCGGGTGGTCAGACTCGCTGACTTGGTTGATGCATGTCATTGATCCCAATTGGGTGGATCGATGCTCATGATATCAATCACTGGATTGTCTGGTCAAGACTCGATTATTTACAGACCGCCGTCATATAGCTGGAATATTGCTGAGTGCGGCGTTAAACAACAAACCAATCTATCTATCAATCTATCAGTTATTGGGGAACTAATGAAACAAGTTCAAGCAGGCCTAAACTGTCCACAGACTGTGACCCAGTGTTTTGATCAATTTGACCAGTGTGTCAGTTACCCCTTGACCAGTCAAAGCCACATCAGACTTTGCTTCAGCCATCGGGGCAAGGGTTAGGGACTGACATCACTTCAAAAAGGGGTCTCTCTTTTGCAACAGACAACTTTAGAGCTATTCAAATGTAATCAGTGCATGTTTTGTCTCATTTCTGCTGGTGCATATATCCCAGTCTCATTTTATGAAGAGTAGAAAAATGTAGTCTTACTTTCTACTTGCCATCAAAAGTTCTGCTCTGATGAAAGACGGGTTGTCTGTGAATCATTCCCTTACTTGTGCTCATTCCTCCAGGTTGTAGTCAGCCCAGATTATAGTTTCAGTTTATCATTTAACTTAAGCATTTATCCATGACATAAGCTTATGACATAAAAACATGTATGTCATACCCCAATGACATAAGTATGCAAATAAGATATGCAAATTAGATAACCGGAAGAGCGAGCGGTTTGATTTGAAACTATATATTATAAGTGAAGTTACACCAGAGATATAATCAGATTACACAGAATCGTTGTTGTTACCGTTATTAAAGTTTCAATTATTCTGCAAAAGTCTGTTCAAGTATTTTGTTTAAAATAATCCGAGGAACTTTTTTTCTCAGCGAATTGTTTATTTTGGTTTACATGGCTATGGAAAACATGTATCACTACGCACGATCTATACGTAAGATTTCGACAAGTTGCTGATGTTAATGTTTAATGCAATTATTCCTTAATTTGGAAGCAAAAATGTGAAAATGATAAAAAGAATTCATCACGAGTGTTTTTTAATATGGGAAATATCAACCTCGTCCCGTTAATCGGTATTTGCCTCGCCAAAGGCTCGGCAAATACCTATTAACTAAGACTCAGTTGATATTTCCCATATTAAAAAACACTTGTGATGAATCCTCTATATATGTGCTGAGAAGTGTATGAAGCACATCTGACTCACATCAAAAAGCATAGATTTGAAGATTTACATTTTATTGACAGAGTACTGACTTTGATTTTGACTACGGTACTGAGTGTCTTCTGCTGGCCAAGAAGTATGCCGGGGTGAACGCGTGTATCGTGCCAGGCAAGCCCTACTTATGGAAGGTAGGCATATTAACATGCAGGTGTCGAATCAGTGTTGACAGGAGGTCAATGTACAAGTAAAGCCTCAGTGTTACATTGACAACACAAGACTACAGGACATTATGTCAGAGCTCCAGATAAGCTTTTGGTGTTGTGGGTATTTTACCCATGCATTTTAAAATCATTGGGTATCAGTAATTCTATCTGGGTATTCAAATTTCTGTTACCCACTAGTTTTTACAAATGTGGGTATTTAAGTTAAATATTTAAAAACACTTCATCTAGTCCCTGCAAACTGTTGTCGTGTGGGTTCGAGAGCTTTATAGGACTCAAAAATACTGCGATACTTCCACAAGAAAGTGTGATGGCAAATGATCATGATGTAAGTATTGTAACTGTCATCGTGGAGTTTGGCAAGGTTGACGGAATGTCCGTATAAAATTTCAAAATAAGTTTGATTTGCTAATCGAATACGCAGGGTTACTTCACATTATTTTGATGATACACACTAGTTTTATTTTTGTAGCGTATCTGTAATGTTCGTTGCGTATTTGATACACTTGAATTTTATTTCACTGCATATTTCTCCATTTCTGATGCGTATTTTACGCAGATACGCAGCTTATCTGGAGCTCGGCATTATGTTACTATTTCTAATCAGCTGATTATAAAGTTATTTTCCTCAAAACAAAATTTTGAAATACGTTAAGGATTAAGTGCTTCTTATTGTGTTTTCAAAATACTGGAAAGGATCACTTGTTAAACAAGAAACTAGTGTGCAGAATCCATTTTTTTCAACAATGTTTTAGAAAATACCAGGAGTTAGAACAGTATGTTGATATATTCTGGATGGAGTAACTTCCTGACTTGGACTGTTTCCTTTCTGCCCAGGTCACCCACAAGAAGGATTTATATGCTGCAGAAGCCATGTTGAAAGGTACTTCATCATCATGAGACCCGTGAAGATTCCGGGGTAGAATAGGTCTTCAGCAAACCATACTTGCCGTAAAAGGCGACTATGCTTGTCGTAAAAGGCGACTAACGGGATCGGGTGGTCAGGCTCACTGACTTGGTTGATACATATCATTGATCCCAATTGCGTGGATTGATGCTCATGTTGTCAATCACTGGATTGTCTGGTCCAGACTCGATTATTTTACAGACCGCCGTCATATAGCTGGAATATTGCTGAGTGCGGCGTTAAACAACAAATCAACCAATCATCATCATGATTATGCAGGGATTGATCTAGGCCTACCCATATCCTGATATTCAGTTCCAAATCTGAAGCAAATATCAGCAATAATTAACAAGTAGGAATTAAGGTTTACCACTTGAGGTTAATATGACTGATGGTATGGCTTTGGAGAGGTCAGTGACATGTTTAATTCAACATGATTAAATTCCATGCATGTTAAAGTACCTCCGAATACAAGAAAATGATAACTTAAATAAAATAATTTTGAAATCTTTGGTAGGCATTAGAAGTTGCAAGAACATGAAGACCTCAATGTGAATAGCCTCCATTGCACAAGATGGACGATCATTAGAAATACCATCCTCTATGATAAAATCACCAGCTACAAATGTTGTATTCGTACCTCATTCAACTGCAGTTGTTGCTGCCAATATCACTCAATACCATTGTCATTTTTTTTTAAATTTTATTTAATATTGAGCAATATGTACATGAGTAATAAACTTCACTCATTCCTGTAAAATGCTGTTTTTATTAGGAGTATATATGCAAAATATATCTTACTTGTTTTCACTTGTTAGACAAATTTGAAATGCTTTAGTTGTAATAAAAAGGATATCTCTATTTGATCAGTAACTACTGGTATCAATTATCATTGTATTTGGGATATAACAGCAATGATCTTGCTCAAAGTTTGATGGGACATGCTTCCATACCATTAAAAAAAATTGAAATATTTTGGATCACAGTCAGTCAGTGTCCCAGAAAATGAACCAATTTGAAACCTTGTAACCATGGTAACAGTAGGGTGGGACATACTTCCATACCATTCCGAAAATTATAATATTTTTGATGACAATCAGTCAGTGTCCCAGAAAATGAACCAATCTGAAACCTTGTAACCATGGTAACAGTAGGGTGGGGCATACTTCCATACCATTCCGAAAATTGAAATATTTTTGATGACAATCACTCAGTGTCCTAGAAAATGAACCAATCTGAAACCTTGTAACCATGGTAACAGTAGGGTGTTTGTTTTCACAGAGCAGTTTCTCCAAGTGTCCATACTGTCCACAAGTGGCCAAGCCACGTTAGTGGACACCCTTGAGAGGGAGCTGTGCACTGCCCTGAGATCCGAGCAGGTGAGGAAGGACTGAGGATGTGAAGTTGTGAGAGTCTGGGACTGTTGTTTTTGTACAAGTGAGAAAAAGGAGAAAAAAAACAACTTTTCGGCAATAGATGGCTTAATTATGTGGCATGCTAATTTGAAAAGTATGTGAGTGAAACAAAGTCAAAAATATTTATGATGTATAGTTTTGTAAGTGTGTTGTAAAATATAAAAACTAAAATGTATAGTTATGTATGTTGTGAAATGTAAAAAATACATTGTATAGTTTCATAAGTACGTTTTGAAAGTATTAGAAATATAATGTATAATTGCCAAACTAGGCTGGAATTCTTGGGCTCGACCGTAGCGCCACCAGTGGTTATTACGAGTTATGTTCCTTCTAAACCTCTCCTATGGACCAATCAGATTCCACCTCTCGTATCACTTGCATTTGTTTCACACAAAATGGTGGCGCCCAGTCAAAACGATCTGATTGATAATCAAGATCTATATTGTGGTCTTACATAGCGAAGTGCATCAAATCACGTGAGCACCTTGATTAAAAACATGAAAAGACTTGGAAAATATATGTTGACAACGAGTTGGCGGTGCACATGCTTAGCAAATCCTGCAATCGACAGAAATCTGCACGACATTTTACAAACCGGAGTTCGATTTCGGTGCACGATTTTGATTGGACTATGCATAGACTCGTTAGCCCAGCCAAAATGTAACTTCATAAAACCAGCCTAGTTCGGCAAGGGTGGAAACTGGACTTTTATAGTAAGTTAACTCACTTGCCTCGGGAAGATGGATGTATTGTTGCAGAAGTATATTGAATACCCCATGTGATACTCTGCAGGTGAAAGTGACATCAGAGATAATCCCCAAATCCAACTCCCCCAGTGAACATCCCAACACCTTCATCCACATCCACACCTCGCAGCCCAGTGACTGGTCAACTCTGAACCCTGCCACCCGTCCGTGTGGTGACCGCCTGTTGTTTGACCACTGCCACATCCATGTGTTTCTTCTGGACCCGACCCAGGTGTCCGCTCAGCATCACCAACTGAGTGTCCACTTCAAACAACTAGCCAAGCAGCTGCAGGATCAGCATTTCATAGTGTACGCTGTTCTAGCTCAGGTACTTCCCTCCCTCAATACAACTAACCTAGCTGTATAGTTTCATGATGGTTGGTTGGTTGGTTGGTTTGTTGTTTTACGCTGCACTCAGCAATATTTCAGCTATATGACGGCGGTCTGTAAATAATCGAATCTGGACCAGACAATCCAGTGATTAATATCATGAGCATCGATCCACGCAACTGGGATCGATGACATGCATCAACCAAGTCAGCGAGCCTGACCACCCGATCCCGTTAGTCGCCTTTTACGACAAGCATGGGTTGCTGAAGACCTATTCTACCCCGGATCTTCACGGGTCAGTTTCATGATGAGAACATAAAGTTTCTGAAAAACAATAGCTAGCATATTCCAAAGGGCCTCACATCATCCTCTCTTTTTTTATTTAGCCTGCTCTGGTTTTACCATCTTAACAATAAATAAAAGCCAGGTGTATAATAAGTCCTATGTATTTCAGACAACAGAAAGCAGTGAAGCAGTGTCAGCAATGGTAAAGCATCTCGTCTTCCACAGAAGTACATCCCTCGCAGGGCAAGTCTTCCTTGTGTGACAGGAGTTGTCTCCCTTCTCCATAATCATTGCGTCTTCTCATCCTCATCTTGTTTCTGATACTGTCAAAAACACGTACACTTTATATAACACAAACCTCGATATTCATCTACCATACTTTTGAAGAAAACTCTTAAGAAATATGTAAGCAGGTACTTTTCAGGAACTGAATTTCAGGAATAATTTATCTCTCATACCTGACCTACAATTGTTTGCTCAGTTTTATTGTTATATATTCATATCAATGATCGGCATCAAGCACTATTACCAAAACAATATCTTACTGACTGTTGTTCATGATTTCTGCTCATGAATATTTTATTTTGGCTTTTTTTTTCTCTTGCACAAGTAGGTTCGAGTCCAGACTAGTACAAGCAGATACACACACACGTGCATGCACGTCGCTATATAAGTGCAATAATCTTGGACGCGACGTGAATCACCTTTCGCCTCACCTTGTGCACATGTAAAGGTGCGCACCCATGGCAGATGTACCTATACTGGTCATGCAACAATATCTGTTTGGTTGGCTTTATGATATATCTGGTTGTATTATAAAACATGATCTCAATCTTTGAATTTATAGACTGTTACAGTTTACCTGTTTTTCAACATAATACTAGTTATAACACTAGTTATAACAGCAGGTTTTGTGTGTAAGGTGGGAAACCACTATGGCTCATTTATTGTACATGATACTTGAAGGTTTGGAGGTGTTTGAATTTTAGTACCCCTCAATGAAGTCTTTAATGAGGGGAGTTGCCACTGTATAGCAACATTTCAAATGTCTCAGATTTCAAAAATGAAAAACATCCTGGATGATAATTTGATATGAAACAGTCAAAGTAACAAACATTCTACGGAGGCGGGCACAGGTGGCCCAGTCGTCTAAGGCGCCACGATTCCCTGTGCAGAGTTGCCTCCCTTGGACACGCCAGAAACCTATGATTGTGGGTTCGAATCCCGGTTCGCCCCGATTATGTTTCTAGGTTTGTCAGCACCATACCCGTGCTCATGGGTTTCACGGAAGTGGTAAACGTCTGAGACCTTCATCACTTCGGGCTTTCCTCCCACATGAAGCTGACACGCCGTGATATAACTGGAATACTGTTAAAAGCGGTGTTAAACACAACTCACTCTACGAAGACAATGGATGAAAGTAAGAGGAAGGATAAGGGTCCCTTTTGTCCATGAGATATGCATAATGAGGAAAAGCTTTAGATAGGTCCTTGTGAGAGTTAGCAGATGTGTTCATATAAATGACAATGAGAATTTGTTCATTTCAACAGTTGCATGTTTGGTACCAAATGCACAGGTAAGATTAAGGTAATATGTTAAAAGATCCGATATCAGAGGGGGTTTATAATGTTCTTTTCTAATACCGTATTCGACATAATAAGCGCCCCTCTCTAATAAGCGCCCACAGCGATATTTGCTAATATATTGGCTAGTGAACAATCCCAATCAGCACCCCTTCCGATTGATCAATGACTTATTTATTTGTGTATAATACGCACTCGTGTGTTTTAATACCCTTAATTATGGGCAATAAAATTCTTGAAAAATATATCTGTCGTATGTAAACATTTCAGGCTGTTAGCATAAACCACGAAATTTACGATCTTTCAACTCAAAATAATATTCTAATAAGGGCCCCCTATTTCTAATTTTGAGAGCGCCCTGTGCGCTTATTACGTTGAATACGGTAGTTTTAAATGAGAATGTTTTGACCCAAGCTTTCTTTGTCGATGATGATAAAAACAGTACAACCATACTGAACAAGAAGTTTAGGATCATGAATATATTTTAGGATTTAAATATCCCAAAAAATATTCATGATCCCTAACTGTTTTCATTCAGTATTTGTTGTAAAAAATTGTTTTGTCTCACAGACTGCTCCTACTAGTCATATCTTCCCTTGAAGTCCGACATATCTGCCTGTTTATCTTCATTTAGCCATTATAATGTATTTGGGATTTTTTTGGGATATTTAAATCCTAAATCCTATGTTTATCCAACTGACCATAGATTAGCCATGCTTTTGCATGTGTTTGTGAGGGGTGCCACTGGTGGGGCAGGGTACACCCACCCTTTCACTAACAGCTGGTACCGTCACCATTTGATAGTGATTCATAAACATATACTCATACAGAGTCTCACTCAGAGTCGGAATCGTACAATCAACTCTGCTTTTAGCAGAATTTTTCTATGAATATGGAAAAGGTTTTGTCACTTTTTTATACTGTTATAAGATTGAAATAATACTGTAAATCTTGAAATTAATACGAGCGTGAATTAAATGCGAAAAATGCAAGTGGTCTTTGTTCGCATTAATTAACTACGGGGGTACGCATTTATGTCTCCATAATGACGATCAACAATAAGACGGCCTCACTGCACACTTTGGATAGTGGAAATACCAATTTGAATGTAAACAAAGCATGGTTTAATGAGCAGCAGTTGTAACAAGTATAAAACAATGTCATCCAAAGAATAGGAATTACACTATGGGCATCCAGTGAGTTATCACCACTGGTGTCAAGAGTTCTAATGTTCTCATGGAAATTAAAAAAAACTGTTTTGCTGGATTTAATAATCGACACAAAGCATTACGTAGATGTAAATACGAAATAACAAAACAACTGAAAAAGTACTAGTCTGGATTTGCTAGTTTTATCTCAGTGCTCAATACAAAATGTACTTTACAGGAGGTAATTTGTAGGCACTTTCAACATTCAAAAATAAAACTAAGTCCAAATTGACATGGCAGAAACAGGCTATAGGCATTTTGCAAATTAGCCTGGAAAAAAGTTATCAAAACAACAATAAAAATAACAGCTATGTTTATGTACATAATAATAATGACATGTAAGTTGTTGTTTGAGAAGGGAATATGTTACTTTTACGTTCTGATATTTTGACGATGATTCACTACCCGACAATGCCACTCACAAATCACTAACCACTGACAAATCACATGCACGTGGGTTTCAAGCACCTGTTTTCACCTGTCGTCAAGGTGTCATAGGTCATGGACATTCACCTTGTTCTACTAACTCCTGGTTATGCTCAGTTTCACAATAGTCTGTTTTGTTCATATTTTTGCACACTTTTACGTGTAAAAAAGACAACAAAAACCTTTGATAAGCTGTATTTGTGCCAAGGCCCAATTAGTACTAATGAGTTGTTTGAATATTTATATATTTTGTATATTAACTGAATTTATTTAAAATCTGAGATCGAAAAAACAGTGTTTTTTCATTTCCGTGAATACTTTACCCACTCGTGTCAAGCTTGTTGACACCTTCTGGCATACCAATCAGTGAACTGTTCTTGGTTCAATTATTTTATTGCCTTTGAACTTCATTAATGCCAGTCAACAGAGTAAACATATAAACTGTGTGTTGTATTTAGGAAAACACTGTTTCTTGTTTTTACGGAAGTGCTCTACTCAGTTATAATAAGCAGTGCTATTTGCTGTTTGATTGGGTTAAGGTAAGGATATGTATCATTCCACTGGGAATAGGGGTGGAGGAGTCGCATTGATATTGAGTCGCATTTTTGGCAAGGGGTCAACAGTCATATTAATTTGGAGACGCATTTATTTCAAGATTTACAGTATGTTATAACTTGTGAAGATGATGACTGGTGCTTGATGGGGGATTATGCAATGGTGAATGCTTGTTACGTTTGTGTTTTTATTCATTTATTGTTCTGAAGCAGTGGGTGCTTCATGCATGATATATATATCAATACTCCACATATACTTTTATCTCTGTTTACATAGATCTTGTATCCATTATTTTGTATGTATTGAATAAAGGAAATGGCACAAGCCAGCAGCATTTTGTGTGTGATCTACTCGTTTTGACCATCGAAGGCTACACAATGACACAAGACCTCGAAGGTTCCACAGTGACACGTGCCATCAGCCTTATGTGTGTGGTATATTGACCAGCCAAGGCTTCACAAAGACACGTGCCATCAGCCTTATGTGTGTGGTATATTGACCATCCAAGGCTCCACAATGACACAAGCCATCAGCCTTATGTGTGTGGTATACTGACCAAGGCTTCACAAAGACACGTGCCATCAGCCTTATGTGTGTGGTATATTCACCATCCAAGGCTCCACAATGACACAAGCCATCAGCCTTATGTGCGTGGTATATTGACAATCCAAGGCTCCACAATGACACAAGTCATCAGCCTTATGTGTGTGGTATATTGACCATCCAAGGCTCCACAATGACACAAGCCATCAGCCTTATGTGCGTGGTATATTGACAATCCAAGGCTCCACAATGACACAAGCCATCAGCCTTATGTGTGGTATATTGACCATCCAAGCCTCCACAATGACACAAGCCATCAGCCTTATGTGCGTGGTATATTGACAATCCAAGGCTCCACAATGAAACAAGCCATCAGCCTTATGTGTGTGGTATATTGACAATCCAAGGCTCCACAATGACACAAGCCATCAGCCTTATGTGTGTGTATATTGACCATCCAAGGCTCCACAATGACACAAGCCATCAGCCTTATGTGTGTGGTATATTGACCACCAAAGGCTCAACAATGACACAAGCCATCAGTCTTATGTCTGTGGTACATTGACCAGCCAAGGCTCCACAATGACCCAAGCCATCAGCCTTATGTGTGTGGTATATTGACCATCCAAGGCTCCACAATGACACAAGCCATCAGCCTTATGTGTGTGGTATATTGACCACCAAAGGCTCCACAATGACACGTGCCATCAGCCTTATGTGTGTGGTATATTGACCATCCAAGGCTCCACAATGACACGTGCCATCAGCCTTATGTGTGTTGTATATTGACCACCAAAGGCTCCACAATGACACAAGCCATCAGCCTTATGTGTGTGGTATATTGACCATCCAAGGCTCCACAATGACACGTGCCATCAGCCTTATGTGTGTGGTATATTGACCACCAAAGGCTCCACAATGACACAAGCCATCAGTCTTATGTGTGTGGTACATTGACCAGCCAAGGCTCCACAATGACCCAAGCCATCAGCCTTATGTGTGTGGTATATTGACCTACAAAGGCTCCACAATGACCCAAGCCATCAGCCTTAAGTGTGTGGTATATTGACCACCAAAGGCTCCACAATGACACAAGCCATCAGCCTTATGTGTGTGGTATATTGACCACCAAAGGCTCCACAATGACACAAGCCATCAGCCTTATGTGTGTGGTATATTGACCAGCCAAGGTTTCACAAAGACACAAGCCATCAGCCTTATGTGTGTGGTATATTGACCATCAAAGGCTCCACAATGACACAAGCCATCAGCCTTATGTGTGTGGTATATTGACCATCCAAGGCTCCACAATGACACAAGCCATCAGCCTTATGTGTGGTATATTGACCACCAAAGGCTCCACAATGACACAAGCCATCAGCTTATGTGTGTGGTACATTGACTACCCAAGGCTTCACAATGACACAAGCCATCAGCCTTATGTGTGTGGTATATTGACCACCAAAGGCTCCACAATGACACAAGCCATCAGCCTTATGTGTGTGGTATATTGACCATCCAAGGCTCCACAATGACACAAGCCATCAGCCTTATGTGTGGTATATTGACCATCCAAGGCTCCACAATGACACAAGCCATCAGCCTTATGTGTGTTGTATATTGACCACCCAAGGCTTCACAATGACACAAGCCATCAGCCTTATGTGTGTGTATATTGACCATCCAAGGCTCCACAATGACACAAGCCATCAGCCTTATGTGTGTTGTATATTGACCACCAAAGGCTCCACAATGACACAAGCAATCAGCCTTATGTGTGTGGTATATTGACCATCCAAGGCTCCACAATGACACGTGCCATCAGCCTTATGTGTGTGGTATATTGACCATCCAAGGCTCCACAATGACACGTGCCATCAGCCTTATGTGTGTGGTATATTCACCATTGAAGGCTCCACAATGACACAAGCCATCAGCCTTATGTGCGTGGTATATTGACAATCCAAGGCTCCACAATGACACAAGCCATCAGCCTTATGTGTGTGTATATTGACCATCCAAGGCTCCACAATGACACAAGCCATCAGCCTTATGTGTGTGGTATATTGACCACCAAAGGCTCCACAATGACACAAGCCATCAGCCTTATGTGTGTGGTATATTGACCACCAAAGGCTCCACAATGACACAAGCCATCAGCCTTATGTGTGTGGTATATTGACCAGCCAAGGTTTCACAAAGACACAAGCCATCAGCCTTATGTGTGTGGTATATTGACCACCAAAGGCTCCACAATGACACAAGCCATCAGCTTATGTGTGTGGTACATTGACTACCCAAGGCTTCACAATGACACAAGCCATCAGCCTTATGTGTGTGGTATATTGACCACCAAAGGCTCCACAATGACACAAGCCATCAGCCTTATGTGTGTGGTATATTGACCATCCAAGGCTCCACAATGACACAAGCCATCAGCCTTATGTGTGGTATATTGACCATCCAAGGCTCCACAATGACACAAGCCATCAGCCTTATGTGTGTTGTATATTGACCACCCAAGGCTTCACAATGACACAAGCCATCAGCCTTATGTGTGTGTATATTGACCATCCAAGGCTTCACAATGACACATGCCATCAGTATTCAGTTAGTGATAGTGTGCCCATCACAGACTCGTGACTGACACAAGCTATCAACCTTGTGTATGTGGTGTTCTGCCCACTTCAGTGCTCACAATGATAGGTCATATATGCGTTGTGAGAGATGTTAAAAGCAAATGTGACTCTCGGTTATTTGAGCTAACATCCGTTGTGCTGGTTTCACGCGACTTTTATTAATTAACGGAGATGAAAAATAGAACATTTTATTCAATTGATTGTTTGTTGTTTAACGCCGCATTCAGCAATATACCAGCTATATGACGGCGGTCTGTAAACAATCGAGTCTGGACCAGACAATCCAGTGATTGACATCATAAGCATCGATCTACGCATTTGGGATACGATGACATGCATCAACCAAGTCAGCGAGCCGATCCCAATCCCGTTAGAAGTCTCTTACAACAAGCCTGGGTTGCCGGGATTCTAACCGGGATCTTCAGGGGTTTATTCAAGTGAGAATGAACGCTATACAAATACATGGCAAGTTTGTGTGGAGCCAATATCTGTGTTCACATCATTGTCATCTACAAACATTAATTCATGTTAATATGAGATTTCTTCGTTTTCATCTGGGTCGGTACTGTTATGTTGGATGTCAAGAATAATTTGCAAGACGGTTAGACGACATAAACATACATTTAGACATGATATATCTTCAAAAACAATTGTACACAAAATTTAACATATGGCAAGCTTTATAAACGAACGTTAATAACACATTTGAGAAGTAAAGTATCATTCAATAAACTGACCCACTGAACCTTTCATACATTTTAAAGCTTTCGTTGATATGAGTGAGTGTGAGTGAGATGGGTTTAACGCCGCTTTTAACAGTATTCCAGTTATATCGCGGCGTGTCAGCTTAATGTGGGAGGAAAGCCCGAAGTTATGCAGGTGTCAGACGTTTTCCACTTCGGTGAAACCCACGAGCACGGGTATGGTGCTGACAAACCTAGAAACATAATCGGGGCGAACCGGGATTCTAACCCACAATCATAGGTTTCTGGCGTGCCCATGGGACGCAACTCTGCACAGCGAATCGCGGCGCCTTAGACAACTGCCCCGTGCCCCCTCGTTGTTATGATGACACACAACACGCATAAATGTTCACATGTACACACAGAAATGGAGTGCGATTGACAGGCTTCGGTAATTAATGAGCAAAATATTGTCAATAATGATTCACGTCTTTAATATAGGCAGACTTAAGACAAGAATGGCAAACGGACAGAGTCTATATCGTAAACTGCTTATGGTAGAACATTTTATATGATCGTTTGTAAGTTTGTCATCCTGAGGTAATACTTCCCATGTAGTTTAGTAAAAGACGTTCCCCAACAAATCGAAAAGACAATTGGTTGATTAACATTTATTTTGCAAACATTTGTCCATATACAGTAAACTATGGTTATAACGAACTCAAAGGGACCACTAATTTTAGTTCGTTATAACCGTTGTTCGTTATAAGCATATATACACAGCAAATGTCCGGGACAAAAAAACAGCTCGTTATATCCGCAAGTTCGTTATAAGCGTGTTCGTTATAAACACGCTTACTGTACACGATTAAAAAATATAAATGTATGGTCTATTTCCAACATACACTTATAAAATATATACGTATGCTTTCAGAATGTGGTGTTACTTTCTATGAGACAATGAAGAGTGGGGTTTCAGACTGGAACTGTTTTAATGCAATCGTACATTCCGCGCTTCAAAGAAACAATTTCATTTTTTGATTCGAAAAAGTGAAGAAAAGAATCTCGACATTGACTACAACTTCAAAAACTATCATGGGTACAAACGATAAGAGATTATCTGACGAGCCTGTCCTGTAGGAAGCTGTTGTGATTCAGGACAGGACCAGCTTCTCCAGCTGCAGCAGGGGCGCCTCCACCAGGATGGCCAGCAGGAAGGAGAAGATATACGACATGCACACGTAGCCGAAGAAGCGGTACACCTGGAATACATAGCAACGTGTGTCAGAGATTTTGTAAATGACTTTGAATAGTTTTCAGTCAGCGCCCAAACACATACAATATATTTCTCTGACAGGAGATCCCACAACTCATTAACTTATCGGAACTTCCAGCAGTTGGATGATTGCGTGTGGTGACTGTCACTGGGCTGTAGCCAAAACTCCTCGCGACGTGGTCGTGCGTTGCTCCTTGGTGTATCATGGTGTATCTCTGTAGCATGTTATTTGACGGCGGGTTGGGTGTGAATGAACAGTTAATCGCCCCTTACCCATATCTTTGTCGGTTGGCATGCTGCAAGTACAGCAAAAGATTCACTTCAAACTGAAGTTCCGCTGATCCGGGTACTGTGGCACGTGGTTTACTCGGCATATTGTTTTGGTTGTGTTTGGGCGGTTAATTCTCAGTTATAATTGACACTATTCGGAGTTTGGAACCAACGTGGCCAAATTTGAGTTCGGTAACGTCTTTTTACCCGCCAGTTATGTTATTCATGTCCATCATGACGATCTTATAGTAATAGTTTTCCAGAGCTTGAAACAGAAAGGGAAAGGAAATCATGTGAAGCTTTTAGTCTCGTGAGGGGAAGTGGGATGTTTTCCGAATTTCTAATGGTATAAGTATTTTTGGAAGATACCGAAATTGGTAACATATATTTTAAGTAAGGTGCGGGCTAAGATATATTTTATATAAAATACTAGTTTAGAAATATAATGATGATCGCGGAGTGGTTTTGGTAGCCTATTAATGATTCTGACTGCTCTGCTCCCATTTGTAGTCTCTCTATGCTATTTCTCTGATCTATTCTACATTCATCCCAAAGCTCACGTGCGTGTTCAAAATGGGGCCTAATGAAAATCTTATAAATATTAATAAAAGTGTCTCGGTTTGACATATATTTTCTTTATGAGTTTATCATTTTTTACGTTCTTTTAACAATATTGCTCACATGATAAAACCACTTGGCGGTTGATTCGAACGTAACACCAAAATGTTTGTGCATTTTAACTGTATTAATTTCCTTCCCATCAAACTGTAAGTTCATTATATCTATATTTTCCTCAAGTGAAAATATAACAGCTTCCAGTTTATCAGGGTTGTATGGAATCAGCCTATTCATTTAATAAAGTTAAATTTCTGTTCAGATTACTTTGAATCATTGAGCTGCATCTGGAAGAAACCCCAAGTGATGTAGGATTTTGCTACACATGTTGTTAAAATCGTCTTACATTTTATAAATTACTTTGCTATACTGCTGTTGTCATTGTTCTGTTTTGAAATGACCTACATCTGTATAGTTATTATGTTTTAGTGAACAGTGAGAACATTATTGAAGCTCAGCTCTTTTTTTACAAAGCCAAAGCATATCAGCCCCAAAATATGAAGAAAAGAAAACATGACTCTACCCAACACCCGAATATCAAATGGTCCGCACCTTCGTGTTTTTCCTTTTTGTGAACAGTTCATTTAATCTATTTTGACAGTAAGTTGAATGTCTTCATTAACTGGAACGATTGTTTTTCCGCAAGAGATAGTAAAGAGTATTGTATGCTGTTTCAAAGTGTCACAACCTCTTAAACATTTTTTCACACTTGACAAAATGATCTTGCAGAGGTACTTACGATGTACCCGGATGTAAAGTAGATGAGGGATCTCGCTGTCGAAGTTTCAGTCAATATGAACATGAGATGAATGAGGTAGGCCCCGTATGTGAGTCGAGAGAGAGGCTGCCACCAGTCCCAGGACAACATCCAGTTCACGATACCTGTGGGAGGGGCATTGTATAAATAGGTGTACAAGCTCCATTAATTAGTCAGTCAAGTAGTCGATTGTTTTCACTATATAACGTCAACGCCAGAGAATAACCAGTCTCGATTATCCGTCGAAACAGATTCCATAAGGCGTAAATGTCAAAATAGCGGTGAACATTATATGAATGGATCACTGAAATTTTAAATTCATTTTTATGTTCCCCTTCTCTTGTGACTGATATACAAAAAGATCACGGTACTGCAAATACAAAACATTAACGGTGCTCTGAAATACATAATAAGTCAAGTAGTCAATTGTATTAAATTCATTTTATGTTGTTGTTTTTCTTGAATATGTATTTGAACATTGGTCAATTGCACTGTACCGAAAACTCCCATATCATGCACGCATCTCGTCCTCATCAATTTTGTGCTTGTCACAAGCAAACAGTGAGACTGCTTATATGGCAAACTCCATGTCATTGTTAGTACAACATTGTCTGTGGCCAACACGAAGCTTGTTTCAACTGAGCATTACAGGACACAATCGTACCTACTTTTGTAGCACACATGGTTGAACGCACCTGCTTTCCCCTTGCAGCACATGAAGATGACCCATGCCAAGACCAGCCCCCACACGGGTCTATACAGCGTCTCGTGAGCCGTCCTGGCTTCCACTCCCCAGCCTGGTCTCCCTTCAGCATTGGCGTCATAGGTCGCCAGAGTGCATGCCCCGGCCGCCACCAGTGCCAGGAGCCAACCCACACCCTGCAGGAACTGGAAGACATTGATAGTGGATCGTGTTTAGGTTGTTTATTACCCTTGTTTGACACTCTGAAACATCCTGATTAGCTAACTTCAAGATATGGATTTACCCTTTGTTCTGGAATTGCGAACAGTAATTCAGTGTGTCGTGTCCCAAATATACTCTCCAAAATAAGTAGGGGATCATGATATATAATTGTTATGATCGGTTGTCAGAAGAAAGATTAGCTTTGGGAAATGACTCCCAGTGATAGAACGGTTTGCTAAGCAAAACCTCACGCCCCAACACAGCCCACATTGCACGTGTACCATGCATTTCCTCCGTGCACGTTGGTAGGGTGTCGTTCTTGATTTTGATACTTCAGGGAAAGGTCGTCAAATAGCACCGAGTCAATAGTATTGTTGATTTTAATTATCAGCAGTAACATTTAAGTCTTCTAATCTTGCTTAAATGAAGTACTTGTGATGAGTTTGGGAAATCCGCCGTCTACAACGTGATGAATGCATGAGGGTTATTTGCATGCTTCGTACTCAGCGAGAAGTTGCCAATATGTTCACTGTGTTTCAGTCTGTGATTTGCAGACTTTCTAACAGATTTCTGCAGAATATAATGTTTATGATCGGCCCCTCAAGGGGCTCCTCGGGTCAAAATCACAAGGATCGTTAATAAGAAACCAGGATTTAGAAAATCGAGTCCAAACAGCCAATCAAATCGATGTTCACTCGCGCCAAGCCAAGGGAGTTCATGTTACAGACCACGCGATTAGAAATCGTCTGCATGCAGCTAATCTGTATTCTCGGCGAACACGTGTCGTACCACCGTTAACAACCCGTGGAGTTCCGGGTGAGAAATGAAATTTCATTCGGTTGAACAGAATGAATTAGAATGAAATTGATTTCTCATGAAGGTAAAGCCAGTCATAGAGAGAGGTTATTCAAGGTAGAGGGTGCTACCGGAAGGGGTATACATAGGAATTGCAAAGCCCGGGTAGTTCAATCTCTCCTGTGGTGTCGCCGTTACAGTGCGGTCAGCATGTCCTGTGCAATATGGTTATGATCATTTTCTGTTGTCAGGTGTTGGCAGTCTTGCTTCAAGACAAATATCGTCACAGTGACTGCATGGTTCTGAACCACAAAGCATGGATGGTACCTGGTACATGCATGCATCTTACAGTAGGATGTTACAGTGTCGGTGATTGGCGTGGTTCTGACATGATATGGATCAAGGCTACTGACGCTATTTAGTTTGTAAAGTAAAATTTCAATGCATAGTAAATTCCTCGGCGAGTGTCACAGAGGAAGCCATTTTGTGCGTTTGTGGTTTATATCTGACTTGACGAGGTTTTGGAAGAGAATAGCTCTTCAGCAGCCCATGCTTGTCATACGAGAAGACTGTGCTTGTCTTGAGAGGCGACTGACACTACTTTGCCGAACTGGGCCAAGCGGAATCTCCGGATTGGACAGTTCCGGAAATTACCCACGGCATATACATCTTCCTAGATTCCACCAAAGCAATACATTCGTTGGCCATGTACATAGTTTACCACTTACTGGAGACATCTTGACCTCATGCTGCTTCATTGCGTGGAGGATGTAGCCTAGCATCATCCCTATGGCGAATGTACCGATCCGACACCAAGGCTTCTGGTACACTTTTTCGAAGTAGAGCGCCCCGTTACTGAAATATAGCAGTATATAATATTAGATTCATTGTCATGAGTGCGTTGTGTGTTACACCCGTCTACAATTTGGATTATCACTGAAAGGAAATAGGGTCGAAGGGTAGTCTAGTGGTTAAAGCGTTCACTCGTCACTCTGAAGGCCCTGGTTCGAGTCCGTCTTGGATACAACGTTCATTGAGATGTTGTCTCGCTCTCCAACTGCTTTGATCGTGGAATGTTGGGTAATAAGGTCTATCCACTTGTGATGACCCTACGATAATTCCATCTGGTGGCGATTGTAAGCATGATCACCTTACCGGAAACATTTTTTTGTGAATGAAGATCGTCGTCACTCGACCCCAGACAAATTCTAACACCGCCCATGTAAAACCTGTAAGCGAATGCAAACACATCTATGGTTTTCTACATACCTGAAGAGGTCAGTGTTGTACTTGTGTGTGAGTGAGGCGGTGGTGACGACGCTGCAGATGAGATAGCCGAGCACCACGAAAACACCAACTGCCTTTAAAACTTTTCCAGCTGTAGTCCCCATTCTCCTCGAACTGAAGTGATGAAATGGATAATGGATGGAGAACACGTCATTACCGTTATAAACGTGAAGAAAACACCAAGCAACCTGTCCCACATTATTAGTGAGTGAGTGAGTATGGTTTTACGCCGCTTTTAGCAATATTCCAGAAATATCACGGCGGGGGACACCAGTAATGGGCTTCACACATTGTACCCATGTCGGGAATCGAACCCGGTTCTTTGGTGTGACCAGCGAACGCTTTACCCACTAGGCTACCCGACCCCCTCCTACATTATGGAAGTACGAGCAGTGGTGTCTGTTCTTTAAGAGGTAAAAACAATTAATGCATTATTAAAGTTTGCCAATAGGCTATACTCGGTGTTATTCTAGATATACCCTCACCTTAATGCCCGTAAACAAAATGCCGTACCTCAGTGCTCAAGGGATGAGTTCTCCAAGGGAAATACCCTACCTCAGTGTCTACAAGATGAGGGCTTCATCGGATTATTTACCTTAATGCCCATGGAATGAGGGCCAATGGAGCTATTACGTAGAACTGCATATCGTTAGCCAAGTACCAACCCCAGGCCATACACTGAAACAAAAGCAAATGAACAGAGACGTGATGTGACCATCGGGCTTGTCATTGTGTGACCATCATGCGACCATGATGTGACGAGGTGGCTATACTGCGGCCATGATTTGACCATATTATCCTAATACGACCACTATCTGATGATGTAATGATGTTATCATGTTCGTATCATAACATAACCACGTGCGCTAATAATGCCCGTGCTCGTTGGTTTCACCAAAGTGGTAACGTCTGTGTCTTACCAAGCCCACTCACCCCGACATATCCCGTAAACATCCGGGTTAGAATTGGTCTTCAGCAACCAATGATGCCAGTAGTAAGAGGCCACTAACGGGTTCGGGTGGTCAGGCTCGTTGACTTGGTTGTTGCATGTCCAATTGTTTAGATCGCTGCTCATGATGTCAATCACTTATTTGTCTGGTCCAGACTCGAATATATACAGAAGGCCGTCTCATAGCTGAATATTGCGGACTGCGGCGTTAAACAACACATAAACAAATAAACACAACAGATCACAACCGTACTTATGTGGCATTACCTGTTTATCTGGTTTATAGACATTGTTAATGTACACCAGGCTCGTCCAACAATAATCTTCACAATTTTTCTTGTCATAAGGCCCGGCCCACGTGGGCCCATCCGCCAAATACGTCAGTAGGAACGTGTAGATGAACATCAGGTAGGCATAGGTGGGCGTCAGTCTGCAGATCATCAACATAATTCATATCAACCTGTGATATTGTAAGCACAAGTGAATGAAATTATGGTGCTAAGCATTGTACTTAGTGTGACATCAAAACATAGATGATTTAATGTGGATTACGTGGATATGACACGGTAGTTTGGAGACGATCTTCAAGAATCGGTGAATTACAACTGGTGGACTAATGCACCAGTGCCTTTATATCCCCATAACAGTTTGTCGCGAGTGCCCTAAACCACTCCGTAATTATACGTTGACTAAAACACTTCATAATTGTACGTTGACTAAACACTCCTCAATTGTACGTTGACTAAAACACTCCTTAATTAAATTATACTTTGCACTAAACACTCCTTAATTGTACGTTGACGAATAAAACGCTCTCCTAAATTGTACGTTGACTAAACGCTCCTTAACTGTATGTTAGCTGCAACCATGCTTAATTGTACGACGGCTAAAACACTCCCTAATTGCACGTTGACCAAAATTCTCCTTAGGTTTACGTTGACTGAACATTCTTAATTGTAACTTGACTAAAACTTTCCTTATGTCTACATTGACTAAAGCTCATCTTTATTCTACCTTGACTAAAACACTTCTTAATTTTACGCTGACGAAAACGTCATACTCCATACTTGTACGTTAAGTAAAACTCTCCTTAATTGTACGTTGACTACAACACTTCATATTGTACTTTGAATAAAGAGCTCCTTAATTGTACCTTTACTGAAATACCTTTTAATTGTACCTTGGCTAAAAAACTTCTTAATTGTACCTTGACTAAAACGCTTCTTAACCGTTCTGTCTGCAATGACAATAACAAAGGCGACTAACGGGATCGGGTGGTCGGGCTCGCTGACTTGGTTGATGCATGTCATCGTATCCCAATTGCGTGGATCGATGCTCATGATGTCAGTCACTGGATTTTGTGGTCCAGACTCGATTTTTCACAGACCGCTGTCATATAGCAGGAATATTGATGAGTGCGTCGTTTAACAACAAACAAATGAACAAAAGATAATAACAAAATAAGTCTTGAAGCTTTCCCATGTGATGAGTATTCTATGAGCATTGGCAAGAGCCTGCATTGAAGCTTCCAGCATCAGCAGCACTGGGACCTGACTGACCTCCAGAAGCGGTGGACGTAGTACAGGATCATGTGCTTCACCTTCAGACCTCCAGCCTTCTCCGTCTCCTTCAGGAACAAGTACGTCACCAACAGGCCACTGTGAAACATGGTGAATAGACTGTACATTTATGAATCAATCACTAAAACAATTTACCTTCGATTGAAGGTAACAACATAAAACACCGAGAGGTTTAAGTACTATGCCGACATGGGTACAGTGTGTGAAGCCCATTTCTGGTGTCCCCCGCCGTGATATAGCTGGAATATTGCTAAAAGCGGCGTAAAACCATACTCACTCACTCACTTTAAGGACTATGTTCATGTGCCCTATACAACGCCCTATCCCTGTGTGTGTGCGTGCGTGCGTGCGTGCGTGCGTGCGTGTGTGTGTGCGGGTGTGCGCGCGTGTGTGGCTGCTTGTACTAGTCCAGACTGATACCGGTTTTATAGTGCTAGCCCACTAATAAACCATGCCACAGTCGAACATGGATACTCCACTGAAACACAGTGTACCGACTCCGAGGCGACCAGTTTTTGTTTCATCCCCTTAATGCCGAGCGCCAGACAGGGAAACAAGAGGTACCATAACCACCGCCCCTCCTACCCAACACCTCCCACCCTAACCTCCACCCCCACCCCGCGAGGGCAGTCGCTCTACCCACTAGACCGTGGATGCGGTCAAAAAGAAAATAAGTAAATGCACAACATTTGTTGAGTGTGTGTCAACAGAGTTAAAAAAAATTGGAAAAAAGGAAATTGATCGGGGCATTAGAGAGACACTGGCCAACTAAGTCTCGAATCGTCATTTATATGAGGGGGCACATGTTGCCCAGTCGTCTACGGCGCCGCAACTCGCTGTGCAGAGTTGCGTCCCTTGGGCACGCCAAAAACCAATGATGGTGGGTTCGAATCCCGGTTCGCCCCGATTATGTTTCTAGGTTTGTCAGCACCATACCCGTGCTCATGGGTTTCACCGAAGTAGTAAACGTCTGAGACCTGCATCACTTCGGGCTTTCCTCCCACATTCAGCTGAGACGCCGTGATATAACTGGAATACTGTTAAAAGTGGCGTTAAAAGCCAACCCACTCACTCATTTATATGTGACTCCCTCGAATCTTACCTGAGAACAAAGAAGGAATCAACAGAAAGTGTTGCGTTAATCATGATCTGGAAACTGAAGCCCTGCATCAACTTCATGGCTGCTTTGGGGTTTTCTGCAAGACATAGATGAACAAGTTGAGACGTCCACTGGGCGGAACGCAGAGGGATGCTACACATGTAGACTATGTCTTCCCCATTTCAATTCCAGAATTTCTGTATTAAAGTTTGATCCTGCTTATTGATATTGATGGCAAAAATAAGCAAACAAATATAAATGTCTTCAGGTATCTGACATGGCGTCTTGGATATACCCGAAGATAATATTATTTCTCTATTTATTGACTTAGAAGAAGCAAACATTTCACTCGGCGCATCATTTTGTTGAAAATAAATGCAATCGTAATCATTCTGTATCTACCTGAACTAACTTACATTTTTCATTCAGCACATATACAAAATATTTCACGATAGGTGGAGCTCTCGTCGTACCGTCTTGAATTGCTGGACGATTTGCTTGATGGCGTCATGGAACAGCAATGTGACTATTTCTTCTCATTCACTTTCACATTCATATCTTTATTTTTAAATTAGTGAGTGAGTGAGTGAGTATGGTTTTACGCCGCTTTTAGAAATATTCCAGCAATATCACGGCGGGGGACACCAGAAATGGGCTTAACACATTGTACCCATGTCAGGAATCGAACCCGGGTCTTCGGCGTGACGAGCGAACGCTTTAACCACTAGGCTACCCGACCGCCCCTATTATTAAATTAAATTAAATTGTCAAGCATACACTCGCATGACCGACCTGCGTTACTCATGATGAAATAGAGATACGTGTGGCCCAAAATGACCCATCCGATGCTGAGGACCCGGATGCCATGGAGACAGGTAATAGATGCGGGTGAGCGCTTGACGCTGAGGATCTTCTCGCCATTGCTGACGGCAGAGAAACACAACAGGACACGCTGCCATACTGCCACTATTAAAGTAACAAACATGTATGTCAATGCCAATGAAAATGTTTAAGATTACAGAGCGTGTTTATTTCTTTTAGGCTGAACTTTTCGTTCATCGGACACTAAGCCAAGGACCATTCACAAACACAATATTGTTACCTGTTTCAAGTCATACAATTTCTTTTCTCTGACAGGATCTAAGCGATTTTTGGGAGGAACAACATCATATTTTACAGGAGTGAGTGAGTGAGTGAGTTGGGTTTAACGCCGCTTTTAACAGTATTCCAGTTATATCACGGCGTGTCAGCTTAATGTGGGAGGAAAGCCCGAAGTGTTGCAGGTCTCAGACGTTTACCACTTCGGTGAAACCCACGAGCACTGGTATGGTGCTGACAAACCTAGAAACATAATCGGGGCGAACCGGGATTCTAACCCACAATCATAGGTTTCTGGCGTGCCCAAAGGGACGCAACTCTGCACAGCGAATCGCGGCGCCGTAGACGACGTCCCATTTTACCGGACATTCAGCAAGTCCAGTAAACATTGTTTTACCGAACATATGGTGTCATCACCTATTTTCCTTCAAATTATTTTCACCGCTATTTTGCCTTTACGATCAAAGGAATCTGTTTCGGTGAACAGTTGAGACATGTTATTTTTTGGTGTTGACGTTTCATATCTTGTGAAACCTGAGGCTATATTTTTTGTTCCACCCTTTATAACTTATAAAAACACAAACATAGATCAATCATTTCTGGTTTTCGATAAGATTCGTGCTTAAAAAATGTTTGGAAATATCAGCGTTAACTGACAATTCTGCAGCGTACACTTAGGCTTATTTTTGTTGTCATGTTGTTTGTCCGCTGATCGAAGCTGCTGCCCACCGTTAGGATATACAAAGTGTGCACCATTCGTCTCCTGTATTTTCGGACCAGCAGGGTTGTCTATTCCATCGTTCTGGAAGTTGAGATGTGGCTTCCAAATCAAGCCATTTGTATCTATGTTCCCATTTGTAACTGACGTTTCAGCCGAATCGTTGAAGGTCGTGCAGATTTCAGTCAATCTGACTGCGTCGATACGGGGACTCACGGGAACCTTATCGCGACGACCCTTGGTAGCCCGGATGCTCATATCCAGAGCTGACCCCACAATGACCAGGCAGCCCAAGATGGCCGTCAGGACGCTGTAAGGAGATTTGTCCAAATGTTAAAAGGAAACACATGAATATATTTGCAAAATCTATTAATTGCTACGCATGAGTTCATGTGCATGTTGGGGGAACGGGTGTCCCAGTCGTCAAAGGTGCCGCAATTCGCTGTGCAAAGTTGTGACCCTTGGTACGCCAGAAACCTATGATCGTAGGTTCGAATCCCGGTTCGCCACGATTAGATTTGTCAGCACCATACAAGTGCTTCTGGGTTTCATCAAACTGGTAAACGTCTGAGACCTGCATCACTTCGGGCTTTCCTCCCACATTAAGCTGACAGGTCCTCATATACCTGGAATACTGTTGAAAGCGGCGTTAAAAGCAACTTACTCGCTCACTCATTCTTATCACCCGGCATGTCCATAATGTTTGCTATAACCACACGTGAATGACCCATCAGTGACCGATAACCTGCTATCTCTGTCGTCGATTCATGGTTATTAACTCTGTAGGACAATATATGCCACGAGGAGTATATAACAGTACACTTGCACCGTGTGACACTGATACGGTGAGCGCTTGCTTGCCACAGATTACTGTTACCTCTTATTCACGCCTATCTGTCCACAATGCCCGTGTATCTACACAACTAATAACATCCCCTACGTGGTGACATAAACATCAGATATGTCAGTACTTACATGGCTCCAACCGCGGCACTGTCGCTACTGACGGGGCCGCTCTTGATCTCCGCATGACACACCACTCTTGCGACTTTCAGGTTGACTTGCGACAGACCTACAGTATTAGTATGAAGACAGTACATGCCTGGGTAGTACTTGAACAGCTCTTACGGTTAATAATTTGGCATAACGTATCCAGTAAGTGCTTTTTTCACATAAACGGCAAAAGAAAGTTACACCTATGTGGGAGTGAGTATGGTTTTACGCCGCTTTTAGCAATATTCCAGCAATATCACGGCGGGGGACACCAATAATGGGCTTCACAGATTGTACCCATGTCGGGAATCGAACCCGGGTCTTCGGCGTGACGAGCGAACGCTTTAACCACAAGGCTACCCGACCGCCCCCACATGTTGGAAAGTAGCTTAAAATGAAACAAACAAGAAATATTTATAATGATGCATTTCATACGGGTTAAGTTGTGTTTAAGACCTTAATTTTGCAGTGTTTCGGTGACAGTTGTCAGCCTACCAATTTTCATATGTATACTTTATTTTTGCCTGGCGTATTATGATATGTTATAACGTATTACACGTCACGCTATTCTTCAAACAAAAACAGAAACTACCAAACCATTTAATTTGCATATAAACATGTGACAGGATGAGCGTGAACTGTATTTAGTGTCGCAGCATTTCAGTTACATCAGTGTATGTGGGAGGAAAACACAGTAACGAGGGGGGTGGGCGTTTGTCGGTTTGTTGAAAGCCAAGTGCCCGTATCTGGTACTGTCAGACCGAGAATCATAATCTTGCCGGCTCTGGGATTCGAACATGAATGATACCAATAATGCGAACCCTATTCTAACTTCATGTTTGCTTTCTTCAAATAAACGTGAACATTTTTATATATTTGGAGACATGTATCAGAAATCGATATTTTTAAAGATGCCTTGTCCAGATGAATTCCCCCTCCCCGCCATTAACAAAACACTCACGGCTCTGCAGCGCTCCTTGCACACTCCTGCTGCCGCAGCTACTCGGAAGACACAGGTGCCAGTTGAAGGTCATGGGTTGTGCGCCAAGCATTCCACCACCCTGTAGATACAATACCAGTCTTCATAGCCCGTGAAATATGTCCTGTCATATCAAGAGTATACATACTTTATCTGATTTAGAATGGAATACATGTACGAATGGGTAAGGGGCATGTACTCCCAATCTAAGAAACCATACATACACCTTGAACACAAACATACCTCAGGTGACACACGCAAGACTCGCTCACATCCTCCACACAAGCCCCACTCACAACCTTCACACAAACCCCACTCACATCCTACACACAAACCCCGCTCACATCCTACACACAAACCCCGCTCACATCCTTAACACAAACCCCGCTCACATCCTACACACAAACCCCACTCACAAAGTACACACAAACCCCACTCACATCCTACACACAAACCCCACTTACATCCTTAACACAAACCCCACTCACATCCTACACACAACCCCGCTCACATCCTACACACAAACCCAACTCACAAAGTACACACAAACCCCACTCACAACCTACACACAAACCCCACTCACATCTTACACACAGACCCCACTCACATCCTACACACAAACCCCACTCACATCCTACACACAAACCCCATTCACATCATACACACAAACCCCACTCACGACCTACACACAAACCCCACTCACATCCTACACGCAAACCCCACTCACATCCTACACACAAACCCCACTCACATCCTACAAACAAACCCCACTCACATCCTACACAGAAATTCCACTCACATCCTAGACACAAACCCAATTCACATCCCACACAAAAAAAAACACTCACAAAGTACACACAAACCCCACTCACATCCTACACACAAACCCCACTCATAAAGTACACATAAACCCCGCTCACATCCTACACACAAACCCTACCCACATCCTACACACAAACCCCACTTACATCTTACACACAAACCTCACTCACATCCTACACACAAACCCCACTCACAATCTACACACAAACCCCACTCACAAACTACACACAAACCCCACTCACATCCTACACACAAACCCCACTCACATCTTACACACAAACCTCACTCACATCCTACACACAAACCCCACTCACATTCTACACACAAACCCCACTCACAAAATACTCAAAGGCAGTTTAGGTTGTATACTTCCCAGGGAGCTGAGAATGAAGATCTAGTAGTCGTTTGACTGGGGTAGTAATCTATCGTTTTGAGCATGTTCTTGGGTGTTGATTTGTCGCTTTACAAATATGCAAATTTTTAGTATCATCATCAAAATTAGTAGTAGTAGAAGTAGGATTCAAGGATCATTTTCTGAAATTACAATTGATTCTTACAACCCCAATTCCTGCTGGGTCTTTCCTCATCACTGCCATTGGATGCATTTAGTTGCCTGTAAAACAGTTTATTTTGTTTTTTGAAGTTGATTCTGTGGAAATGATTGGTTAAATAGTTTAACTGGCCTCCGTTTCTCGATCGGTTAATCGCAGATTTTATTATAGAATGACATAAACAAAAAATACAAGGGATCATCAGAAAGATCATCGACAGAAGAGTGGTCGGAATCGGGAAGGAACTCAAAACGTCGAGGCCGACATCAGGGATTTCATTTTGTGGGCCATGTGTGGGTCATCAGTGACAACTGCATGAAGTAAGTTAAAGAGAATAATTCAAACGTTCATTTGCAATTTCGGGTCTGCTACTGTTGGAACTAGGGTTCATGCAAGGGTGCCTGACGAGTGTTGGCATTTAGCTCACAAGGTTCACGACGCTTTAGTCGCCGGAGAATATCCTGCTGTCAGGTGTGCATACATTGGCTTGGCTTTGTCCCATTGCAGCTTCCGAAATTTGCCATTTATTCGTGGTATTTCTGGCCATCCTGTTGCTTTCGCATACTCAAGAAGTGTGGACTTTAGTTGTTGCGTCCAAGATATTCTTGGATGGGTTCTGTGCCTCCCCCTGGGGCAAGTCCCATCCTCACTTTGGTTGGTTTGTATACCGGAGGGAGGCTGAATGGGCTCCGGAGTTGAAAAATGATTTACTTCATTGCCTCCTGTATCCCAGTGTTAACCAGCTTCGGGAGGTTAGCCCTAACTGGGCGTTTGGTTCAGGGGAATACATCCTCCCTGTCCAGGCCCACCACGGAGAGGCAAACATCATCAGGCAATTATTATTATTGTTTTATTGTTGTTGTTGTAGTTATTATTGTTAGTAGTAGTAGTAGTAGTAGTAGTAGAAGCAGTAGCAGTAGTAGTAGTAGTAGTAGTAGCAGTAGTGGTAGTAGTAGTAGTAGTAGTAGAGGCAGTAGCAGTAGCAGTAGTAGTAGTAGTAGTAGCAGCAGTAGCAATAGAAGAAGTTAAAGTAGTAGTAGTAGCAGTAGTAGTAGCAGCAGCAGTAGTAGTAGTAGTAGTAGTAGTAGCAGCAGTAGTAGTAGTAGTGGTAGCAGTAGCAGTAGTAGTAGTAGTAGTCGTAGTAGTAGTAGTAGTAGTAGTAGTAGTAGTAGTAGTAGTAGTAGTGAACAGAAAAAGTGAACATGTTTAGTTTAAGACTGTAAAAGGACCTACATTTCCACCTCCCATCATGCCTAGCAGCTGTGGAGGAGGAAGAATGGACACAACGCAGGTGTCCCCCTTTACTTGTCTCCCCGTGGCTTGGTCCACCTCACTGATTACATCAAGACATTCGTCAAAGTTGCCGTAAAAGGTCGTTGCCCCTTCAAGGATGGAGGTGGCCGGTTTTCCTGATGCATCGAACACTGAGAAAAGGAAGCACACAAGTATTGTTTCTGATTGCCCAATCGTCCGTGCATTAAACCTTTATGAACGGTAACCTCTAGTTGTTTCTGTTTGGAAACGTTTTCTTGTGACACATGACGATATTTTCCTGACATATATTTTACATATACCTCCCATGTATGAAATATATATCTTGCGCCAAGGTATCATATATCCAAAAGCGGAAAACGTCTTCAGTTGTGTAAAACGTCTTCAATTGTGGAAAACATCTTCGATGACAGTAGGTACCTACTAGTGTGATCTGTATGTTTTCTTGTCTATACGTGCATCATATCTTATTTCATAGTTTGCTGTCGGTATGCACAAACTGTGAAGAGAAATACATATCTCACGATAATGTGTTTCAAGATTGCACGAAATTTTACCGAATGAAAGAAAGACGTTAAAGACCCAATGTTTTCATATCGCTACATTTAATCAAGGTTGTGCCAGATTAACTATAATATAATATTATTATATAAACAGTCGGATGATTTATAACTGATTTTGAGTAGTAACATTGCAATAATTGCTTGTTAGGTACACGTTTTGTGTTCAACACGTGTCCATCAAAGATCAATGTACTCACTGCTAAGAGCCCACATCTTCCCCTGTACGAGATCGTTCAGATAGGTATCCACATCTTCAGAGCATGTACGTTCGTCGGCTGTCAATCCGCTTGTGTTTGACTGAGTAAGCCCCCTCAAGATGGACGGAAGTTGAGGGACAAGGCTTTTCAAGACACGTGTAATTGTTTCTAGATCGATGGACCCTCCCCCCATAAGAAGGGGCAAGAGGGAGTTCCCCATTCCTCCTGGAATCTTATTTGCCATGGTCAAGAGAGAATCTGGTAATTTTGAAGTTGTCGGGGACGTTGTATTGGCAGTGGTGGTAGAGTTTGTGGCCGTGGAGACGAACGTGTTAATTAGCATGGAGAGAAAAGACCCTAGTGTTAGAGTGGTGGTGTTGCTGGATGTCGTCATGGTAGTAGTCGGAGACGTTGTCGTAGTAGGTTGGGTAGGTGATGTATTTGCAGGATCAGAGAAGTTGGACAGACTTGCCGCAGTTTGTGATGAGGCCTCTTTGACTGCATCTGTGATCTCGCTGGCACCCAATGACGAACTATTGGGAAGTGAAGACCCATGACTGTCTATGGTTGTGAAGGTCACAGTAGTGTTAGAACAGTGTGTTCTTTGGAGGACACAGAAGAGAATGCACAGTCTGATGAACTCCATGGTGAGATAATTGTCAAGAATTGGTGATTTGCTCACAAGTGTATTTAAAGGCTGTTTCTGGTTTGACTCAGAAAAAAAGGAAGTTCGTTCATTTTTCAGATTAGAATGTGGTGTTTTTGTTTCCTTATAACCAGTTGGAAGGAAGGTTCGAGTCACCACAGATATCAACCACTGTACAGCCCCTACAATATTGCCGTCTGACCGTATACTGTCCTGAACGTTGTCTGGCAATGGCCCCCGAGTGGTATCAACATCAACGTGCGATGTGCTTTTATCAGTAAATGCTAAATATAGAATTTAGTCATGTGCTCGTGAACGTTTTGGCTCATTTCGCATTCCTCTGTATCCAAGTACTAAAGTCCAAATGTTTCCCACAATATCCGACAGATCGTACCCTACAGTATTTGACAAGATATTGTCAAAATAGCATTTCAAATATATGCCGTTTTGGTTGTTGTTTTTTCTCAGTTGGATAAGAGTTTGTTTCAGATAAAATCTAAATTATATATTTTAACATACTATTTGAACAATGTGTTATACCTTTCACAGAGTGGATAGTTTAATTTTCAGTGGTATAAACATAATGCTACCATCTTATCAGATGTAACTCTATGCTTTTTTAAACTAACATAAATGCTGCATACACGATTGACAGATACGTGTCAAATGGCCCTATTTTCAGCAAACAAAGATCATTTCAATTTTATGATGACAGGATATGTCTCATGATGCATTTGCTTGTAATGTAAGGAAAGGATGTCAGGATATGCACACTCAGTAATGGTTCTAGTGTTATCGAGCGTCGGCAAAGTTACCCAAGTAAGGTGAGCCGGGTTTTGTTTATGATAAATTAAACACTGCCCCCATCACCGGCAACAGTAGGATGTTTACCAACACTGCCCCCGTCACTGTTAACCGTTGGATGTTTACCAACACTGTCCCCATCACTGTTAACTGTAGGATGTTTACCAACACTGTCCCCATCACTGTTAACTGTAGGATGTTTACCAAACTGTCCCCATCACTGTTAACTGTAGAATGTTTACCAAAACTGTCCCCATCACTGTTAACTGTAGGATGTTTAGCAACACTGTCCCCATCACTGTTAACTGTAGGATGTTTACCAACACTGCCTCCATCACTGTTAACCGTTGGATGTTTCCCAACACTGCGCCCATCACTGTTAACTTTAGGATGTTTACCAACACTGTCCCCATCACTGTTAACTTTAGGATGTTTACCAACACTGTCCCCATCACTGTTAACTGTAGGATGTTTACCAACACTGTCCCCATCACTGTTAACTGTAGAATGTTTACCAAAACTGTCCCCATCACTGTTAACTGTAGGATGTTTACCAACACTGTCCCCATCACTGTTAACTGTAGGATGTTTACCAACACTGCCCCCATCACTGTTAACCGTTGGATGTTTCCCAACACTGCCCCCATCACTGTTAACTTTAGGATGTTTACAAACACTGCCCCCATCATTGTAAACAGTAGGATGTTTACCAACACTGCCCCCATCACTGTAAACAGTAGGATGTTTACCAACACTGCCCCCATCATTGTAAACAGTAGGATGTTTACCAACACTGCCCCCATCACTGTAAACAGTAGGATGTTTACCAACACTGTCCCAATCACTGTAAACAGTAGGATGTTTACCAACACTGTCCCAATCACTGTAAACAGTGGGATGTTTACCAACACTGCCTCTTTCACTGTTAATCGTTGGGGTTCATCAAAATCTGTCGTTTGTCACTGTTGACCGTCGGACGTCTCTAAAGTCTCCCCCATGTCACTGTTTACTGTTGGGTGTCTTTTAGAACTGTCGCCTCTCACTCTTAACCTTTTTTTCATTTTCTCATTAACAAAAAGGCTGTTGTAAAGCTGTTTTCTTCTTCCCTAATTTATTTGACTGTGAATTTTTACAACATGTGTGGTTCTCCAAGTGAACTCGTATGTACTGAATCTGCCCATAGTGCCTTATTTATGACAAACCTGATAAGAGAGAGAGAACTTCATATCATTGTTTGTCTGTCCCGCACTGGTATCTCGCCTGTCTCAGGTCGTGTCTCAAAGTCCGTTGTACACACACACACACTGGTGTAAGTAAATACATATGTTGCAATAACGTGAAATAGCTCTTTGTGCCAGTAGTGCTCGTGTGGTACCCACTTTATACTGCGGCACTGTAACTCACTCACACACACACACACACACACACACACACACACACACACACACACACACACACACACACACACACACACACACACACACACACACACACGACATTAACGCGACATTAAACCCCATTTCACCTCACCTCACCTCGTACTGCTCAGCCTAAGCCAACTGAACGACCAGACTGAACGTTTTATTAATTCGATTTGTCTCTATTGCTATGTATCCTTTAAAATGGTATGCAACTTGTTACAGGAATTCTGATAAGCCAAGAACTGATCTTCAACATCTTAAATAATTTCGCCGAGAAAAGGATGCCGAAGACAGTTGGCGAGTCGCTCTGCTTGAACGAATCCCCTTCAATACCTACAGAAGTATATAAAGAGTTAAGGATAATGACATATAGTCAGAACTGCGCCATCTCTCGGGAACGCTGGTAGCCTTCGTGGTGGTACTACAGCCGAAGATGAATGAAACCAAAAGGGGTGGAAGGGATCTCCGTATAGATTTATCTAGAGGTGGCATCGGCTTCGCTATGGGCGTCATCAAAGTGGATGTTTAATGCCTTCTCGGAGGTAGCAGCGACCTCACCATGTGTGACATTTAACCAGAAGTATAACTCTTACACTAGAGCTGGCAGCGACCTCAAGGAGAGTCAACATAGTTTAACGCCTTCATTCGAGGCGGCAGGGGCCTCATTAGCTTCAGACTAAACCGGAAGTATAATGCTTTCACCATAAGTGGCAGCGGCCTCACTATATGAAGCACTAAATCTGAAGTATAATGCTTTCACCAGAAGTGGCAGCGGCCTCACTATATGAAGCACTAAATCGGAAGTATAATGCTTTCACCAGAAGTGGCAGCGGCCTCACTACATGAAGCACTAAACCGGAAGTATAATGCTTTCACCAGAAGTGGCAGCGACCTCACTATATGAAGCACTAAATCGGAAGTATAATGCTTTCACCAGAAGTGGCAGCGGCCTCACTATATGAAGCACTAAACCGGAAGTATAATGCTTTCAACAGAAGTGGCAGCGGCCTCACTATATGAAGCACTAAGCCGGATTGCTTCCACCAGAAGTGGCAGCGGCCTCACTATATGAAGCCCTTAACCGCAAGTATAATGCTTTCACCAGAAGTGGCAGCGGCCTCACTACATGAAGCACTAAACCGGAAGTATAATGCTTTCACCAGAAGTGGCAGCGGCCTCACTATATGAAGCACTAACCGGAAGTATAATGCTTTCACCAGAAGTGGCAGCGGCCTCACTATATGAAGCACTAAACCGGAAGTATAATGCTTTCACCAGCAGAAGTGGCAGCGGCCTCACTATATGAAGCACTAAATCGGAAGTATAATGCTTTCACCAGAAGTGGCAGCTGCCTCACTATATGAAGCACTAAATCGGAAGTATAATGCTTTCACCAGAAGTGGCAGCGGCCTTCACTATATGAAGCACTAAGCCGGATTGCTTCCACCAGAAGTGGTAGCGGCCTCACTACATGAAGCACTAAACCGGAAGTATAATGCTTTCACCAGAAGTGGCAGCGGCCTCACTATATGAAGCACTAAATCGGAAGTATAATGCTTTCACCAGAAGTGGCATCGGCCTCACTATATGAAGCACAAACCGGAAGTATAATGCTTTCACCAGAAGAGGCAGCGGCCTCACCATATGAAGAACTAAGCCGGAAGTAAAATGCTTTAACTGGCATCGAATTCGGGTGTCACCAAAGTGGGAGCCTTAAAGCTTCCCTAGAGTTTGCAGCGACCTCAGTAGCGTGACACAAGACAGGGAGTATAATGTTTTAACGAGAGTTTGCAGCGACCTCAGGCGCCTGACATTAAACCGGAAATACAATACTTTCACTGGATGTGGCAGTCACCTCACTAGCGTAACACTAAACCGGAAATATATCGCTGTCACTGGAGGTAGCAGTTGCCTCGTTAGGATGACACCAAAGCGGAAGTTAACGCACAGGATTTTCACCTGGTAAAATAAAACGGAACTGTAATACCTTCAAAGAATAATAAGAGTTTTATTATATCTAACACCTCCGGGCTTTATGCAAAGCATTTCATGCGGTAAATCATATATACTACTCAAAATAAGTTCAAGATCACCCGCTTAATTCATATGACTATAGTTAATCTGTCATGACTGGTGGATATTGCAAAACACACCCTTCCAACATACCAGCCATCTTTTGAGTAGTATATTACGAACATTCAAAATTAACACTTTGCCTTAATTTCATGTCCTGACACATCAAAACAGCGGATTCATAATGTACGTTAACATATACAAAGGGTTACATAAGGTAGAGCATATATTACAACAGATATTCAAATTAAACACAACTTCACATCTTGGTAAATACAATATATAACAGAGGGTTTGTACTGTTTATCTGATATTATTTGGTCAAAGGACTCGTGGTATAACAGACATGATTCATCATCAATAAGCCAATCTGGAAGCCGTGTCCATGGCCAATGGTACTTAGATGATAGGAGTGAGTGAGTGATGTGGGATCTGTACATAGTAAATCATAATAATAAAATTTCACATTAAGATACAACTGAAAGTCGAAAGTAGAAGGGGGCACGGGTGGCCCAGTCGTCTAAGGCGCCGTGATTCGCTGTGCAGAGTTGCGTCCCTTGGGCACGCCAGAAACCTAGGATTGTGGGTTCGAATCCTGGTTCGCCCCGATTATGTTTCTAGGTTTGTCAGCACCATACCCGTGCTCGTGGGTTTCACCGAAGTGGTAAACGTCTGAGACCTGCATCACTTCGGGCTTTCCTCCCACATTAAGCTGACACGCCGTGATATAACTGGAATACTGTTAAAAGCGGCGTTAAACCCAACTCACTCACTCACGAAAGTAGAAAACAAACAATTCGAGTGAGACATATTTTGCTTAGAGTATGTTCCGCCACGTTATATCTTACAACTAGATGAAACCTCTCAAGTCCCCACAGGTTAACCGTTTTCAAGTGGCATGAATTAAATTTAACATTAAATTACAATGAGTTCTAGTTTTCGTCGTAATGATTGTGTGAGATGTGGGGGGGGGGGGGGGGGGGGATTTTCCATCCCATGTTCAAGGCTGGGGAAACAAAGAATGAACTCCCATCACACAACAGTTAGGCAAGGCTACTACTTTCATAGAAAGAAAGGGGCTGTTCTGGGGCCACACAAAACGGACACATAGACCCTCGGCTAAATACAGCATATATTAGAAAACAGGTCTTGAGATTGTTTGAATTGATATTTACATGAAACAAATGTAGATTACTGCTTAGGAGCTGTCATTAATTTACGTCATCACATTACAATTTTGATCAATCTAATTTATTTGTTAACTTCTTTAAGTGGTATAGAGATGTTCGTATGATGAACAAGGAAGATGGTCTCTAGATATACAACAAGGAGAATCTGCGCATGCGTTAGAGTAATCGTGTGTTGATTCAAATGAGCTGTGAAACAATCAACAAAATCTGATGCAAATATCCGTCAAAACGTTCACGTTACAAAATGGGGATATCCATAGAAACATGGAAGTCACGAATCGGTACATTTGTAACTCCTCGAGGACACCGACAAGTAGAGACAGTTCTCATCGTTGTGCTCAGAAGGTGAGATTGGTGAATATGTATACAAACAATGGACATTGCTTACATACCGAAATCTGAACAATACCCTCGAATGTAGGCGACAGCCTTTTGTCTCCGGAGATATTGAACTTTATCCTGGACCTACAGGAGATAACTTTAATGAGCTGAAGTTTACAATAATTGAACAGATAAAAGAATCGGAAGCTAGATTAACTCAGAATATTGAATCTGTTTAAGCTGAAATCCAGACAATCAAGAACGATGTTAGTGAACCTCGAGACGAGGTGAACAACAACAAAGAAGAACAGGCAATCTTAAGGCTTGATGTTGATGCTGTTTCCGATAGAATAGATGCTATTGATGGTTATGGCGCTGCTGTTTACAGCTTGGAGGAAAGAGTTGAAAGTCAATAACGACATAGTAGAAGAAACAATTTAATTATTTATGATGTTCCTGAAGAAGATAGTGAGTCCTATGATGCACGCAGGGGAAAGGTGTTAGATGTTATTAACCGAGCTAGAAATAAGGAAAACCAACTCCCCAGCTAGTGTCAAGAGATACTGAACGTGCACATAGACCATCTATAAGGAATGATAACAAACCACGCCCACTCATAGTGAAAATGACTCATTGGATGGGCAAGATGCAGATGGTGAGCATGAGAGGTATACTGAGAGAGATGGGATTCGGTGCTGCTAGTGACCTAACGTATAACCAACGACGTGAACTTGACAGATTACGCGCTGAAAATCCTAATAAAAGGGTTTTTTTCAAAGGAGGAAAAGTTGCCGAGGACATAAAACATGACACAGAGAGAAGAGATTGCCTTGCACAGGCTCAGAATAGTCATGTTAGACCAAAATATGGTGGAACCAGGAACAACGGTAATCGGAGGCAGGGTGAAGAAAACAGAATTGACTCTCGGCCTCGATCGCTCCGCCCCAGCACGAGAGAGAAGACAAACAATAGGAAGGGGGTGGCCCGGGCCAAGATAATTGTAGGGTGTTTCATACAGGTTCACCTTCAATTTCCCTTTTGTTGACTGGGTCCATAAAAATTTAATTTCAGGAACGTGTCTGGACTAAAATCCAAAGTGGACGATTGTGAATATATTACCTTTGTTAACTTATTTGATATTGTCGGGCTTACTGAAACATGGTTGAAGGAGACAGATTTGGTTGGTTTATTCAGTGATTTTGCTATACACACAAAGGATGGTGAGCGGATATCTACCCGGGGACGACTCTCAGGTGGTGGATAAACAGTATTAATCAGAAACACTTTAGCACATCTTGAAAAGTGGACCAAAGTGTGTGATAGCGGTATATTTATTTTACTAGATACAGAAATGTGTGGTTTAAAGAAAGACCTATTGTATGCATGTGTGTATCACCTGGAGTCTTCAACCTGGTATAATAACCCGTTACGTCAATGTAAAAACGGCATCTCACTATTACAAGACGATCTGTTGCATATGCTTTCTATATGTGATAACGTGTATGTTATCATCGGAGGTGATTTCAACACTAGGACTGACACACTACCTGATTTTGTTGAAGACGATATCCTTGAATACTTGGAAGGTAATGATAATAACAGGTGGGAGTTTTTGTTGGATAGTCTTAACATGAAACGATTTTCGGTAGATTCAACTATAAACAGGTTTGGTAAATGCTTGTTAGATATGTGCAGTATTCCTAACATCCATATTATAAATGGAAGATGTGGCTCAGACGCGGATGTAGGGGATTTCACTTTTATAGGAAATCAAAGTGCTAGCGTGGTTGATTATATAATATGTTCATCTGAATTGTTGAATGTATGCAGTAGATTTAACATACGCTCACGCGCTGATTCATCACATACTCCACCCACAATGGATTTACGTACGTTTCACACAACAAAACAATTTGAAAGTGATCAAATTATTAATGAATATTTCAGATTTACATGGGTCCACGATAGAGCTAATAACTTAAGATATTATTTGACATCAGATGAAGTATCTTATTTACTTGAAAGGGCAGTAAGCCTGAAGCCTAATGTATGGTTGCATCAGATATGAAGAGAAAAGTTTGCATTAACAAACCGCATCGTCAGTGGTATGATAGTTGTTGTGAGTTATTAAAAATAGAAAGATGTAGATGTTTAAATATATTTCGAAGGAAAAAGGATTTGGTTTCATTGGAAAATTATCAACGCATCCGGAATCAGTATAACGAAACATGTTGGAAAAAGAAAGTTGAATATTATGGAATGCAACAGGAACTTCTTGAGAAAAACATTATTAATTCAAAAGTCTTTTGGTCAACTCTTAAAAAGCCAGGGACAACTCCACACATGTATAATAATATTACTATCAAAAATTGGTAATATCACTTTAAAAAGTTATTTACAGCTCATGATGACAGTAATGATGACTTTTTCTGGATTTGAAGATGACAATATAACATATGATATCGAATTATCACGAGACATCCTCGAGACTCCGAGTGATGAATAAGAGAAAGCATTTCTCATCTTAAAAATGGTAAATCAGTTGAATATGACAAACTTATATCAGAGTTTTTTAAACATTCTACAGATATCCTTGTACCATATCTAGAGTAGATTTTAAATAATATGCTGGAAACATCACATTTTCCTGAAAACTTGGCACTTGGTATAATCGTCCCTCTCCATAAGCAGGGTTCAGTGAATAATACAAATAACTATCGAGGCATTGTGTTATCAAGCATTTTTAGCAAAGTGTTCATATATATCATTAACAAAAGGTTAGTATTCAAGGCTGATCCTTTGAAAAGATTAGTGAGTCTCAATCTGGTTTCAGGCAAGGATACTCCACAATTGATAATAGATTTATGTTGCAAACAATAATACAAAAGTACCTAGCAAAGAAGGGTGGTAAATTATACGCATTTTTGTAGATTTCTCTAAAGCTTTTGATTCTATAAGCAGAAATAAATTATGGTCACGTTTCAAAGCACATGGTCTTAGCAGTAAAACTGGAAAGTTAATGTGCTGTATGTATCAGAATGTAAAGGTTTGTGTGTGAAATAATGGTACTGTGTCCGACACATTTGAAAGCAAAATTGGCGTTAAGCAAGGGTGCATTTTAAGTCCGTTTTTGTTCTCCTTCCTTATCAATGAATTAGCTCAACAAATTCAGCAGAACTGTTCTGGTGGCATCCAACTTCACCCGAAAACTATAAAGTTATTTCTTCTTTTGTTTGCCGATGATATAATAATGTTTTCAAGCACAATACCTGGACAACAAAAACACATTAATTAGCTGGAATGTTATTGCAAAGAATGGAATTTATCTGTCAACAAGATTAAGACAAAAGTTATTGTTTTTAAAAATGGTGGTACACTAGCCAGGAGGGAGAAATGGTTTTATCTAGGACATTCATTAGATGTTGTATCGTTCTATAAGTACTTAGGTGTATATTTTACAAATAGATTGTCATGGAAGATGCATGCTAACCAAGCTGCTGTACAAGCTAAGAAGATCCTAATTGAATTATTTTTAACATATGAAAGTTCTTGAAAATATATTCTATAGTACATTCTTTAATATTTTCTAGACGAAAATAAGCCTAGTTTTGTTATATGGAGTAGAGGTTTTGAGGATTAGAAATTATTGATGTTATAGAAAAAGTACATTTATATGCATGCAAAACTTCCCTCGATGTGAAACCTAGTACGCCTAATCTAACGGTCTATGGCGAATGTGGAAGATACTCATTAACTATGTTTGAAAAGTTAAAGACGATAAAATACTGGATTAAATTAGTTGCCTGCAACAAGATATCCAAAGAAATGTTATAACATGTTATTACTCTAAGATCAACAAGAACACACAAAACTGGGCATCTTCTGTTAAGCATCAGCTTTATTCATGAGGTTATGGTAATATATGGACAGAACAGGATACGTATTTACCAGATCATTTCCTAGATGCTTTCACTCAGACCTGAAAGATATGTACATTCAAAATTGGCATTTTTCCTTATCAGTATCAAAGAAACTATCAAGTTAATCCTTCTTTAAAAACAGCTTCTTTGGAGAGCAATACTTATTAGATGTGACACAAAACATTTCGAATTGCACTTGCAAGATTCAGATGTGGTTCACACGAACTCTTTATCGAGACGAGAAGATATATGGGGATCGTGAGAGAACACAGAATTTGTCAGTTTTGTGATTTTAACACTGTAGAAAGTGAATACCATTTCTTACTACTTTGTCCTTTGTGTGCTGAACTCAGAAAACAGTTCACTGATAAATATTATACCCGTTATCCAAGTCTACAGAAACTTGTTACATTAATGTCAAGTAAGAATGTAGCAATAACAAAAAAGCTGTCAATGTACATATTGCATGCCATGAAGCTAAGAAGATCCAAATGTGTTACCTTTTACATGTATATACACCCATTACTATATAACATGTACTATAGGCCTATGGCCTTTCAGTATTATGAATAAACACATATGTCAGGATATAAAACTTCTTTATTACAATGGTGAAGTTGTTTATCCAGAGAACTATGTCCGTTAATTCATTTGTTGCTACATGTAGTAGTTTATGATCATGTTACAGTCTGTTAAGGTGGCATGTTAGAAGCTGTAGTATCAATGAAGACAGAGTGGACTTTGTTCTTTCTGTGAGACGTCTCGGTACAGGTGCTCGATAAAGGTACCAGTATTCTACAAGTGGTACGGGTATATTTTGGTCGAAGTAGTTGTATGGCCACGTGGTCAGCACCTGCTGTGGCTCAGGACAGCACCAACTTCTCCAGCTGCAGCATGGGCGCCTCCACCAGGATGGCAAGCAGGAAGGAGAAGATGAACGACATGCACACGTAGCCGAAGAAGCGGTACACCTGGAATACATAGGATACATTATTTAGTGTCTCATTTAGATATGGGAATGGACATTCAAAAGGATGGCAGAATCCGTACCAATATGTACGACAAAGGGAACATGGTACTTTAAAACATAACGTTTAATTAAAACATTCAGGCAAATACAATTACAATTGCTTAAAATTAAGCGTTTCAATCAGAAATTCACCATCAAATGTTATTTCAGAAATTGTATAGTACATTCATGGGTACAATGTGTGAAGCCCATTTCTGGTGACCCCAGTCGTGATATTGCTGGAATATTGGTAAAAGCGACATAAAAACATACTCACTCACTCACTCAGTATACCACAAATGACATGCTTACTTCATACCACAGTAACGACTGTTGTTGTATATTTGTATTAATAAACGCTAAAGTGAATTCATTTTCAAGGATATTCTCGCATCCTTGTTAAGGGGTAAACAGTTAGGGGTTATTAGACTGGAATTTTTCTCTCGAGATAATACTGGGGAAAACCTCTTAACAAAAGAAAATGTTGTAAATGTAACATGTCAAAGACATCAATCAGTCTCGAAACAGATTCCAGTGGGCGTAAAAGACATAATCACGGTGGACACTATATGACTGGAAATCAGTGATGACACCAGGTGTTCACTTAAAGGGTAGGCATGTCCTGCTCTACCGGCAGCACCCGCCACTCACACAATTTTCCAAAGTTTGTTTCCTTTCGCTGCAAAGCAATACTCCTGTTAATAAATAAAACACTCGTCTACCCCTCGTCTTAGATGAAAGGGTTGTATATTTTGAAGGAGTAACCGAAACATAACCCTTCTCAGACAAAACAAAACTTACTTTTGTGCATATTAATCTCACGGATGTTCCAAATACTAGTACTCACAATATATCCTTGCGTATAGAAGATGAGTGACCTCATCGTTGACGTTTCAGCGAGCATGAAGATAAGATGTACGAGGTATGCCCCGTATGTGAGCCGAGAGAGAGGCTGCCACCAGTCCCAGGACAACATCCAATCCACGATACCTGACAATAAAATGGTCGTATACATTTGGATCAACGGACAAGCGTGTGTTGGCTGGGCGTTATGTTGTTTTGAACATCACCATTTCAAACAATGCAAAAGTATCAGCGAGGTACTTTGCCGTCTATGTACCGTCAAACAAGATAAGGTGAAAACATCCAAAGCTTTGATGGGCTCATCGCATTTTGAGTCAAAGCTAAGGTGAGGTGAGGTGAAGGGGGATTTAACGTCGCGTTCAAGCTATTAACCACATGTATAGCGACGTGCATACCTGTGTGTGTGTGTGTGTGTGTGTGTGTGTGTGTGTGTTTTTTTTTTCTGTGTGTGTGTGTGTGTGTGTGTGTGTGTGTGTGTGTGTGTGTGTGTGTGTGTGTGTGTGTGTGTGTGTGTGTGTGTGTGTGTGTGTGTGTGTGTGTGTGTGTGTGTGTGTGTGTGTGTGTGTCTTTGTGCCAGCACTGGGCAGTGTAACAATAACTACCATCTTTTAACGTACAATAAACAACTTTTATAACGAACTCAAATGGATCACTGATTTTAGTTCGTTATAACCGCAGTTCGTTATAAGCATTTACAGAATATGTACAGCAAATGATCAGACAAACAAATAAGTCAGTTCGTTATAAAGTGTTCGTTATAAACGTAGTTTACTGTATTGGGTATGACGCAGCCGGGGATCGAATTCCCGACCTTCCGCTCTCCGGGCAGACACTCTTTCCACTAGACCACGGAGGCGGTCTCAGAGCAAAGGTAAACTGTAAAGCATAACATATAGATAACCATTATGTTGTTTCGTTTGGCGTTAAAGAGGCTAGGTATCCGTTCTGTAGGGGCTGTTGTTGGCTTCTATTTATTGCACTTCAAGAAATATAGTTTCCTAACATACAAATCTACGACTGTATCATAACCACATATCCAGCGACGTGCATGCATGCGTGCGTGCGTGCGTGCGTGCGTGCGTGCGTGTGTGTGTGTGTGTGTGTGTGCGTGCGCGTACGTGTGTATGCGTGCGCGTACGTGTGTATGTATGTGTGTGTGTGAGATGTATTCAGTCACAAGCACCTCCTTTTCCCTTGCAGCACATGAAGATGACCCACACCAAAACCAGCGACCATACGTGTCTGAAGAGTGTATCGAAAGCCGTCTTTGGATCAATTCCCCAGGGTGCTCCATTTGCGTCGTCATAGGTTAACAGTGTGCACGTGCCGGCTGCCGCCAGAGCTAGGAACCATCCCAAACTTTGCAGGAACTGAAATAAAAAGCGATAAAAACCAATACCATCTCTAGAAATCTCAACTTAGCGTCCTTTGTATAATTGCGACTGTACGATACGCATGTTTATGAATCATTGTCAAATTGTGATGACACCAGGTTTTCGTGAAAAAAGTGAGCGTATCCTACCCGAACGTCACATTTCACCCGTCACAAACACATGCAAAGGCAAGTCAATTCTTAATCTGGTAACCCAAACATCGACCCGTTAATATACTAGTATATAATCTAGGGATCATTGACATTGAGTCAGTATACGCATTTTTAACGAAGTTCACTGTCGCTTTCTTGTCATGTGTTAAGAGTAGTTATAGAGTAGGTATAACTTGTTCTACATTTTCTGATTTGTTCTGCTCACGGGAGAGATCCTGATCTTTGACTTCTTCGTTTGAAGCATGTAGCCTAGAATCATCCCAATGGCAAATGGTCCGATCCGGACCCAGGGTTTAATGTACACGTTCAGGAAATTCCCTGTCACATCTCTGAAAAAATAATTAATGTTTATAATGACTTCGGGTTCTACGGATATGTGGCTCACAAATAACTCCTTTCATTGCCAAAGCACTGGAGACGCCTCCGTTACGAATCTTTTTAAACTACGATGGCGATACAGGGATGTTGGCGATATGGACAAGCATGAAATGAGTAATTTTTATGTGATCATCAGGAACATTCCCTGGTCCCTTGTTCCTTGTCCCTTGTACCTGCCCTCTGCTCCCTGGCCCCTGCTCCCTGGCACCTGCCCCTGTTCCCTGACCCCTGGTCCCTGCTCCATGCCCCCTGCCCACTGCCCCTGGTCCCTGGCACCTGCCCCTGTTCCCTGTTCCCTACCCCCTGTTCCCTGCCCCCTGGCCCCTGCTCCATGCCCCCTTACCCCTGACCTGGCCCCTGCTCCCTGGCCCCTGCCCCTGCTCCCTACCCCCTGGGCCCTGACCCCTGACCCCTGACCTTTGCCCCCTGACCCTTGCTCCCTGGCCCCTGACCCCTGACCCCTGCTCCCTGACACCTCTCTCAGCTCCCTGGCCCCTGCTTTCTGCTCCCTGTTCCCTGTCCCCTGCCTCCTGCTCCATATCCCCTGCTCTCTGTACGTGTTTATGATTCTCTATTAAATAGTGATATTACTATTTTTTGCGAAACGGTGAACGTATCCTGTCCCATCGGTGGTACCGTCACAACACATGCAAAGGCAAGTCAATTGTTCACTGACAAAAAAAAACATAAAACCTTTTGAAAGCTTTGCTGAGGCCTTGAATGTTGCAACCTTAATCAAACCGATTTCGAGTAAGAATCGTATGGTACTTTAAGCCACTACATGTACCCCAAACACAAAGAACAAAATTATAGACAGGAAATATACACACTTGTAGTTGTGATAGGAAAAGTAGGCACTGCAGATGATGCTGGTGATGATGTATCCGAGAGTCACACACAAACCAACCAGCTTCAGGACCTTCCTTGAGGTGGTGTCCTTCATCTGGGAACTGACACAACACAAGAAGGTTATTAGACATGTAAGAAGGGGGTTTCATATAGACCACATCGCTACAGTCCACACAGCTTAATTATGAATTCAAAACGTCAACGCCAGAGAATACTCTACCCCGGTTGTCAGCCTAAACAGATTGCATTCGGCGTATAAGGCAAAACAATGACGAACAGTACATGAATGGATCACTGAAATCTAGCGATGACATCAGTTGTTCGCGAAAAGGATAAGAAAAACACATAAGATGACTTTCGACGAGTTAATATAAGGAACGATTAATCCTCCTACCTTAGTGCCAATGGGACCAACGCCAGAGGAGCCACGACATAGAACTGCATGTCGTTCGCTAGGTACCAGCTCCAAGCTATACACTGAAACAGTGATAATGAGAACATTTGTGATATTCTTGTTTTATGCAAACATGGCTTCAAAATGTCATTGGGTGATATAAAATTAGTCGATCGATGGTAAACACAACAAGAAAAACCCTACGTTACCTTTACAAGCATCAAGAAATGCTCAGTTAATGTGTTTCATGTTGGCAATGAGAAAGTGTCAAAATTAAGTTTTGTTCTTGTGACTTCTATTATCTAAAAAATAATTCCAAATGCCCTCGTCATCGGATAAGGATACTGGTGTCTGTTTGTTTGTTTGTTTGTTTGTTTGTTTGTCTGTTTCTTTAACGCCGCACTCAGCAATATTCCAGCTAAATTATGGCGGTCTGTAAATAATCGAGTCTGGACCAGACAATCCAGTGTTTGACATCATGAGCATCGATCTACGCAACTGGAATACGATGACATGCATCAACCAAGTCATCGAGCCTGACAACCCGATCCCGTTAGTCTCCTCTTACAAGCATAGTCGCCTGATACTGATGTGCAACACGGGGCATGATGACAACCACCTGTAGTAGTATGTGTCACGTTTTCTGCTGACCGCCCCTGGTACAGAGCCCAACAAAAATCTTTCCATAATCAGAAGAAATATCTACTAAAAGTAGAGTCCACTGTACGTTCCCGACTATATAATGAGCATCTGTTTACGAATCAGTGTCAAACAGGGATGACACCAGGTGATCGCGAAAACGCGAACGTATTCTGCCCCACCGGTGACCTCGGTCAGAAACACACGCAAAGGCAAAAAACAATGCAACAACCGTTGTGTATATCGTATTAATATATTCACTCTGCAAATTAAATATTTGAAACAAACAAAGGATGACCATTGAATAAATTTAAGTACAAGGATAACTATTTTCAAGTTGTTTGGGGACGTATTGAGTGCATTTAATTATTTTTATTAAAGATATTTTTAATGTGGAAGTGTAATTACCAATTTGTCCGCTTTGTAAAGGTTATTGATGTATAGTATGTTGGCCCACCAGTTGTTCTCACAAAACGTCTTGTCAGTAGAACTGTTCCATGTAGGACCATCAACCAAATACGGCATAACGAACGTGTAGATGAATATCACATAGGCGTACGCAGGTGTCAATCTGAAAAGGACCAACACAAACTATTGCTGACAAACGTTCATGACTGTGTTAAACAAATCATGTCACAAACGCATGCAAAGGCAAGGCAAGTGTTAACCGAAATTTTACAATACTGAAAACCACAGGACAGATGCACATGTTTTTGCACGTGAAGGATCAACACTAGTTATATAAAAGTGAGCTGTTTCGGTTGCCAAACAGTCTGTTAGCAAATATTTAGATGTTCAGATCATGCCACTGCTCATTGGACGATCAGAATAGGTGAATGTGTCTAGACTTTGTTATCCAAGTTCATGACGTCCCTGTGTTAAACGGATGTCATATGGCTACGGAGACAAAGGTGTACAATAGCATCCTGTCCAAAGGCAGTAATTCCAGGAATGAACGGATACCTGACCAGATAGCGCGGAACCGCCTTCTCAGAGGCAACCGTTTTGTCAGCTGCGACGTCAGTGGTGTCAAGCACGCCGAGTATACAAAAGCAGTACTGTTTAATTCAGTGACGAGTCAAAGTGGATGCATCATCGAGCCAGGGTGTACCGACGTCACCATGAACATTTTGCCTCCCACACTATTAGAGCGGTGCAAGGCTTCTCAACGGCCAACGCTATTGAGATACAATCATACAGCTGCATATTATTCCCATTGTGAACCACGCATCTTTCAAAATGACAAAATAGCTAACAGAACACGTGAACCAAGAGCCTTCCGAAGGAACTTCATATACAGGTCTTCCCGTAACCCTCCAAATTGCCAGAGTTGAAGCCGATGGAGCCTCTATTGGACGAGTTGGATCGCATACCACAGCTCCATCCTGACCCACAGACAATGTAACAGTTAGCACACTAAAGGCCAAGTGAGGTAACATTCCCCAATGTGTTATCCGTAGTCTCACTTCGTCAACTGGCAGGAAAATAGCTTTCAATGACAACGTTCAAAGAAATTCTGGTTTTGCAACATTTAGTGATATTTTCAGGCTGTGTACAGATTGAAACGGAAGTAGTGTCTGAGGAAACTGGCACGAAACAGACAAGTTCAGCAAGAAGAGCTGACTGACCTCCAGAAGCGGTGGACGTAGTACAGGATCATGTGCTTCACCTTCAGACCTCCAGCCTTCTCCGTCTCCTTCAGGAACAAGTACGTCACCAACAGGCCACTGCCAAACATATTTTATGAAAATGTTAATCAACATTCCAGAAGGGCTATTCCAATATGAACTGGATAATGTTGATTCTACACCATTCACATTTACTAAAAATAATATGATGATTCATACTGAAATTATTATTCAAAACGTTATATCGATATATAAATAACTACACAAGATGCATGGATAAAAATGAAAGTGTAACATAGATATGCTGTTTATGTGTTTAGATTGGCAGATGGGCAGAGTAACCTTGCAAGGGGGATATTTAGAACTTGTTACCTGAGAACAAAGAAGGTGTCGACAGCTAATGTACCATTTAAAATGACCTGGAAACTTAAGCTCTTTGTTATCGGGATGAAAATGGCTCCGTTTTCTGCAAAGCAAGTTAATGAATTAATAGCATAGGGAAGAATGCTATTACATATGTTTCTAATACAAATGCGTCCTAACTTCTGCTGTGGTAATACCCAACATGTTATTATATATCGTGTCTTCTTCGACACTATACAAGGTGATATACGTCGCATATATTATGTAAAGTGCAATTGTTCGTGGACTAGTGGTAGAGCGTCCGGGGTTCCATCCCCGGCCGCGTCATACCAAAAGACGTTAAAAGATGGTACTTGTTGTTACCCTGTCTGGCGCTCGGCATTAAGGGGCTAAAACAAGGACTGGTCGGCTCGTAGTCAGTATACTGTGTATGAGTGGGGTATTCCTGTTAAACTGCGGCATGGTATCTCAGTGAGCTAGCACTATAAATCGGCATCAGTCCGGACTAGAACAAGCAGCCACACAAACACACACACGTACATGCACGTCGCTATATAAGTGCAATAATCTTGGACGCGACGTTAAACCCCATTTCACCTCACCTCACCTTTTTTTCAAAAGACGAAATACTTGATTAGGTCGGTGTTGTACTATATTGAATCGTTTTCCACAATTACTCCCAGAATGGTTTGTGCTTGAAAGGACAGCATTCGCGAAAACAAATCCTTGCATTGATTAATATTCAATTCTATCGACTCATTTCGTGACATATAATCACGTGGCTTATAACGCATTCACTAATATCCATCAGAGCCGGTATCTTGCCCTTATACACTTTCGTATTTTTCTTTGCCAATTTATTTTGAATCTTTAATTATTTAATGTTTTCAATATAAGCTCATTTGTTTCAATCATATTCATCACCATAGTCAGTAATTAATAATTACTACATATACATTAACATTCTTAATCACCATGCCCGGCCTACCTGCGTTAGCCATGAGTTCGAGGAACGTGTGACCCAAAATGACCCAGCTCATGCTGAGGACCCGGATGCCGTTAAGACAGGTGAGAGATCCAGGTGAGCGTTTGACGCTGAGGATCTTCTCCCCATTGCTGACGGCAGAGAAACACAACAGGACACGCTGCCATACTGGAAATAATCAATTTAAATCTCAAGAATATTCTACAATACTGTTGGGTTTTGTATAGAGAATACAGTGCAAGTTTAAGCTACTTGGCGCCACATTGTTTTTTTGTTGAGAGCACAAGTGAAGATCCAGGTACGAATCGGTCTTTAGCAACCCATAGTTGGCGTAAAAGGCGACCAACTCGTTCGGCTTGTCAGGCTTGCTGACATGGATGATGCATGTCATCGTATTCCAATTGCGTAGATCGATGCTCATGATGTCAACCACTGGATTGCCTTGTCCAGAATAAAGCTTTTACAGACCGCCGTAAGTTGCTGGAACACTGCTGAAGGCGACGTTATACAACAAGCAAACGTTGTTGAGAACAATACGATATGACGTTATCCATTGTTGACTGCGTCACACATTCGTAACATTTGGTCATCTAAACAATAGGCCAAGAGCTTACTCAATTCGTATACACGAGGACATAATCTATATATTCCTCAAAGCTTGTTGATTATTCTCTAAACATACATCCAATAATTATTTATGTTAAGAACAGATTTCCCTGAATAAAAATACCCCCTGCGACATTTTCATTATGATTAGGTGGAAAATAAAATATTATTCGACTGGGAAAATATGTAAAACACATTTTTCTGAATCACATGGTGTCCCCTGGAACGGGGGAACGGGTGGCCAAGTCGTCTAAGGCGCCGCGATTAGCTGTGCAGAGTTGCGTCCCTTGCACGCCAGAAAACTATGATTGTGGGTTTGAATCCCGGTTCGCCCCGATTATGTTTCTAGGTTTGTCAGCACCATACCCGTGCTCGTGGGTTTCACCGAAGTGGTAAACGTCTGAGACCTGCATCACTCCGGGCTTTCCTCCCACATTAAGCTGACACGCCGCGATATAACTGGAATACTGTTAAAAGCGGCGTTAAACCCAACTCACTCACTCACTCACTCCCCTGGAACATTTACAGTGACTCATCCATGGTGAGAGTGTATGTGGGGGAAAAGAATGGTGTTTAACGTACATTTGGGTTTCTGGTTCAATTTCTTCTCCCCGGATCTGAGCGGCTGTCCACCATTGGAATGTACAAAGTGTCCACCATTTGTCGCAGGTAATGTTGGACCTGCAGGGTTGTCTATTCCTCCATTCTCCACGTGACCATTTCCTTGCAAATTGCCAATCAAACCTTCTGTATTCCCATTACTCAGGGATGTCTCAATGACCTCGTCTTCCTTCGACTGGAAATGTGTACTGATCTTTGATAGCTGAACTGCATCCAGACCAGGAGTCAGGGGAACCTTCTCACGACGACCTTTGGTAGCCCGGATGCTCATGTCCATAGCAGACCCCAGAAGGACAAGGCAGCCCAAGATTGCCGTCAGGACGCTGTTATTGGTCCAAAAAGAGCGAATCGTCAAAATGTTTGTGGGAAAGGCATTAATATATTTGCAAAAGCTATTTATTGTTTCGCATGAGTTCATGTACATGGTCTTTTTGTAGTGTGTTTGTGCGTGTTTTGTTTTTGTTTGGCTTAGGTTTTTTGGTTTTGGGGTTCTTTTCGGGTTTTGTTTTTTATTTTAGGCGGATGGGGGCGTTGAATTGAATACCCCACACTAAATCCGCTTGAATATACGCGTTAACATTTTGTAACGGCAAGTTATAATTCTTCTCTTCTTTAATGCCTCTGCTTTAACGACGAGCAACCTACTGCCTACTCCATGGCACACCGGCTTCTTACCATCGGCCAATTACTGTATTGCTCAGTCTCTAATATTTGAGGGCGGTCGGGTAGCCTAGTGGTTAAAGCGTTAGCTCGTCACGCCGAAGACCCGGGTTCGATTCCCGACATGGGTACAATGTGTGAAGCCCATTTCTGGTGTCCCCCGTCGTGATATTGCTGGAATATTGCTAAAAGCGGCGTAAAACCATACTCACTCACTCACTCACTCTAATATTTGACTTCGTTGCGTCAGTCTCCATGCTCTATCCAAGGTCTTTGTAATGCCCATGTACTAATTATGGAATATCTGATAATAACTCCCCAAAACCGGTGCTTTAAGAAACTGCAAAGTTCGAGTGCTGTCCCAGACCTACAATAATGCTCAAACTGTGACCTTTCAAACGTGTTAATGCATTATTTGACAAGTTGTTACCGTCTCCAGTTTAACAGAGGAGGTGAAGCCAACCACGAGTTGATTATGTGAGTGATGTGGTGGACAAATATTGACATTTGAAACGATTGACCATCAACACTCTCAACACTACGCGATAAGATACGGTCTCAACTGACGGTGGATCACTCACATGCCTCCTACAGCTGCACTGTCCTCACCGACGGGGCCGTTCTTGATCTCCGCGTGACACACGGTTTGGGCTATTGTCATGTTGACTCGAGACAATACTACAACATGAACATATAACTGTTAGTGACAAACTCTTTACATAATCATAAAAAAAACATCTGCTAATATCCGAGTCCATTGTACGATTCCGACCATATCACCAGCATATTTTTATGTTCATAGTTTAAACTAATTTACTAATAACCAAACCGAAACACTTTTATGTATTTGATCCAGGAAACCTTTTACGCCCCTTGACTACCTTTACATATTTTTAAACTCCCCTCTTGTGGGGTTATTGTTCTGACTACACATAAATAGAAAGAGAATATGCAGTCTCGACTCAGATACTATGGGGCGTTAAAGGCAAAATAGCGGTAAAAAATATATGAATGGAAAACTGAAAATCTGCGACGACACTAGGTGTTTGCGACTATGAAGTAAATGAAGCAATAAATTCCGCTTACAATTATCAATTGATAACAAATGATGTAAATTGTGCCTTATATCCGTGGGAAGAATTGGTCGCAAATAGTATATGTTTGAATGACAACGAAATGGATTGGGAGTCAAGTCTCAGGGACTATATATAAGTATACGCCGAGATCGTGAGGCATTGCTTATAATGTCAGTCACTGATTTGCCTTGTCTAAACTCGCTTATTTACAGGCTGTTGTGATAAAGCTAGAATATTGCTGACTGCGACATTAAATAACAAAGAATTAATTCTAATTCATACAACTGTTGACCGTTAGCATTCTGTTAAGGGACGAACAATTTTATATTATTGTTGGATGGCATATGTTTGACAAGCGACTGCAACTCTATACGTACGGCCTTGGAAGCCTGACTTGAGCCTGTTGCTGCCACACGTCTGAGGGACGCACAAATGCCAATTAAAGGTCAGTGGCGCCCCGGTAATCGCCCCAGCACCGGCCTGGGAACAGGGTCATAGAGTAGAATCAATCACCATTCCCTCTGAATGTAACATTACTGATAAAGTCTGTATAATTTGAATGAATGAATGAATAAATGAATGATAAATTTTCATACTAAAAGGCCACGGGGTCAGAGCACAACAGGATGTGTTGGACCTTTCTTCCCACATTAAGCTACACGCTGAAATTCAAAGCGTGGTTAAACCCAATTCACTCTTCTCACTAAAATCTATATTTATGTCACTGATGAGATATAAGAGCAAACCAAATTATCAGTAGAACATAAATGAAATCCATTTCTGTAAATAAACTGCCAGGGACAGAAGGTATGCACTTGAAACTTGAATTTGACCAAACACTTACAAACGTCACCGAAACACTGCAAACGCAATGTCCAAAACACAATAGTGTCAAATACATCACCATCGAATAACCATTTCTTGTATGTTTCATTTTAGCCAACATCTGACATGGATGTATACTTTCATTTGCCCAGCAGTTTACTTATATAGTGGAATGTATTATTTATGCCACACATGTTAACGAATCGTAAACATATCAACCTTCGTTTGAGCGTCATGCTTTTCGTAAAACATAATATTGGACGATTGTCTCAATAGCCCTAACACTCAGCATCCCACGGAAACTATAACCAGAAATGAACTCTAGAATACTGGCATTTACACAAACATATTCATTATAAACCAGTACATTTCACACATGTAGCCCTACCCGTGAATATCCGGGGTAGAATAGGTCTTCAGCAACCCATGCTTGCCGTAAAAGGTGACTATGCTTGTCATAAAACGCGACTAACGGGATCGGGTGGTCAGGCTCGCTGACTTGGTTGATGCATGTCATCGGTCCCAATTGCGTGGTCCAGACTCGATTATTTACAGACCGCCGTCATATAGCTGGAATAGTGCGGCGTTAAACAACAAACCAACATGTAGCCCAAATTCAATTGTTGTATACATGTAGACACACCACGAAGTATTTAGCTTTAGCCTTTGCTAAACTATGCTTTGTGAAACCGGACCTGTGAACCATATGGTAAAAGGAACTGCACTTTGCTGACTAAACTGCTTTTCGTATAACATCATATTGGAGGATTGTCTCAATAGCCCTAACACTCAGCATCCCACGGAAACTATAACCAGGCATTTATGCAGTGATACACAAACACATTCATCATAAACCAGTACACTGCAATTTGCTGACTAAACTGTTCCTTAGCTGCCAAGATCCCGTCGCCTGTGGCGGGCATCCAAGATTTGCCAGATGAAATGGGAGTTTAACATGGCGTTCAAGAGTTATATAGCGACGTGCATTCACTTGTTTGTGGCTGGTTGTCCTTGACCGGACACAATGCTAGCCAACTGAGAAAATATGATGCAGTTTAACATGGACACCCCACTCGGTAAAAATAATACCGATTCAGGGCTGACTCGTCCTTGAGTTATCCCCTTAATTCCGAGCGTCAGGCAGGTTACAACAAGAACCGTATTTTAACGTCAGGGGATCGAAGCACCCGCCTTCCATTCACCCGACAGACGTTCTACCCACTACACAACGGCAGCGGCCGCCGGAAGTATGTTAAGAAGTCTTAACCCTCAGCTTTATCCCTCACACACTGAATTTGAAGAAAATAAACATACACTTCCAGCTCCCAACGCGCTAAGCAGCTGTGGAGGTGGACGAATGTAGACAACGCAGGTGTCCCCCTTTACTTGTCTCCCCGTTGCTTGGTCCGCCTCGCTGACCACATCAAGACATTCATCAAAGTTGCCGAAAAAGGTCGTTGCCCCCTGTAGAATGGAGGTGCCAGGCTTCCCTGATGCATCGACCACTGAAAAGGATAACAACACAATCAGTTGACATGCTGATGGCACCCGTGAAGATCCGGGTCAGAATAGGTCTTCAGCAACCCATGCTTAGTAAAAGGTTACAATGATTGTCGTAAGAGGCGACTAACGGGATCGGGTGGTCAGGACTTTGTGTATGCATGGCATCGTTTCCCAATTACGTAGATCGATGCTCCTGATGTCAATCACTGGAATGTCTGGTCCAGACTCGATTATTTACAGATCGCTGTCACATAGCTGGAATATTGCTGAGTACCGCGTTAAACAACTGACAAACATACTGATAAAAAGCATACTTACACCATGACAATTAATGTTAACATAAATAAGATAAAGTACTCACTTGTAAGAGCCCAAGGCTTCAACTGTACAAGACCCACCAGGAAAGTATCCAAATCTTCAGAACACATTCGTTCTTCTGCTGTCAGTCCGCTTGTGTTTGACTGTATAAGCCCCTTCAAGATGGACGGGAGTTGAGGACCAAGGCTCTTAAAAAGACTTGTGATTGTGTTAAGGTCGAGGGACCCTCCTCCCATGAGAAAGGGCAAGAGGGAGTTCCCCATCCCTCCTGGAATCTTTTTCTGCATGGCCAAGAGTGAAACCGGAAGTGAGGAGGACGTCGGGGATGTTGTGTTGGTGGAGCTGGAGTTGGCGGCGGAGAGGAATGCGTTGACCAGCATGGAGAGGAAAGGGTCTTGCACAGGGGCTGTGGTGGGGCTGGTTGTCGAAGTAGCATTGTCAGCAGAGCCCGAGAAGACTAGATCCGGTGTTGAATGGGTAATAGTGACGAATGATGAACTTTCTGGAACACTGACTGACGACAAAGCAGCCTTTTTGACTGTACCCGGGGGACTTGATGCATGTTTTGAAGACATTGGCGTCGTTGTGGTATTAACGTTAACCGATCCCGCATCCCTTGTTGATGGGGAAGTAGAACCTGAACAGGAAGCCACATACAGAAAGATCCACAGGAACACACACACACTGAAGTGCTTCATTGTCCAAACTCAGCTGACACAAATACGCGGTAACATGTACTCGCAAACTGTGCGTTATGATAAACGATGTAGCACTTATTACATGCGGTATGTACCTGCAGCGTCTTATCTAATCACTGACCACTGATATCATCAGATAAATAGTATTACTGAATAGGTCCGCTTGCTGCAGTTTGAAGATGTGGCTCCGGCTGATCTGCACCCAATGTGCGTACCCGAAGTGTGCCAGTAGACTCTATATATCGCCACACGTCCCCCTCAAGGAGTCTCCGATGGCATTCCCCTATATCTAAGGTACCTAGACACGAACACAGTATAACCTTATATGGATAACAGATAGCCAAACTGAACCAACACACACAAGGGGAGATGTCCCTCTAACTGTATTTGTCAAACTTATCTGAAAACATACCCATTTCAACATAGGTAGGAAATATGAAGACATATGTTGTCAACACCGTGTTATCAAACGTACCATATAAGGCATATATTAGGACGCTGACCTTTACAGTACAAACTATCCATATATGGTATTGATCAGGTACCGAGCCAGTAATATTGATGAGTCATGTTCAAGAACAAAGAAATTGTTTAGGAAAAAGGACACCGACTTTCTTTCGAGGGAATCTCTCTTTTAGATCTGGGGAACGCTAATATGTTTCTGGAACTATATTTTGTTTTGTGGTGTTGAGTTCTGATTTGTGAACGATCTTGTGTTTTGTATTTCGTTTTTTATGTTCAATTCAATTCCATCGGCCCATAGTTACATTTGTATTACAATGGACGTGATGGATACAGATGTTATTGTTGTGACAATAATGTACTACGAAGTGACATTGCTTAATAGATATAGATAGCTAGACGTTTAATTAATTTACAATAATGATATTAATTTTTTGTATGGTCGGATATTCACAATTTTTTTGTGGTAAGTGATCCACGCGGAGCTTGTTATAACCGGAGCAAACTTACAAAAAATTATACTCGTCCTCCACATACCCATATGTAGTGTTTCGCAGGTGGCAGATAATCAGATTATTAAAATTAATTTTAATATTAAAAAATAACTCTATCACTGGGTGAGGTGAAATGGGGTTTAACTTCGCGTCCAAGATTATTGCACTTATATTGCGACGTGCATGTACGTGTGTGGTGTTTGTGTGGCTGCTTGTACTTGTTCGGACTGATGCCGATTTATAGTGCTAGCTCACTGAGATACTATGCCGCAGTTTAACATGAATACGCCACTCAGACAAAGTATACTGACTCCGAGCCGACCAGTCCTTGTTTTAGCCCCTTAATGCCGAGCGCCAGACAGGGTAACAACAAGTACCATCTTTTAACGTCTTTTGGTATGACGCGGTCGGGGATGGAACCCCGGACCTTCCGCTCTCCGGGCGGACGCTCTACCACTAGACCACGGAGGCGGTCAACTATATCACTGACGTTAAAGCAACAGACCACAGCTCGATCTCTCACAGAGTAAATACAATCTTATTGCTTGATAAGCCGAAAGCAACATGGTTGATGAATGATAAAACAATGAAATGTGTGACACCCAAATTACATGTATCAGAGGCTATACACAGGTATGTTGAAAAACTGTCTGGCCATTTTATGACTACGTGAACACGTAGTGCGTTCGTCTGAATAGTTTGGATGTTGTGTTTGCAATAGGGTTGGAGACGGTGGAGGCAAACATTTGGAGCAACATAAAGAGAAAAGAGCCTAGCGCAGGAAGCTTATGCTTCCTTCGGAGCTGTGGCAGTATCCGGGGTGCCGTGAGCGTTGTCGTTGTGGCAGTTTCCGGGGTGTCGTGGAGCGTTGTCGCTGTGGTAGTATCCAGGGTGCCATGAGCGTTGTGGCTGTGGCAGTTTCCGGGGTGCCGTGAGCGTTGTCGTTGTGGCAGTATCCGGTTGCCGTGAGCGTTGTCGCTGTGGCAGTATCAGGAGTTCCGTTAGCGTTGTCGTTGTGACAGTATCCGGGGTGCCGTGAGCGTTGTCGCTGTGGCAGTATCCGGGGTGCCGTGAGCGTTGTCGCTGTGGCAGTATCCGGGGTGCCGTGAGCGTTAAAAATGTGGTAGAGAGGATAATTTTGGCAGATGCTGTCTGTCCACTGTACTGTTGTCTTAATCACAAACATGATTTGTTTTCATTCTATAAGATAAGGGACTTTCTTTTAACTTTCCACGTAAACAACTTGTAGAAACTTAGTCTGATCGAGCTGTCTCGTGACCACGTGTCTGTCCCTGTACATACCCAGCTTTATTGTCGTCTGCCTATGTCATTTGTTCACAGCATTGTTGTCTGGCCCTGTTGCCATGTTTGCTCTGTGTCCTCTGTCGCTGAGGTCTGACCATGTACCGACCCAGCTATGCTGCCGTCTGCCCCTGTTACCGTATTTGCCCTGTGTCCTCTGTCGCTGGGGTCTGGCCCTGTTACCGCATTTTCCCTGTGTCCTCTGTCGCTGAGGTCTGACCATGTACCGACCCAGCTATACCGCCGCCTGCCCCTGTTACCATATTTTTCCTGTGTCCTCTGTCGCTGAGGTCTGACCATGTACCGACCAAGCTATACCGCCGCCTGCCCCTGTTACCATATTTGCCCTGTGTCCTCTGTCGCTGAGGTCTGACCATGTAACGACCCAGCTATACCGCCGCCTGCCCCTGTTACCATATTTGCCCTGTGTCCTCTGTCGCTAAGGTCTGACCATGTACCGACCCAGCTATACCGCCGCCTGCCCCTGTTACCATATTTGCCCTGTGTCCTCTGTCGCTGAGGTCTGACCATGGACCGACCCAGCTATACCGCCGCCTGCCCCTGTTACCATATTTGCCCTGTGTCCTCTGTCGCTGAGGTCTGACCATGGACCGACCCAGCTATACCGCCGCCTGCCCCTGTTACCATATTTGCCCTGTGTCCTCTGTCGCTGAGGTCTGACCATGGACCGACCCAGCTATACCGCCGCCTGCCCCTGTTACCATATTTGCCCTGTGTCCTCTGTCGCTGAGGTCTGACCATGGACCGACCCAGCTATACCGCCGCCTGCCCCTGTTACCATATTTGCCCTGTGTCCTCTGTCGCTGAGGTCTGACCATGGACCGACCCAGCTATACCGCCGCCTGCCCCTGTTACCGTATTTGCCCTGTGTCCTCTGTCGCTGAGGTCTGACCATGTACCGACCCAGCTATACCGCCGCCTGCCCCTGTTACCATATTTGCCCTGTGTCCTCTGTCGCTGAGGTCTGTACCGACTTGCTAAAATGTCGTCTGCTCATGTTACCGTATTTGTCCTGTGTCCTCTGTCGTCGAGGTCAGTCCCTGTACCCACCCTGCGAAACTGTCGTTTGTCCATGATAAACCTTTAGTATTGTTGTCTGCCCTTGTTAAGTTAATGCCCTGAGTACCCTGTCGCTGAGGTCTGCACCGAGACTAATTGACAATGTGCTTCACAACTGTTGACTCAATGCTATGTATAGTATTTACTGATAAAGTAAACACTATATATAGCATTGAGTCAACAGTTGCCCCATTTACCACTGCCCTATGTGTTAGTGGCTCGCATCTCGCACTATCATATGTTGATATCAGAAGAGACAGACTACCGTCAACTATAACGTGTCCTCATTTGCGGACATGCCATATTAGGCATATGAAACAATCGTATATAACGTAAAAGGTAAAAGGCTCGTCATAAATAGCTTACTTGGAAATCTTTGATACCACCCAAGGTTTGCAATATTTCTTCTCTGTCCCAAGTACCAAATGACAGGGCGGTATCTATTCTTAATCCCCCATCTAGTGGTAGAGCGTCCGCCCGGAGAGCGGAAGGTCAGGGGTTCGATCCCCGGCCGCGTCATACCAAAAGACGCTAATAAATGGTACTTGTTGTTACCCTGTCTGGCGCTCGGCATTAAGGGGCTAAAACAAGGACTGGTCGGCTCGGAGTCAGTATACTGTGTCTGAGTGGGGTATTCATGTTAAACTGCGGCATGGTATCTTAGTGTGCTAGCACTATAAATCGGCATCAGTCGGGACTAGTACAAACAGCCACACAAACACACACACGTGCATGCACGTCGCTATATAAGTGCAATAATCTTGGACGCGACGTTTCACCTCACCTATTAACAATACAACTTATCTTATTACATACCATCAGTTAATCAAACAGAGTGTGACTAGTGTGGATATCAAGTGTGGATATCAAGTGTGGATGCTGGATGTATTGTATTATAATAATATACTTCATACTCGAGTGGGCCAGTCAAAATCATTAGATATAAAAAAAGGACAATAAAGCTTTTATCAAATAACGGGTAGAAAAAAGCAACGGATACAAACTGTACCCGTTAGGGTAATTACTCCATTGTCAAAACATGCACCCAGGTTTCTATGGGAACTATTTGGACTGTTGTCCCATTGACTAATCAACGAATTGTAATAATGCGCATATTCCCTGAAAACCTGCAATGTTTAGGTATCGCCTGTGAGATATAAGAATAGTTTTTTCAACGACAGAATTTAAGAAAGACATTATACAATAAAGAGTTTATCAAGCCTTGTTTGGTTTGCGATGGTAAATATCCTATATTGGGAATGAACACTAAAGTATGTATTTAGCTCGTCACAAAAATAAGTTGGATGGGACACATTGTTTTCTCCAGTCACAAACATCAATAAACCCACGCCTAACGTTTGTAGATTGACTCTATTGTGAACATATTGGCACAGAGAGACAGAGACACACACAGAGAGACAGAGACACACAGCGAGACAGAGACACACAGAGAGAGACAGAGACACACACAGAGAGACAGAGACACACACAGAGACAGAGACACACACAGAGACAGAGACACACACACAGAGACAGAGACACACACAGAGAGACAGAGGCACACACAGAGAGACAGAGACACACACAGAGAGACAGAGACACACACAGAGACAGAGACACACACACAGAGACAGAGACCCACAGAGAGACAGAGTCACACACAGAGAGACAGGGACACACACAGAGAGACAGAGACACACACAGAGATACAGAGACAGAGAGACAGAGACACACACAGAGAGAAAGAGACACACACAGAGAGACAGAGACACACACAGAGAGACAGAGACACACACAGAGAGACAGAGACACACACACAGAGACAGAGACACACACAGAGAGAAAGAGACACACACAGAGAGACAGAGACACACACACAGAGACAGAGACACACACACAGAGACAGAGACACACACAGGGACACACACAGAGAGACAGAGACACACACAGAGAGACAGAGACAGAGAGACAGAGACACACACAGAGACAGAGACACACACACAGAGACAGAGACACACACAGGGAGACAGACACACACAGAGAGACAGAGACAGAGAGAAAGAGAGGAAGGAGGGGAGGAAGGGGGGAGATGGCTCATGTGTTTGCTAGCATTTGCCGTCGTTTATGATTTTCTCAACACTGTGCTTTAGAAAAATGTCATGGACAAATATATGCTTCCATTTACAGTTGTGACAATAAAACGTGATATAGATATATGGATTAGAAAGATGTGGGGTTACGCATAGTCTACTGTACCAAAATATGACTACATTAAGTGGGTTATGTTTACAAAATTCGTGATTCACGTACAAGGCTTGACTCATGTTTTGTTTGTTTTGTTTCTTTGTTGTTTAACACCGCACTCAGTATTTTTCCAGCTAGATGACGGCGGTCTGTAAATAACCGAGTCTGGACCAGATAATCCAGGGATTAACAACATGAGAATCGATCCACACAATTGGGGTCGATGACATGCATCAACCAAGTCAGCGAGCCTGACCACCCGATCCCGTCAGTCGCCTCTTACGACAAGTATAGTCGCCTTTTACGGCAAGACTGGGTTGTTGGCTTGACTCATGTCATGTCTCAAAGTCCACACACTCGGAGAAGTGAATGAGACTTATCATTGGAAGTAGCGCTTTGATCCCCAGGTGTATCAATACATGGAAACATAGAAATATGTCTTAGTGTCAAGGTCAAGTGTAATATCAAGTTAAATTATATTATTACCGCATTTGTTTGTCATTTACATTAATTGTGTTAATGAATGATTTATTGACATATTACTTTGTCATTATAGCAGTATTAAAAATTGCGTCTGAACACAAATGAATATTAAGATTATAGTTCAATACAATGGAGTGGATTATAGTTCAAATCACGTGGAGTGGTATCAAAATGAATGACTTGTTTAATCATCCTTTAATGTGGGTGGCAATGTTCTGGAGGGTTTATGACAAATATGCATTTAATCGACCTTCAGCCTCTTCAAATATGTTGTAATATAGAGCTCTAGGGACATAAAATCATATGTTTCTGTCGGGGTGATTTGAGGTGAGGTGAGGTGAAATTGGGTTTAACGTCGCTTCAGAGATTATTGCGCTTATATAGCGACGTGCATGCACGCGCGTGTGTGTGTGTGTGTGTGTGTGTGTGTGTGTGTGTGTGTGTGTCTGCTTGTACTAGTCCGGACTGATGCCGATTGATAGTGCTAGCACACTGAGATATCATGCCGCAGTTTAACATGGATACCCCACTCAGACAAAGTATACTGACTCCGAGCCGAACAGTCCTTGTTTTAGCCCCTTAATGCCGAGCGCCAGACAGGGTAACAACAAGTACCATCTTTAATGTCTTTTGGTAAGACGCGGCCGGGGATCGAACCCCTGACCTTCCGCTCTCCGGGCGGACGCTCTACCACTAGACCACGGAGGCGGTCCAGGTGATTTGAGACACAATATATTTATTAATGTGCATTGTGGTAATGTAACATTTTGTGATGTGTTTTTGGTTAAAGCTTGTCATCTCTTTAATTGATCATGTTGGTGCATAGTTATTCATAGGGGTGTTAACACTATGTTTTATCTAACTGTAAATAATGCAAATGACAGTGCATCCTTGCAATGTTTGCTCTGAATAGTGACCTCACTCAAATGTAATCTGTAATCAATACAAACCCATTTATCACGTCTTGTTGAAGATAAAATGTACATGCTTATTTTGTATCAATTACAACTTGATGTAAGCATTGTAAATAGGTATTGGAATTTTAGAAGTTTACTTTATTTGTTCTAAAAAGTGTTATTTTGTGAAAATTGTTTAGAGCAAGACATGTTTATCCTCTTGTGAACACCTTGTTTCAACGCTGATCTTCAGTGGTCCATTCATATTATATTCATCATTATTTTGCCCTTTGCGCCTCATGAGTGAGTGAGTATGGCTTTATGCCGCTTTTAGCAATATTCCAGCATTCCCCGCCGGCGGGGGACACCAGAAATGGGCTACCAATGTTGGGATTCGAACCCGGGTCTTCGGCGTGACGAGCGAACGCTTTAACCACTAGGCTACCCGACCGTCCCTTTGCGCCTCATGAAATATGTTTTAACAGATATTCGACATGATTACTATCTAACGGTGATGTTTTTATTAGTTTTTTTTATACAGGGATGAAACCAACTAAACCGTTCCATTGCAGGTAGAAACTTTGATTGTGACTATCTGGGTTACAAGTCTAGAGGTCCGTGACCACGTGGTGTGTTCGCCAGGGAAGTTGCTACAGCCGGAGTCTGTTTGGAATACACGGGGTATGGCAGCTCAAACACCAAACGATGTGATTCATTGGAGGGGAATCCAATATCCTAGACTGTATATGGTGACTGGTACTGAAATAGTAAACCAGAAATGTGGTGGCCCAAAACAAAACTTACAGAGCATTGTGATATTTTCAAAAATACCTTCTCAGAGTAGAAATGAATTCATTTATTCGCTTATATTTTTTTATTTCAAAATCATCAGGTTTGCGTGGATGTGACGCGTGGATTATGCTCGGCTATATATTATGTTTGTGAACCTGTAAGATGGCACCCTAGATTGGTTATGATACAATCTTATCTAAATCAGATCTTTGGATAATTTGAAAACACATCCTGTCGTTTGTGAGCACCTTGGCGTCGACATCCGAAAGGGCTACCGTGGAGGTTTGTTTGCCGTGTGGCGATTTTCTTCAGCAGACACTTCCGAATCAAGTCGGTACAAAAATACAGACGAATTGCTTTTGAAAGTTGACATCTGCTTGACTCAAGAGCCCACGAATCCTGACGCAGCCTGACGTGACCTAACACAACCTGACGCAACCTTCTATGGACGTGTCCTCAGATCTTGACATGAAATTAAGCCGAATTGCATTAAACAGCTGACATCAGATTGGCTCAACAATCTATTTTAATTGGGCGGTCAAACTTTGCTTAGGGTTCACCTGATTCAACCTTATATGGAGGTGTCATTTTCGGTATGAGCGAGCGAAAGATTGAGACAAGCATATCTGATTTCTTGATCTCGAAAACGAATACATTGGACGAACTCTGAATGCGAAAACTAATTACGGCACTATTACATTGTTGTGACTATTTGAATTATAACACATGCTGTCGTTTGTGGCGCCATGGTATCTCTACCCAAGACGGTTACTATGGAAGGGATTTGCGATTTCCTTTGGCAGAAATTTCTGAATCGAGTCGGTTAAGAAATTAAGCCGAATTGCATTAGAAAGCTGACATCAGATTGGCTCAACAATCTATTTTAATTGGGCGGTCAAATTTTGCTTAGGGTTCACCTGATTCAACCTTATATGGAGGTGTCCTCAGATCTAGACATGTATCATATCGGAGTAACAGATCCGCGGTCCGTTCCACAAAGCTACCGTAGCGCTAAAGTGATCGTATCTCCCATACTTTAACATACATTTACGACTGTAGTTGCGCTACGAGCGCTTTGTGGATTTTAATGAGACTGGGCCCACTTGCACAAAGCAATCTTAGCGCTTCGACTATTGTAAGCCTATGTTAAAGTATGGGAGTTACGATCATCTTAAGGCTAAGATCGCTTTGTGCAAGTGGGCCCTGGTCGTAATGCAAGCTGCTGTGATTCAGGACAGGACCAGCTTCTCCAGCTGCAGCATGGGCGCCTCCACCAGGATGGCCAGCAGGAAGGAGAAGATGAACGACATGCACACGTAGCCGAAGAAGCGGTACACCTGGAATACATAGTAATACAGTCGTTTCTTAGTCGTAGTTGTAAAAATCATAATGTGTGGCAGCTCTACGTACTTCGTGACGTGGGGCGGTGGGGCGGCTTGTGAATAAAGCGTTCGCTCGTCACGCCGAGTGGCCTGGTTCGATTCCCCATTGGGGTACATGTGTGAAGCCCATTTCTGGTGTCCCCCGCCCTGATATTGCTGGAATATTGCTGAAAGCGACGTGAAACTATACTTACACACTCACTTGGTGACATGGTGGGGTACAATTTCAAAGTCATGAATTTGTACATGCGCCCCTTTCATTATGGTACCAAAATATAGACATCTGATCCGACGCCACCTAAATCCTATCATCTGCTCTCTCTCTCTCTCTCTCTCTCTCTCTCTCTCTCTCTCTCTCTCTCTCTCTCTCTCTGACGTTTTCCCCAATTTTAAGTGACGCGTCCCTACAAATAATGACACACAGTTCAAACTGAAGGAATCATGTGACGATAAAGAAATACAACTATACCTATTGTCTGAATAGGGGGCACGGGTGGCCCAGTCGTCTAAGGCGCACCGATTCGCTGTGCAGAGTTTCGTCCCTTAGGCACGCCAGAAACCTATGATTGTGGGTTCGAATCCCGGTTCGCCCCGATTATGTTTCTAGGTTTGTCAGCACCATACCCGTGCTCGTGGGTTTCACCGAAGTGGTAAACGTTTGAGACCTGCATCACTTCGGGCTTTCCTCCCACATTAAGCTGACACGCCGTGATATGACTGGAATACTATTAAAAGCGGCGTTAAACCAAACTCACTCACTCACTCTTGTCTGAATAGGGCTTACCTGTTTTAGTTACTCATTAACGTCAATGATATTTGGATCTTTTACAGCAGAGATTTCAATGAATCTTGCATATATTAACCTTCTTATAATATAAAAAGGGGCGGTTGGGTAGCCTAGTGGTTAAAGCGTTCGCTCGTCACGCCGAAGATCCGGGTTCGATTCCCGACATGGGTACAATGTGTTAAGCCCATTTCTGATATGATAAGCCGTGATATTGCTAAGAATATTGCTAAAAGCGGCGTAAAATCAAACTCACTCACTCACTATAATATAAAACATAATAATAACATAACTTACAATATATCCAGATGAATAAAAGAAGAGTGACCGCATAGTAGCAGAGTCTGTCCTGATTAGGATAAGATGTATGAGGTAGACCCCGTATGTGAGTCGAGAGAGAGGTTGCCACCAGGCCCAGGACAACATCCAGTCCACTATGCCTGGGGAAAGAGAAAGATTGTAGTGACAAAATGGAAAACATTTAGTAGGGTATCATCTTCCCGAGACAAGGGCGTTAACGGACTGTAAAAGTCCAGTTTCCACCCTTGCCGAACTAGGCTGGCATTCCGGAGTGACATTTTGGCTGGACTAACGAGTCCGTGCTTAGTCCAATCAAAATCGCGCAACGAACTACATGGTTGCAGGACATATGTGCCGCCAATATAGATATTTTGCAAATCTTTTCATGTTTTTAATCATGTAAGACCCGTTTATTACAATATATATCTTGATTATCGATCAGATCGTTTTGACTGGGCGCGGCCATTTTGCTTGAAGCAAATGCAAGTGATATGAGTGATGGAATCTGATTGGTCAATAGGAGGGACATAGAAGGGACATAACTCATAATAACAACTGGTGGCGCTACGATCGAGCCTGCAAATTCCAGCCAAGTTCGGCATGTGTGGAAACTGGACTTTTGTAGTCAGTAAACGCCCTTGCCTCGGGATGATGGTTGGGTGTATGCTACTCTTACAACTACAATCAGACACATACTTGTTCATTACGGACCCATTTGAATTTTCCTCACTCCAAAGCTAGTTAAATCAAATGGTTTTTTTCAATAGTTAGCATTCCATTTATGTCGAGCAATATTTTAAAGCTTTCAAAGGGTTTTAGTGTCGACAGATGAGGACATTTCCATCAGTGACAGAATCATGTTCGATGCAATTTCCTATTTTGACTTGTACCATATGTTCCCGTGTGTTCTGTTCAGGTGAACAATTGACTTGCCTTTGCATGTGTTTGTGACAGCAGGTGGCGCAGGATACGCCAACCTCTTTCCGAACACCTGCTATCATCATTATTTGATGGTAATTCAAAAACACTTGATGTAATCGAAAACGTACAATGGCCCTAATTTTAGCAGAGTTTTCTTATGGTTATGGAACGGCTTATGTCGCGTCTGTGTACAACCACAGACTACAAACTAGGACTGTATCAACAATACACACGCACCTGCTTTGCCCTTGCAGCACATGAAGATGACCCACGCCAAGACCAGCCCCCACACGGGTCTACACAGCGTCTCGTGAGCCGTCCTGGCACCATTCCCCCAGCCTGGTCTCTCCACACCATAGTTATCATAGGTGTCCAGTGTACAGGCCCCGGCCGCCACCAGCGCCAGGAGCCACCCCACGACTTGCAGGAACTGGAATTGAAACAATACAAATCGTTTGATGACAGATGCTTATGAATTTGAATTTTCATTTGCAGCTTTTCAAAATTCCAGGACCCCAACACCCCAGCAGCCGGAATATCAACTAACTAACTTGAGACATCTTGAGCTCCGATTTCTTCCTCTGAAGGATGTAGCCTAGCGCCATCCCTATGGCGAATGGTCCAATCCTGCACCAAGGTTTTACATACACCCTCATAGAGAACTCGGTTCCATTACTGAAACCAAATAGTAACAGAGGATTGCAGGCAGAACATCATCGTCTAGTAAACATCGGGAAGCTGTCACTTGGTGTCAAGTTGGACATTTACTCTATACTCGAGTGTGTGGATTATCTACACTTCAAGGTACATACTGATTATCAGAAAGCATCGTGACTGAAGCCTGCAGCTCCAGATAATTAGGAGTACGTAGACACTATTTCAATATAGGTGAGGTGAGGTGAAATTGGGTTTAACGTCGCGTCCAAGATTATTGCACTTATATAGCGACGTGCATGCACGTGTATGTGTGTGTGTGGCTGCTTGTACTAGTCCGGACTGATGCCGATTTATAGTGCTAGCTCACTGAGATACCATGCCGCAGTTTAACATGAATACCCCACTCAGACACAGTATACTGACTCCGAGCCGACCAGTCCTTGTTTTAGCCCCTTAATGCCGAGCGCCAGACAGGGTAACAACAAGTACAATCTTTTAACGTCTTTTTGTATGACGCGGCCCGGGATCGAACCCTGGACCTTCCGCTCTCCGGGCGGACGCTCTACCACAAGACCACGGAGGCGGTCTATTTCAATATAGAGTACTGGCAAACCTTAAGAGTACACTAAGAGTACTGAATGGAATTTGATGGGTTAATCTCGTATTTAGTTTTAGATATGCGCCACAGCATTGCTACTCTCGTTTAAACAGGTCAATACACAATAAATAATACTCTTTTCGTTGTACCTGTATATCTGTAGTATAAGGCGCAGCCCCTCCAGGGAAAACATCCGAGTTTTAGGAGCAGAAATGTTTTACATGCATCCCTATAGGAAAGTCAGGGAAACGAACAGGTGATAACAAACGTGGTCAATACAAACTTGAAATTTGAGATACATCACTAGACATGACGATTTAACATTTAAATTGTAATTCCAGTTCTACTAGGCATTGTTTTATATGCAGAGATTAAGATTGCCGTGTGTTTTTTCTCGTAAACTAAGCCGGAAACAGCAATCAGCTGTATACACGTATTTTCACAATCTACCGGTGATTCGGTTAAAAATTACCCAATAATATTATAAAATAACTTTAAAGAATTTTGATGCAAATATCGGCAGAATTGAAACTATTATTTTATCAGGAATAATATTTTCCAATATCGTGTTATTCTAGCTGCAGCTTAACAATATATATTTGTGCGCCCTATACTCAAGAAAATACGCTGCTTGAAATCAGAATATCATTTTGGGCGAATATGTCCATAAATGAATGATAGACCTTACATGTAGGCTGTGATGCGTATCTAATACGTTTTCGAAATTATTCCCCACCGTATGCTGCATATGTTCATCCGTACATGCGCCGATATGGCCTTTATCTGGGACCCTGCTAATGGTATGTTGGCTTGTTAGTAAAATCTAATGACATCAATGGCCGAGATACTCGAGAAGGCTACACACTGGAATAGATCACCGTCGATCGAGTGGGTGATGTAGGCGGTGGAGACGATGCTGGTGATGAGGAAGCCAAGAATCACACATAACCCATCGACCTTAAGAATCTTGCGAGCAGTGCGATTCTTCATGCTGAAACTGAATTAGGAGTGAAAGAGTATACTTTTACGTAAACTCGATTCATGCAATGTCTTGGCGGCCGGGTAGCCTAGTGGTTTAAGCGTTCGCTCGTCACGCCGAAGACCCGGGTTCGAATCCCAACATGGGTACAATGTGTGAAGCCCATTTCTGGTGTCCCCCGCCGTGATATTGCTGGAATATTGCTAAAAGCGGCGTAATACGAAACTCACTCACTCACTCATGCCATGTCAGGGCTTCAAACAAAGGCCGTATCGGACATCCTTTGAAGTGCCGTTAAAAATAACACATATAATAACACATAACGAACACGGATGCTACAAGACACCTAGTCTGCCATACAGAACCTGAAACAATATATCCAATACAGCTCATGAAAGTCTATAATATTTGGCAAGTCTAGATAACTGCAGTATCAGGAAAATGAAGAGAAAGTTTCTAGGCTCCTGTTTATTATATTTTTTCACCATAATTTAACAACTGTTTTCTTCTGTAAAATAGTTCATTTCAGAGACTTCATGTTAGTTTACAAGACTCCCTACCTCAACGCTAACGGGATCAGTGCCAGTGGAGCTACCACGTAGAACTGCATGTCGCCCGCCAGGTACCACCCCCAGGCTAAACACTGAAAGAAAGGAGTATGTGAGTTAATGAATGTTCCTTGAAGCAACAGTCAAACTGGCAATCGCAATGTATATCACGGGGATCTGTATATAACAGAGTCTGACTCAGGAAAACATGTGGACAATAGCATGACCCACAACGTAGGTCACGATGCAATATTGGGTAAATTTTACAACAGAGACATATGTGTTATAATTGTAACTGTTGCCTTTGAAAATTATATGTATATTTTCACCCTGCCGAATGATCTACTTTTTTTTTTTAAATATTGTTGAACAATTGTATGTTCATTTTTATTTTCACCACTGGACCCATGAATTTGGATAAACGTAATCCAAATGATACAATAAAAAGCCAAAGCACCTGTCCGCCACGAAGACAAATGCAATTACCCGTCTGTCCGCTACGAATACAAATGCAATTACCCGTCTGTCCGCTACGAATACAAATGCAATTACCCGTCTGTCCGCTACGAAGACAAATGAAATTACCCGTCTGTCCGCTACGAATACAAATGCAACTACCCGACTGTCCGCTACGAAGACAAATGCGATTACCTGTCTGTTAGCTACAAATGCAATTACCCGTCTGTCCGCTACGAAGACAAATGCATTTACCCGTCTGTCAGCTACAAATGCAATGATCTATGTGCCTGCTTTGAAGACAACTGTAAGCACCTGTTTATATACCAAGTAGACAAAAGTTACCTTTGTTTTCTCTCTGTATACATTATTGATGTAGAGTAGATTTGTCCACCAGTTGTCAACACAAAACTGGGAGTCGGCAGATCCCACCCAAGTCGGGCCGTCAGTCAAATACACCACCAGGAACGTGTTGATGAATATCACGTAGGCGTAAACGGGAGTCAGTCTGACAAGAATCAATATATCTTATAGACATAGGTAAAACCTATCCAAATGAGTTCCATATAAATTATGCTTGTGTAACATAGCGAGGACCGTACTACCACAACACTCTATACGTCAATTGTACTATGTGAACACAATTACATTTTACAAATAACTTTAAAAGCGAAATAATTTAGCAGATGTGGTACTACGTGCGGACCATTGTGGCGCTAATAATCCAAAGACTGTTTTACACAAGACTGTATGACAAGAGGGATGACTTCTACTTTACAAAAGTAAACTGTCAATCAATAGTCCAACAGCTCCAGCCTTTCGTGTCAACATTTCACAAGCTTTGAGTAACAACCGTGCATGCTCTTTGTACCAAGATTTCAAAAGGGCGTCGTACGACCCTTACTCAAAGTTGTTTGATCAGGGTTACAACATATAAGGTTCCAGGAAAGCTTTCAAAAAGCAAGCATGTGAAGGACATTTCCACATTTGACTCATCAGTGACAAATATGATATCCGATGCAATTCCCTATGTACAATATGTTCCAGGGTTTCTGACGGAGGCCATCGGTGTGGCAGGATACACTCACCTATTCGCGGACACCTCATAACTGTTTGATAGGCTAAGTATAGGATATAAACCGCCTCCGCGGGCTATCCGTGAAAATAATGCAGGCCGGCAAAGGAAAAGCCCGCATCCGTAGGCCCAAGGGCTTTTCCTGCGCTGGAGTGCATTATTTTCACGGACAGCCATAGGAGAAAGTTTATATCGGACTTATAAACCGACAGATATGAAGATGCTTTTTTGTTTACATGACATAACTTTAATTCTGAAATTTCAGTTGTAGCACTCGAAAGTTCTCAGTCAAAAGCGCACAGCTCGAGAATCCCGTGGGCAGAGGGATTTTCGGAGAAAAGAACAACCTGTTGTAACAATTGTAATGCAACACTAGAGGTTTATAAGTGATTCATAAACACACAGCATCGTACCATGGAGATATCCTTTGGTTTTGGAAATGGTTTTGTCGCTTTTATTTACAAACACAACACCAGCAGCTGAGAGCTGACTGACCTCAAGTAGCGGTGGACGTAGTACAGGATCATGTGCTTCACCTTCAGACCTCCAGCCTTCTCCGTCTCCTTCAGGAACAAGTACGTCACCAACAGGCCACTGGCAACATAAAACATTAATTTTTGAATTCATGTTTTGTTTTTGCATTTTGAATGAGTCTCCGTAATTGTCATCTTTGTTACATTATAAAGAAGCTTTATACAGTTGCAATTTGGAAACTCCTTCGTTGACATTCTCTCCTGCATTAACCATTATTGTTCGGTGACTGTCAGTGTGCGCTGTGAGAACAATGTGAGTGTAGTCAATACGTCGAGTACAAACTATACATGAGTGCAAATCGAGAACACTTTGAGGAGACTGATTGTACATTTACAGAACACAATTAGAACACTTCAAGCACATTTTGAGTACACAGTACAATGTGGGAATGGATGTGAAGTTATGGCCCGTTCCCTTCAAATAAATGCTTGTTAACCCAGTTTATAAAAAGAACTAAAAACAACATTTGTAATTGTTGTGTCTGATTTCGAGCCCTGGGAGCTTTAATGTATAATTATAGATCATGTTTTGTTAACATTTTGAAATTGTAAAGTCAGAAATAAAAGCTAAAAAAAAGGTCAGTTTTTACGATTTTATTTGTAACTGTATATTTGTTCAACTGTTAACAAAAAATAATATATAATTATATATTTTAATAATACAAACGCCCAGGGCTCGAACTTACGTCAGGGCAACTTGCACATGCGCGTTCGAACTTCGGGTATCTTAAGGTTCATTCATTACGTATAGAGGCATCGTAAATACATTATTGTGAACTATGTTCTCAATTTACCATTGTCTTTTCGGGAATAGGGATGTCATGAGTGTGTGAGTATTGTTTAACGCCGTTAAGCAGTATTTTTGTCATATCACGGCGTGCCAGCTTGATGTGGGAGGAAAGCCCGAGATAATGCTTGTCTTAGCCTTAACCACTTTGGCACAAGAATCGGTATGGTGCTGATAAACCTGGGAATGTAATCAGGACGAATCGGAGATTCGAACCCACATTTCTATAGGTAATGGCACACCTAGGACATGCAACTCTACGCAGCGAATACATCAATAAAAGTGAGTAAGTAAGTTGAACAGTATTTCAGTTATTTCACGGCGTGCCAGCTTGATGTGGGAGGAAAAGCCAGAAGTGATGCAACTCTAAGTCGTAACCACTTTGGTGAAACCAACAAGCATTGGAATGGTGCTGGGATTCGAACCCACGATCATAGGTTCTGGGACGCCTTTGGTTTTAGTTTTAGAAATGCAATCTATATTGCCATTGGTACCTTAGCTATAAAGGTATTGGACATAAAAAAACAAAAAACATCGGAGTTTGAAAAGGTGTTACCATTTCTGAGCATGCGTTGATTTAATTAATTTACTGCGCATGCGCACCATCAATGGAAAGAGGGCGACAAAGCCTCATTTTTATGCCTCATGTCGCACAGTTTTAACGTCTCTTGAACACAATCTAGACAGGTCGAAAAGCAACATTTGTTGATGTCGCGTTGTCACATTGCCTCACTTTGGTAAAAAAATACATGTTCATTCTATGAGCAGCAATGTGATGATTCTTCAAACTGTGGCATGGTCGCGATGTCTCGCTTGGGTTAATTTTAACGCGTTTTGCTTGTTTAACTTGTTTTTGTTAGGGCGACCAAGCGACAGTGTTAAACACAAAACATGGTTCAACTAATTGTTGGAAAATATGAATCTGAACACAATGTATATGCAATTTACTGTGACCTTACCTGAGCAGGAAGAACGAGTCGACTGACAGAGTTGCGTTCGTGATAATTTGGAAACTGAAGCTCTGTGTTAGTCTGCCGAATATTTTTGGGTTCTCTGCAAAACACATGCCTCAAGAATTTATCTGCCATAAAATCATTCTTAATACGGTCATGGTTTGTAATTAAACGCCCATCTTGCAATGTATCTTGGCTACCGTGTCTAACGTAAACTGTAGAAACAAATCGTTCTACTCTGTAGTACTATCTGGGATGTTACCGTTGCATGATGGGAGTTGTTTTTACTCAAGTTCAACAAGAAGAGCCATTTGACCTCCCGCAATTAACAGAAATAAACATAATACGACGGTCATTTAACTTGTTTGGTTTAAACGCATCACTCATATTGTGCGTGTACATGTACATCACCGGATTTCAAGTTAAGTTCTTTTACTATCGCAGGATAAGCAATCAAAGTTTACGGATCCACTTCAGATGGGACATGAAGCGAAATTGTGCCTCTTTGGTAATATAATCTTAGATTATTTTCTCGAAATTTTGAATTTTTTCTCGTAATTTCGATAGCTTTCCCGTTATTTCAATTTTATTTCAAAACATCGTAATTTCGAATATTTTCTTTTTATTCATATTATTTTTCGTAATTTCGACTGTTTTCTTGTTATTTCAATTTTATTTTAAAACATCGAAATGTCGAAAAATATTCTCGTAATTTCGATTGTTTTCCCGTTATTTCATTGTGTTCTCGTAATTTCAATCGTTTTCCCGTTATTTCAATTTTATTTCAAAACATCGAAATTTCGAATTTTTTCTCCTTACTTCGATTACTTTTTCAATATTTCGATTATTTTCCCCATTATTCAGATTATTTTTCGTAATTTCGACTATTTTCCCGTTATTTCAATTGTATTTTAAAACATGGAAATGTAGAGAATCATTATATTTCTTCGATTATTTCCTCATAATTTCGATTTTTCTCTAATTTCGAGTTTTTTCTCGTTACTTTAAGTATTTTTTCTTAATTTCGATTGTTTAATCGTTATTATAATTTTACTTTGAAAAATCGAAATTTCGATTATTTTCTCGTTATTTCGATTAAGTTTTCGTGATTTTATTTGCTTTCCCATTATTTCAAGTTTATCTGGTGAGTTTCATTATTATTACGTGCTTTCCACAATTTTGTTTTTGTACCTGACCGTGAGACATCAGACAAGGTGCATGTTTTCGACGGACGGAAGAACACCAGGCGTTTCGTATTATGCAGCGTGAAAGGGTAAATCTTTTATTCATCTCAAATTTATAGCTTCCAAATGTCGTCTAGTAAGGTTTTATCTTTGACTTTGTCGATATATGTGCTTATATTCAATAATGTGATTCAGACAATAGAATATCAACGTTCTAAAAAGTTGCATTTCAAACACGTACTGTACTACCTATCCAAAGGGTGTGTTTAACGTAACCAAGTGTCTCAACTTTTGTTAATATAGGAAATTATCTGTCAACATTGTGATTTTCTATGAAATTTGTTCGTGGTGATAATTTAATTGTCCTTGAAAATTCTTCCACTAGTTCTTCAATACAGCCGTCTCATTTGTATGCAAATTATTGTCTCATTCTTATGCAAATGAGAGCACTAGACGAAAAGGGAGACATTGGGTGATGTACATTTTTCTTGAAGAAACCTCAAATCTGAAACCAATAAGCAGAAGACACATTCAATTAAGAACTTAAAACGTTGCTTGGAGACTTGCTTCAATTTAGCCGGTTCGGGATAAGCACTGATATGTGTGACGTTATCTGACAAATACGTCTTCTAAAATTGTTAATATTTGCACCGATATGCATGATATTGCACGTATTGGCCGACACTCAACGTGTTTTCCGTATATGAACACTGAACGGTTACATAGTGGCTCCATTAGGCTTTCGCAGAAATGTACGTTACATATCAAGGAAACAAAGATAAGGGTGGATATAAAGCAGGATTATACAACAGCAGAAGACTCCATGTATCTTTTCAAACACTTCATTTAAACTATTTTGAAGAGGCATAAAACATTGCTGATAGAAACAAGAATATCTGGGCAGGTGCTTTGCTTGTATCACATATGGATTAACACGTTAACATAATTTTACTTCCTTCATGATACTTCATGTCCCGTTTAAAGTTTTGAAGAGAAACAAATGACAGATGTATAAAATGAAAATGTGAAACTCTTTAGATTACAAAATTAGGTCAGGAACATTTATCAACACGCAAATGCAAACATAAAATAATGGTTTGCCATACTGTTTTGACATATAGCTAGACAATTGCCAACTACATGTAGCTGTAGAAGCGAAATTTCAAATGTAACAAACATGTCAAACATTCATAAAGAACGAAATTAAACATATGGAACGGTTGTCAAATAATTTAGAAATATATTGCTTCAAGTATTCTTCAGATCTAACTTCCTTTACAAATTAATACCTTGGACATCAAAGAAATCTAAGTTTTACATTACATTCAGTTGTGAAGGTAAAGTTGAATTCATGAATTTGCATTAAGAAACTGTTTATGTAAAAGCACTTGTCGAAATAAAAATTTCATTACAAGTACATTTTGTTTCTTAAATGCCAGACATTTGGCAGAAAATGTCTAACTTCAAAAAATTACAAAATAGTCGTTTCTTTTTGCGAAAGTTTGTTAGGCAAAATAGAACAGCATCTCAACGCGACACATTAATGCAGTTATTTTTTATCTTGTTTGAAACATGTCCACAAGTTATTGCACGATTGTAATCGATTGTAATCAAATGAACAAGGAACACAACATCTGCTAAACATAACACTCAATTTACATTTAATAAAACAGTCCAATAAATGACCGTGTACAGCACAACTAATGTTGGATTTTAAATGTTTAAACGCGACAAGATACTCATTTCATTTGTCTGCATGCTATTATGCTCTACACAAACTGAAGAATTGTACAACAAATAAGAAGGGAAGAAAGGTGTAATGTCACTATATTTGTTCTTTGACTTTTTCGTGAAGTAACACATGCACGTTGCGCTGTGGTCCCGTCATACGTCCAAATTAGGCTCGACTGATTGAACTAGCTGCTGAGATTTTTTATATGAGGAATAAGCTCTGTACAATAACAATCCGAAAATAGAGCCATTACTAAAACGGAAATATATGTCACAGATGGTGTCTGGTAAACCCCATCTTCCCGAGGCAAGGGAGTTAATTATAACTGACTATAAAAGTCCAGTTTCCACCCTTGCCGAAATAGGCTGGTATTATGGAGTTACATTTTGGCTGGACTAACGAGTCTATGCATAGTCCAATCAAAATCGCGCTCCGAAATCGAAATCCGGTTCGTAAACTGTCATGCAGATTTCGGTCGATTGGAGGATTTGCAAAACATGTGCACCGCTAACTCGTTGTCAACAGATATTTTCTAATTCTTTTCATGTTTTTAATCAAGGTTCTCACGTGATTGATGCACTTCGCGATGTATGACTCGTTTTATCACAATATATAGATCTTGATTATCTTTCAGATCGTCTTCACTGGGCGCCGCCGTTTTGTTTGAAGCAAAGGCAAGTGATACGAGAGGTGGAATCTGGTTGGTCATAGAGAGGCATAGAAGGGACATAACTCGTAATAGCCACTGGTGGCGCTACGATCGAGCCCAGGAATTCCAGCGTAGTACGGCAAGGGTGGAAACTGGACTTTTAAAGTCAGTTAACTCTCTTGCCTCGGGAAGATGGGTAAACCCATTTGGGTGAGTGGCGAATAAGGATTTACCATCACTTTTACTAGTATTTCAGTTATAACAGCGAAACCCACGAGCATGGTACGGTGATGACAAACCAAGGATCCAATTCTGGGCCAATCTGGGATTCGAACCCATCATGGGCATTTCCTGCCAGCGATGGGAGGCAACACCGCACAGCAAGGGCACATGAACTGTTACCTTTGCTTGAAACAAACAATGCTACACAGGTGTACTTTGATTTTTGGATACACAATGGTGACCTACCTGCGTTAGGCATGAGAGTGAGGAACGTGTGACCCAGAATGACCCAGCCCATGCTGAGGACCCGGATGCCGTTAAGACAGGTGAGAGATCCAGGTGAGCGTTTGACGCTGAGGATCTTCTCCCCATTGCTGACGGCAGAGAAACACAACAGGACACGCTGCCATACTGAAAAGAAGGAATCCTTGAGGTGGATCCAGGTCTGACATGTTCATGACATTTTATTTTGTGACATGTTCACTCCTAAATATTACACGTAGAGTGGGTGGGATAACCTCCTATTCATTCATAATCACGGCATGTTAGCTTAGTCTGGGAGGAAAGCCCAACAAGGAGTATTTCCAAGACTTTTACAACTTTGGTGAAATCTACAAGCACTCGGTATGGATCACGCAGTTGAGTATAGATACTCCAATATTTTAATTATTCTATTTTCAATGTGAAAGGCAATTGTTATAATTTGATACAAAAGTTATAATTAATAATTCTGACTCTTGAAAGGTGTTCATGTATATATTGTTGTGAGCAAGTCATTTTAGTGGCGGTAGAAACTGTTGTAAACTATATGTTTAGTATTTTGTCAGTGATAGCAAATTATTGAAATACTGGTAAAATGTATCCAGTATATCCAGGTCTATCGCGATTTGAACAACAGTCAACAGCACTCAGTACATTCACGACCAACTCGTGTTACTCCGGGACAAGCCGAAAAGCGACTCGTGCCCCTCTCGGAGCCATTTTACGACTGGGTTCCGTCTAAGCGCAAACGGGCATAGCTAAAAGAATTGTCAACTCATTGCGTAATGATTCACGTATATTTTCCCCATATGAACATGGCAGGCGTGACCGCTCGAAACGTTTCTGGATGGGGCAGTTCTAGCCGGCTTGCTGCACCTATACGAGAGCGACAAGAGTGAGATGATTCGTGACCTTTTCGACCTGATTTATTTTTAATCTATTTCCAAGCCTGGTTTGGATAGTACCCATTTGGAAGAAACAAATTCCTGACAACTTCCGACACTATTATGGAACACAGACAGGCCTGTTTCAAGACAATCCACAGGGCAGCTATTACTGCTGCCATGTTATTTCACTTATTGAATTGCCTTTTTCAATGAAACCGTGTGTTTCAATATTTTTTATTGATTATTGTGTGATCATTTACTGATTTAACTCTGTTCGAAACTGGTTCTGTGTTAAACCCTGCGCTTCAATTTGGAAATCATCTCGAAGCAAAAGTGATTGTAGACCGGTCACCACCATTGAAGTTAATTACTTGTTAGGAGGTTAAAAACATTGATGCATAACCTACACTTGGGCTTATATTTGTTGTCATGTTGTTTGTCCGCTGATCGGAGCTGCTGTCCGTCGTTAGGATATACAAAGTTTCCACCATTTGTCTCTTGTACTATCGGACCAGCAGGGTTGTCTATTCCAACAATCTCCGCGTCGGGTCGTGACTCGTCCATCAGCTTATGTTCATCTACTGCCCCATTCCCCTTTGACGTTTCTGGCACCCCCACGTCGTGAGACTGAAGCTGTGTGCTGATCTTAGAGAGTTGAACTGCATCCAGTCGGGGGGACACAGGAACCTGATCACGACGACCTTTGGCAGCCCGGATGTTCATGTCTAGAGCTGACCCCACGAGGACCAGACAAACAAAGATGGCCGTCAGAGCGCTGTAAATGATTCAACAAAATGACATTCACATTGAATGCGTTTTACTGATGTGTATGCATTAATGTCTCTGAATTTATTTTCACCATGCTCTTTACCTTGGTCTGAGAAATAGTGAGTGTGTGAGTGAGTATAGTTTTACGGCGCTTTAAGCAATATTCCAGCAATATCACGGCGGGGGGACACCAGAAATGGGCTTCACACATTGTAACCATGTCGGGAATCGAACCCGGGTCTTCGGCGTGACGAGCGAACGCTTTAACCACTAGGCTACCCGACCGCCCCTTGTCTGGGAAATAACCGTAATCTCCATTGTTGAATAGCGGACATCTGCAACGTTTCATAGTGAGCGAATGTCAACAATATCCAAGTTATATCACGGTGTCTTAAAAATAATCGAGTTTTGGCCAGGCAAACCAGGGCTTGATAGCATGAACAAAGGTCCACGCCGTCCTGGCACGATGGCACGCCATCAGCAAGGTGACACAACAGACAGAGAGATAGACAATTTACTCACAAACAGGTCACCGGCCGATAATACAGGTATGTAGCACGATAAAACACGAGTATCTATTGTTTCATAAATGAAATTGTAACATACTGTAGTATATAACAATTTCATTTAGGAAACAATAAATATTTTGGTGTTTCTCAATGTGTAGGCATTTGTTAAGAACATACCAATATTATGAAGGACAGGTTTATCATATGTTTGCATTAGCTGTTACAGTTCGTAAGAAATGGAGATTCAGTGTAATATGTCGAGCGTTACTGTGTCTTAGTGGGATGTCCATGTTAAGCTGCGGCATGGTATCTCAGTTGGCACTAAAAACCAGCATTCGTCCGGGATAGTACAAACAGCCACACATACACGTGCATGCACGTCGTTATATGAGTGCAGTACTCTTGAACTCGAACTTTGAACCCCACCAGATACGAAACGATGCATCAAGAACGGCAGCCACTATGCGTCAAACATTCACAGAAGGCCGCAAGAACTCCTAGCTGTCACGACATATCAGTATTGCAAATATATTTCCATGCTGCCATTACTATGTGATATATAATTTCATCAAGATATTATTCAAGTTATGGTGTGGTAAATATTCGTCGCTGGCCTGCTAAAGTCCTGATAGATACGGACACGGCGCTTGCTGGTGTTAGTTGGCTTATCATTTGTGTACAACACAAAAACAGTCAAAGAACACCCGATTCCTACGCCATGACAGCCATGACCCCTAAATTCTTCCTGATTACTAAGAGTCCGATTGAGACAGGTTCACCGTACTGCACTTACATGGCTCCTACTGCGGCAGTGTCATCACCGACGGGGCCAGACTTGATCTCCGCATGGCACACGACACCCTTCACAGTCATGTTGACCTGTGACAACCCTAGACAACAACAAGTCCACGGCATAATAGGATTGGCAGTATACAGGACAGACATACGTATACAGTTAAAACATAACAGAAAATCCGAGCCATGAAACTTTCAAATTTCCACAGTAATTATCCCAAAGGATGTATATAAACTGTTCATCGCAGTCTTCCTAATGTTGTATTTCCGACTACGAAGATAACGTCATACATGATACCATATGTATCGTGTGGGAATATTAAGTATGGGAGACCCGTGAAGATCCGGGGTAGAAGAGGCCTTCCCCAAGCCATGCTTGCCATACAAGGCGACTATGTTTCTCGTAAGAGTAACGGGAATGGGTGGTCAGGTTCGCTGACTTGGTTGATGCATGTCATCGTATCCCAATTACATGGATCGATGCTCATGATTTCAGTCACTTGATTTTACAGACCGCTGTTATATTGCTGGAATATTGCTGATTGCGGCGTTAAACAACAAACTCAATGGGAGTCACCATGTCTGTTAAGCTGGAACAATATTTCTATTACTCAATAGGAATCACCATGGTTGTTGGGCTAGAGCAATATCTCTATTATTCAATGTGATTCACCATGGTTGGGCTAGGACTACGTCTCTGTTAATCAGTGGGAGTCACCATGGCTGTTGGGCAAGAACTGTGTCTCTGTTAATCCTTGGCAGACACCGTGATTGTTTGGCAAGAACTGTGTCTCTGTTAATCATTGGCAGACACCATGCTTGTTGGACAAGAACAATGTCTCTGTTAATCAATACGAGTCATCATGGCTGTTGGCCTAGATCTCCATTAGTCAAAAGGGGTCGCCATGGTTGTCAGACAAGGACCGTGTCTCTTGTAATCAGTGGGAGTCACCATGGTTGTTCCCCTAGTAATACATTTTCGAAAGTTCATCAGTCTGGAAACTTACCAACTTTCCAGTCACATCGGCAAATTCGATATACAATGATGTCATTACAGCAGACAGTTTGGTCGATTTCAATTAGATACTAAGGTACTGTGTTTCAGGTGCATTTTATAAATAATTATTATCAAAGATAATCATTGTAAGTTTAGCAACATAAATGCATAAAATATTTGATTCTGTGATCATATTTTAAGGGTGACAACGAATCAAATCTATAGCTCAAGTTGCTAATCTGTACCAGAAATTCCTAGAACTATGAATAAAGAAAACACATGATCTTCACCAGTCACCCCACCCAGCTGCAAACGTTCCACTGATTACACGATGACCCTCTACTCACATCTCTGTATACCACTCTTGACACTGTTACTGCCGCACGTATCAGGGACACTCAGCTGCAAACATTCCACTGATTACACTATGACCCTCTACTCACATCTCTGTATACCACTCTTGACACTGTTACTGCCGCACGTATCAGGGACACTCAGCTGCAAACATTCCACTGATTACACTATGACCCTCTACTCACATCTCTGTATACCACTCTTGACACTGTTACTGCCGCACGTATCAGGGACACTCAGCTACAAACATTCCACTGATTACACTATGACCCTCTACTCACATCTCTGTATACCACTCTTGACACTGTTACTGCCGCACGTATCAGGGACACACAGATGCCAGTTGATCATTATGCTATTTGCCATCGCGGAGAACACGTTGCCACCCTGTACAGACATAGTAACATGACTGTGAGTTAGTACAGTATTAATAATCGGGATAGAAAAACTGAATAGTCATATTTACACATTATAAGGTGACATACTTACCCTTTTAGCGAACACCTGGTGTCATCACAGATTTTCAGTGATCCATTCATATTATTTCCCCTGCTATGTTGCCTTTTACGCCCAATGGAATCTGTTGAGACTGATTGTTCTCTGGCGTTCCTTGTATGTTCAAGAACCTCTAAAGGGTTATACATACCGTTCCTGCCACCATGCCTATCAGCTGTGGAGGTGGACTAATGGAGACAACGCAGGTGTCCCCCTTTACTTCTCTACCCGAGGTTGGGTCCACCTGACTGGGTCCGTCAAGACATTCGTCAAAGTTGCCGAAAAAGGTCGTTGCCCCTTCCATGATGGAGGTGCCTGGTTTTCCGGACGCATCCAACACTGCAAAGTATCACCTCACTTAGTTCCGAATGTATGTATGTATGTGCGTGTGTGCGTGCGTGCGTGCGTGCGTGCGTGCTTGCTTGCTTGCTTGCTTGTTGGTTGGTTGGTTGGTTGTTTGTTTGTTTAACGTCGCAATATTACATCTAGTTAGTTGTTTAAATATTCCAGCTAAATGAAGACAAACAGTCGGGTGTGCACTAGACAATCCAGTGATTGGCTTTATGAGTATCTATCTTAGCAGATGGGATACGATGACATGCATCAACCAAGTAACCGAGGCTGACCACCCGGCCTCGTTACTCGCCTCGTAACTACATGCATAGGTAAGAGCAATACTAACCCGAATCTTAACGGGATATAATCCGAATGTAAAGCGATACACAATCAAATTGCGAGTTGGAAAGGATAAATGTTTGGATAAGTATTATTATTCATTTGCGTTCAGGTATTACAACGACACTGGTACTCACTGCTAAGAGCCCACGGCTTCCCCTGTAAGAGATCGACCAGGAAAGTATCCACATCTTCAGAGCATGTCCGCTCGTCTGCTCCCAGTCCGCTTGTGTTTGACTGTATAAGCCCCTTCAAGATGGACGGCAGTTGAGGACCAAGGCTCTCAAAGAGACCTGTAATAGACTCCAGATTGACATCCCCACCCCCCATGAGAAGCGGCAAGAGGGAGTTCCCCATCCCTCCTGGAAGTTTATTCTGCATGGCCATGAGTGAGAGCGGAAGTGAGAACGTCGGGGATGTGTTGGTAGGGGGAGTGGTGTTTGCGGCGGAGAGGAACATGTTGACCAACATGGAGAGTGAAGGGTCTTGTCTTGGAACAGTGTTGCTGGAGTTGGCATTACCCGAAGATGACGTGAGTGCATCTAATGTCGTCGCCTCGACGTTGCTCGTAGGCAACACGTCACGCGCAAGAGAAATATTCGTTGAACTTGATGTTGGTTGCGGTGCATTTTCTGAAGACATAAGTCTGCTTGATCCAGAGGTTCCTAGTTTCGGAGAAGCTGTCGTTCCAGCTCTAGTATGGTCCTCGTCTGTGTTCTTTGGGGAAACAGAGTGTGAACAACACGTCCTATGTAGCAAGACACAAAGGAACACAAACACCGTGCTGTATTTCATTGTGCAGTTGAGTCAAATTGTAAGGTTCCAAATTATATCTGTATAACAAGGGAAGACGACAATAACATTAATTTAAGCAGTGATTTCTCCTCGTTTCGCTATGAGTGCACATGGTTGCAAAAAGCGGGTACCATTGCTTACTGTATACACCGCCTCTGAAGGTGTACCCTGTCGCCTGGAGGACACGACTGCGTGGAGTGGACAAGCCCTATCTCTGTTTGTATCTTGAACGTTTAGCTGCTCGTAATATAGAAGTTGGTCAAGTACTCGCAGAGACCGAGTCACGTACAGCGTTCCTCTTGCTCCAAGTTTTTCTGGCTGTTACCCGGATGCCTCATCTTATGATTATGTCGAATAGGACAGAGTGAGTGTGTATGATTACTTAAGCAGTTTGTTATCAAGGTAGTGTCAACGTGTATATCGCCGAGAGAATTAGCTCAGATTGGAGATGAGAATAAGATGAGTTCAAACATCTTAAGTCGGTTATAACTGATGATAAACCTGACCAACCTGTCTGCCAGGATCACTGAAACCCTCTTTGATGCGTATATATATTTTAATATTTAATAATGATGATAATGATAATGATAATAATTATTTGCATATTTGTACAACGACAAATATACATCTTGAATCATGGTCAAAGCGCTACACCGGTCAAACGACCACACGATTTTCATTCTCAGCTGCCTGGGAAGGATACAACCTAAGCTGCCTGTTAGGCGCTAGATGGTTAACAATCACATTAACAGCTCATCTTACTTGATACCCATTCAATGCTGGGTGAAAAGATACCTCAGCATCCGGAGAAAAAAAGATGCGTGGATGATGATTGTCAGATGCAGGACCGAGGTTGCAAAATATTATCGACATTGTGTTGGGGTTTGGTGTGATTGTGAATAATGCATATGGGATTGTGAAGGGTTTTAAAGTGATTTTAAAGGATGTGGGCAGGATTTTGACGGATGTGGGCGTGACTGGGAAGGGGTTGGACGGGATTGTGAGCGATGTCAGCATCACTGTGAAGGTTTTTAGTGAGATTGTTAAGGGTGTGGATGGGATTGTGAAGAGTTTTAGTGTGATTTTGAAGATTATTGGCGGAAATGTGAGGGATGAGGGCGTTACAGTGAAGGATGTGGATGGGATTGTGAAGGGTTTGGGCATGATTTTGAAGGAAGTGGGCGGTATTGTGAGGAATGTGGGCGTGACTGTGATGACTTTTGGAGGGAATGTGGGCGTGACTTAAAGGTGAGGTGAGGTGAAATGGGGTTTTACGTCGCGTCCAAGATTATTGCACTTATACAGCGACGTGCATGTACGTATGTGTGTTTGTGTGGCTGCTTGTACTAGTCCGGATTGAGGCCGATTTATAGTGCTAGCTCACTGAGATACCATGCCGCAGTTGAACATGAATACCCCAACCAGACACAGTATACTGACCCCGAGCCGACAAGTCCTTGTTTTAGCCCCTTAATGCCGAGCGCCAGACAGGGTAACAACAAGTACCATCTTTTAACGTCTTTTGGTATGACGCGGTCGGGGACCTTCCGCTCTCCGGGCGGACGCTCTACTACTAGATCACGGAGACGGTCCGTGACTTAAAGGGTTTGATGAGATTCTGAAGGGGTTTGGCGGCATTGTTAGGTATGTCGGCGTGATTGTGAGCGGTTTGGTGTGGTGATGATGAAGGATGTGGGCAGAATTGTGAATGGATTTGGTGGGATTGCAGGAGACATAGGGGTGACTGTGAGAGGGTTTAGGCTGGTGATGTGTAGGTTGCGAGTGTGTTTTGCGTGTAGGATGTGAGTTGGGTTTGTTTGAAGGATGTGAGTGGGGTTTGTTTGTAGGATGTGAGTGGGGTTTGCGTGCAGGATGTGTGTGGGGCTTGTGTGTAGGATGTGAGTGGGGTTTGCGTGTAGGATGTGAATGGGGTTTGTGTGTAGGCTGTGAGTGGGGTTTACGTGTAGGATGTGAGTGTGGTTTGTGTGAAGGATGTGAGTGGGGTTTGTGTGTAGGATGTGAACAGGGTTTGTGTGTAGGATGTGAGCGGGGTTTGTGTGTAGGATGTGAACGGGGTTTGGGTGTAGGATGTGAACGGGGTTTGTGTGTAGGATGTGAGTGGGATTTGTTTAAAGGATGTGAGTGGGGTTTGTTTGCAGGATGTGAGCGGGGTTTGTGTGTAGGTTGTGAGCGGGGTTTGTGTGTAGGATGTGAGTGGGGTTTTTGTGAAGGATGTGAGTTGGGTTTGTATGTAGGATGTGAATGGGGTTTGTGTGTAGGATGTGAATGGGGTTTGTGTGTAGGATGTGAGTGGGGTTTGTGTGTAGGATGTGAGTTGGGTTTGTATGTAGGATGTGAATGGGGTTTGTGTGTAGGATGTGAATGGGGTTTGTGTGTAGGATGTGAATGGGGTTTGTGTGTAGGCTGTGAGTGGGGTTTGCGTGTAGGATGTGAGTGGGGTGTGCGTGTAGCAGTGAGTGGGGTTTGTGTGTAGGATGTGAGCGGGGTTTGTGTGTAGGATATGAACGGGGTTTGTGTGTAGGATGTGAGTGGGGTTTGCGTGTAGGATGTGAGTGGGGTGTGCGTGTAGCAGTGAGTGGGGTTTGTGTGTAGGATGTGAGCGGGGTTTGTGTGTAGGATATGAACGGGGTATGTTTGCAGGATGTGAATGGGGTTTGTGTGTAGGCTGTGAGTGGGGTGTGCGTGTAGCAGTGAGTGGGGTTTGTGTGTAGGATGTGAGCGGGGTTTGTGTGTAGGATATGAACGGGGTTTGTGTGTAGGATGTGAGTGGGATTTGTTTAAAGGATGTGAGTGGGGCCTGTGTGTCGAATGTGAATGGGGTTTGTTTGCAGTATGTGAGTTGGGTTTGTGTGTAGGTTGTGAGTGGGGTTTGTGTGTAGGTTGTGAGTGGGGTTTGTTTGTAGGATGTGAGTGGGGTTTGTGAGTAGGATGTGAGTAGGGTTTGTTTGCAGGATGTGGGTGGGGTTTGTGAGTAGGTTGTGAACGGGGTTTGTGTGTAGGATGTGAGTGGGATTTGTTTAAAGGATTTGAGTGGGGCCTGTGTGTCGAATGTGAGTGGGGTTTGTTTGTAGGATGTGAGTGGGGTTTGCGTGTAGGATGTGAGTGGGGTTTGCGTGTAGAATGTGAGTGGGGTATGTTTGTAGGATGTGAATGGGGTTTGTGTGTAGGCTGTGAGTGGGGTGTGCGTGTAGCAGTGAGTGGGGTTTGTGTGTAGGATGTGAGCGGGGTTTGTGTGTAGGATATGAACGGGGTTTGTGTGAAGGATGTGAGTTGGGTTTGTTTAAAGGATGTGAGTGGGGTTTGTTTGCAGGATGTGAGCGGGGTTTGTGTGTAGGTTGTGAGCGGGGTTTGTGTGTAGGATGTGAGTGGGGTTTGTGTGAAGGATGTGAGTTGGGTTTGTATGTAGGATGTGAATGGGGATTGTGTGTAGGATGTGAATGGGGTTTGTGTGTAGGATGTGAGTGGGGTTTGTGTGTAGGATGTGAGTTGGGTTTGTATGTAGGATGTGAATGGGGTTTGTGTGTAGGATGTGAATGGGGTTTGTGTGTAGGATGTGAATGGGGTTTGTGTGTAGGCTGTGAGTGGGGTTTGCGTGTAGGATGTGAGTGGGGTGTGCGTGTAGCAGTGAGTGGGGTTTGTGTGTAGGATGTGAGCGGGGTTTGTGTGTAGGATATGAACGGGGTTTGTGTGTAGGATGTGAGTGGGGTTTGCGTGTAGGATGTGAGTGGGGTGTGCGTGTAGCAGTGAGTGGGGTTTGTGTGTAGGATGTGAGCGGGGTTTGTGTGTAGGATATGAACGGGGTATGTTTGCAGGATGTGAATGGGGTTTGTGTGTAGGCTGTGAGTGGGGTGTGCGTGTAGCAGTGAGTGGGGTTTGTGTGTAGGATGTGAGCGGGGTTGGTGTGTAGGATATGAACGGGGTTTGTGTGTAGGATGTGAGTGGGATTTGTTTAAAGGATGTGAGTGGGGCCTGTGTGTCGAATGTGAATGGGGTTTGTTTGCAGTATGTGAGTTGGGTTTGTGTGTAGGTTGTGAGTGGGGTTTGTGTGTAGGTTGTGAGTGGGGTTTGTTTGTAGGATGTGAGTGGGGTTTGTGAGTAGGATGTGAGTAGGGTTTGTTTGCAGGATGTGGGTGGGGTTTGTGAGTAGGTTGTGAACGGGGTTTGTGTGTAGGATGTGAGTGGGATTTGTTTAAAGGATTTGAGTGGGGCCTGTGTGTCGAATGTGAGTGGGGTTTGTTTGTAGGATGTGAGTGGGGTTTGCGTGTAGGATGTGAGTGGGGTTTGCGTGTAGAATGTGAGTTGGGTATGTTTGTAGGATGTGAATGGGGTTTGTGTGTAGGCTGTGAGTGGGGTGTGCGTGTAGCAGTGAGTGGGGTTTGTGTGTAGGATGTGAGCGGGGTTTGTGTGTAGGATATGAACGGGGTTTGTGTGAAGGATGTGAGTGGGATTTGTTTAAAGGATGTGAGTGGGGCCTGTGTGTCGAATGTGAATGGGGTTTGTTTGCAGTATGTGAGTTGGGTTTGTGTGTAGGTTGTGAGTGGGGTTTGTGTGTAGGTTGTGAGTGGGGTTTGTTTGTAGGATGTGAGTGGGGTTTGTGAGTAGGATGTGAGTGGGGTTTGTGAGTAGGTTGTGAGTTGGGTTTGTGTGTAGGATGTGAACGGGGTTTGTGTGTAGGATGTGAGTGGGATTTGTTTAAAGGATTTGAGTGGGGCCTGTGTGTCGAATGTGAGTGGGGTTTGTTTGTAGGATGTGAGTGGGGTCTGTGTGTAGGTTGTGAGCGGGGTTTGTGTGAAGGATGTGAGTGGGGTTTGTGAAAAAGGATGTGAACAGGGTTTGTTTGCAGGATGTGAGTGGGATTTGTGTGTAGGATGTGAGTGGGGTTTGTGTGAAGGATGTGAGTGGAGTTTGTGTGTCGGATGCGAGTGGGGCCTGTGTGTAGAATGTGAGCGGGGTTTGTGTGTAGGATGTGAGTGGGGTTTGTTTGTAGAATGTGAGTGGGGTTTGTGTGTAGGATGTGAGTGGGGTTTGTGTGTAGGATGTGAATGGGGTTTGTGTGTAGGCTGTGAGTGGGATTTGTTTGCAGGATGTGAGTGGGGCCTGTGTGTCGAATGTGCGTGGCGTTTGTTTGCAGGATGTGAGTGGGGTTTGTGTGTAGGATGTGAGTGGGGTTTGTTTGTAGGATGTGAGG